GCTACATTGCCTGTTAACTTTTCAAACAGAATAAATTTTTGCATTATGTGATGAAATCAAAAGAGGGTACAATCGAGAACAGTAGGGCTTTAGGATTCTAGGCATTAGGAACTCAAAGGAAAAAGTTAGCAAATAAAAACAAAAGGTAAAAATATAAATACACTACATAGAGTGGAAGTGGGTAGAATGTGGGTCAAGCTGTATTGGCAGGTGACTGATCGATTTGCAGTGGATGGTAGGTGTTTGTGACAATTATTTAATGTATAAAAGATGCTCTCCTCACCATCTAAATCAGGAGATTCTAGTTAAATCAACTTGGCTGAAACCTCACAGGATTGATATTAAAGACAAATACTAAGTATGTCTTCTGAGACCATCTTTCATAATTCTGAACATGTCTCTCATTCTCCAGATCACCATTTCGCCTTGGCTTCTGTTGATAAATAGCCAGTGTGGTGTAGCAGACAGAATTACAGCTTAGGACTTTGGAGACCTAGGTTCAAATGTTTGATTGGCCATGTAAACTCATCATTATGTAAACTCACAATGGTAAAACCACTCAAATATTTCACTTACCTTGAAAGTCCTATTAAGGTTGCCATCAACTTGATGTAATTTAACATCTGTTGGTGGACACAGCAATTCTGATTTAAAAAACAAAGCAGCCACCACAAACATTAAATCTACCCACTCCTATTCCAAGGTATAGTTTTCTGTCAGAGTATTTAGAGGCAAAAGATGCAACTCCAGCTCCTTTATTAATTGTGTAGGGGTCAGGAGTTAAATTCCCCACTATGCTTTCTTGACAAGACCTGGACTTATGGATCATCAAGTCCCTTCCAGTTCTGCAGTTCCATGATTATGATGAAGAAAGTATTTAAGGAGATGAAGCGTGCCACGCAAATCACAGATGCTGAAATCCTTTCTGCTTAACAGCTAAAGGCGCCGTATGCTTTCCTCTTTTGCATCTGGCCATTCACAGGCCAAGTTTACGTGAACTTATTAAGTGCCTAGAAGTAGGGTGGAGAATGAGTAGCCCTCCTTGTTGGATTGCAACTTCCATGAGTCCTAGTCAGCAGAGGCAATGAGTTATAGCCCAGCAACTGCTGGATGGCTATTCATTGCTTGCTGTGGCCTAGAACTTAATTAACAGTCCATTGTGGTTACAAATTAGAAGGAATTATCAGTAACAGTGACCAACTTGATCTACAAGGAATTTTGCTGATCATTATTAATAGAAATTATCACTAAGGATTTCCAATGAGCTAGTAAGAAATCTCAACTTTTTTACTCATGACACAGATTTGAAATTAGAAATTGGAGCCAAAGTAAATTGTGTCTCCTTGCCCAATATCTTCCCAAGTAAAGGTTGGAGACTATCTCTGATTCATGATAACTTAAGGAAAAGTAATCTCTCTACTCCCATAGGCCTTCTTCCTATCCTTCTCCTCCAGCAGTGCAAAGGTTGGGTGAGCAGCAGCTCCTCAGAACTTCTCCCTTCCCCTATCCTTTGTTCAAAAGGCAATCTTTCACATGTAAAAAGCCATCATAGTGTTACTGGAACAGGTAACAGACCTGTAGACACAACAAATTTAGAGAACATGTTCCATTTGTAAGAATACAACAGCATGGTGGAAGGCTTTCTGGCTTTGTCAAGAACCTATACTATGTTGGAAGAATCCTCCAAGCTGTAAGGTGAAGTAATTCTAGATCTGGATGGCAGACCCTGCCGGTGTCTTGGGTCAGAAGACACGGATTGGGGAGGTAGTCTGAAGAACTCGGCTGCCATCATCTTGAGCATGGTAAACCAAGGTTGCCGAGGCCACCATGGGGCCACTAGAATAGCACTGGCATGCAGCTGATGAGCCCTGACCAAGGTCCACTGAACTGGTGGAATGAGACTGCTGGGGTGATACCTCCAAATTCAAAAAACAAATTACTGTTGCCTGTCCGACCGAGATAGGACTCGAATGGGCCAAGGCTGGGCTGGATGTGACATTAGCCTCAAGATGGCCATAGCTTGGAGACTGGCTCAATATTGAAACCGAAGCCTGAGCCTGTGGAGGTGATACAGAACCAATACCTTCAGAGAGGGAATCTAGGTCCGGCAGGTCTTGAGATGATTCCTCAAGTATTTTTATTGATTGATTGATTGATTGATTGATTGATTGATTGATTGATTGATTGATTGATTGATTGATTGATTGATTGATTGATTTGATTTGATTTGATTTGATTTGATTTGTATCCCGCCCATCTGGTCTATATGACCATTCTAGGCGGCTTCCAGTATGACATAAATACAATAAAATAACACAAAAATATTACATAAGACAACCAGTAACAAATTATAATACAAAAATAGAATAAGTAATAAATAAAGAATAAAAGAAAGAATAAAAGAAAAATCAGGTATTGACAGGTGGAAAGGCGTGAAAATACATCCATGTTTTTAGTTGGCTTTTAAAAGTACCCAGCGTGGGGGCCGTGCGAGGTGAAGGAAGTGAAGCTGGAACTGGAGGAATTTCTCAAAGTGGAGCAGACTTGGAACAGCAGACTTGGGAGAACATTTATCCTTCTTCTGTTTACTATTTTCTTTTTCTTGTGAGCCTCTCCAGATGGTGACTTCAACGTCAAAGTTGGTGCCAAAGCCTTCTTTGATGTCCATGTTGAAGACTTCTGCTTAGAAGATTTAGAGGAGGATCTTGGGGACGGAGTAGCCTGGACCGAAGATGCAGCGGGCTCAGGACGAGGGGTAGGACGCGGGACCGATGCAGATTCCATGGCTGCTGGGCTTGACGGGGAAAGTGATTTTTCCAAGAGGTATGATTGAAGCTTCTGCAAGCGAAGCTTAATGGCCGATTTAGTCAACTTCTTTCACTCTTGACAAGAGTAAGTTTGGTGCCTCTCACCCAAACAAAATAAGCAGCAGTCGTGGCCGTCTGTAAAGGGGATCTTGTTGGCGCACAACGTACACCGCTTGAATGGGCCTGAGGAGGCCATAAAATTCTCGAAACCCGGGGAGAGGTGGAAAGGGGAAAAGGAAGGAAGGCACACAGGAAAAAGTTAACAACTGTCCAATATCCAAGCTGAAAAATCACAATCACAATATCAGAATCCAAAAAATCACAATCAAGTGCGTAATCCAAAAAGAATCTGAAAAATCACAATCAAGTGCGTAATCCAAAATGATAGCCGATAATCAGTCTGGAGGTCAAAAACTGAGGTAGACAATGTACAAACCAGAATCTAATACAGTAGAACCTTGACTTATGAATTTAATCCGTATTGGAATGGTGTTCATACGTCAAAACATTTGTAAGTTGAAGCAAAATTTCTTATAGGAATGCATTGAAAACCATTTAATCCGTTCCGGCTGTTTTTCGTTCTTATCTAGAGGCGCCATTCACAAGTAGAAGCATTAGTTCCCATAGGAATGCAAAGCCGGTTAATGCATACTCTACCACTTTTTGTTCTTTTGACCAAAGAATTTTTCTTCTTTTGACCAAAGATGAACTTAGGTCAAAAAAAGGGCAGGAAAGGAGGGAGGGGTGAGGAAACACCTTCTAAACAGAACACCTTTTAACCCAAGCACCTTTTAAACAAAACCAAGCACCTTTTAGCTTTTAAAAAAGGCAGGAAAACACCTTTTAAACAGAACATGCTTTTTCCCATTCGTAAGTCAAAGCTCTGTTCGCAAGTTGAAGCAAAATTTTGCGAACAGAGTGGTTCGTAAGTCGAAATGTTCGTAGGTAGAGGTGTTCGTAGCCAGTCTAAGATCAAGATTTTCCAGAGAATAGTGATGGTAATGAATAAGCCAGACCAGAAGCAATACCAGTTAATAGAAGAAGAAAACAGCTCTAGGTACGAAGAAGTCCAATCGCAGCGGTAGCAAAAAAGGAACTGAGGTACAGTATTACAGGCAGGCAGAGCATGCGCACCACGGGGAAACGTACTATTAATCACGTTTTAAGTTCAGTCTAGAATATTCCGAGGAGTCCTGCACAGGTGTAGAAAGTATTCACAGAGGCCACGAAGAATTAGTTTTTTGGGTGCTAGAACTATTGATATAGCTATGATATTTCACATTCATCTCCACGGCAATAAATGTCTACAAAACCTGTCTCTAGATAAGGACAAGTTATATTCCCAGGATTTAAACATTTGTACAGTAATATGAACTTTATTCCAAGATCAAAGTCTAACATGTTTTGGTTTGGCCCTTTCAATTTTCTTCAAGGGCTATATTACATAAAATAGAACAGAAAAGAGACATTTTTATAAACATTTTTCCTAGGGACAACATATGATACAGTGAAACTGTTCCTTTATACACCCTCTGGTCAAATAAATACATTTGCATATATATTTAAGCAATTTTATTAGCACAGCACATGCTATATTAAAATTTCTTTATGTTATCATAAGGAGATCAAGTTACATTATACTATACTGCTATAAATGTGTTTTTTTCTGCTCTATTTCATGTTACTGTATATAGCCCTTGAAGAAGGCTGAAAAGGACAAGCCAAATATATTGGGCTTTTATGTTGGGATAAAGTGCAAACTAGTTTTTATATCCTGGAACTGAAGTCCCTCCTTGCCTACAGCTTTGGTGGAATATTGGGCTTTTATGTTGGGTTAAAGTGCAAACTACCGTTTTTATATCCTGGAACTAAAGTCCCTCCTTGCCTACAGCTTTGGTGGATGCGCCAGTTCCTTGTTGCTATTTGTCTACCGACCCTATAATTCATGTATCTGAAGAAGAAGACAATAATTAATTAATAACCAAATCACGACACTCAGCGACAGCCAAGTTCAGTTTAAAAAAAGGGGGGGAATTCAAGCCCTTTCCCCTTATCGCCGCCCCTCCATTCCCACAAGATGCCCAGCGTCCTGTTCCCCCCCCCCCCGCACGACTTTCCCAGACCGGCTAACGGCCCGCCCGGTCACGTGGGTCAGGACAGAACGCGTGAGAAGACCGCCGCGCGGTTGCCGGGAGAAATTGGGAGGCTCGAGCCGGCTGGCGATTGGAAAGCCGGATGGTGACCTTCCGCGGAAGCTCCGCCCCTTTCCCCGCGACGGGGCGGGGAGGCTTTATAAGTGCGGGGGAGGGCGGCTGCCGAGCGGGCTTGAGTTTGTTAGGTGGTTGAGGTGAGTGTTCCTCCTGTGGTGATACCCGCGTCCTTTCTCCCTCCTCCCGGGAAGGATGGGGCGGCGAGGAAGAGGAGGCGACCGGTAGGGTTAGTGACCCAGGGAACGGCGTCTTCTGTGTGGGCTCCTGGGGTTTGGCGTGTTTGGTCGGCATTCGTAAGCAAGGGAAGCGGGGGAGAGTCCCCGTCGTTGTCCCACCTGCCTGAAGGATGCCTGGGAGGGAGGCAGCGCCTCTTCAGCCGTGGACGCCTGAGGGAGAGACCTGCTTCGTCATTCGCCCCCTCCGCAGCTGCCTAGGGCTGATAAGGAGGTTTAAACGGGAGTTTCAGTTGCCCAGTTTCTCCCCTCACAAGCCGTCTTCATAAAAAAATGGCCAAAACCTCGATCTCCCTGGTGCCAGTCGTTTCGTCCCTGAGGCTCCTTCCCCTCAAGGGTTGCTCCCCGAGGCAGCCCTATTCCACCCCCCCCAAAATGCCCTCTGCAACTGGCCAGCCTTTGCACGCTGTCTTCCGAGGAGGCTGCTTGGATCCCAAGGAGACTTGCTGCTGAGTAAACTTGGCGCAGGACGGGGCTGCAGCCCTTCCGCCTCCATGGCCCGGAGCCTCGCTGACCGTGGAAGGGTTTGCTTTCGAGTAGACGTGGCCAGGATCGCCCTGGAAGTCCTTGCCGGGGCCGTTCTCTTGCTTTCTTTGGGAGGTGAACCTGCCTTGCTCCTCCGCCTCCCTCTCTGCCTTTGCAGGTGACATGGCATCCTTTGCGGCATCTGGGGATTCAACGGGCTGCAGCCCTCTGAAGCTTATTGCCTCCCTCCTCACCCTTGAGGCCTTTTAAAGAGTTGGTTCTTTTTTGTGTGTGTGTGTGTGCTCTATTGATTAAATGGGGTGACCCACTTCTCTTGGAAGTTCCTTCTGCTTACTTTATTTTCCAATATTTATTTTGGCTGCTCATTGTGCCTGATTTCTGACTGCAAGGAGCCGGTTATCATAAACATACTTTTTGTGTGGTTTCTAAAAAAGATGCTTTGGAACCTTCCAGCTTTCTTTTCTCCCCAGGATGAGAGGTTGATTATGTTTTGTTAGTGACCCTGTTTTAAGTGCAGTTGGGGCATGATTAGGAGGGTTTCACCCCTTCGATCTTCTTTAACTTAGGGCAGTATATGAAAGTATGTTACTTAATCCGCTGCATGTACTGTATGTACGTTCAGGATGGTTGTTCATGTCAACTAAACTAGAGCTAGAAGGGAAAGGTTAGACTGATAGAGTACAGTGGGTGTTGGTTTTTCAAACTTGTGTTGAACTCTGCTGTTGAGGAATGTTATTAACTCCAAGTGAACAACTCTGGAGAGGGCAATGTAAAAAGGCCAACACAGTTTAAGACTTCTTGCTTCCATGCTGGAAATTCCTTGAGTATACTCAAATGTTGTGTATAATATGGACAAAGATGAAACTTGATTCTTAAAAGTTGCATATTTCTAGAAGCTTCTGCATTGTATGATATATTTTCTACCAAAGGGACAGATATATTTATTTCCTGAACTACAGACTTATTTCTAATGTTGTAAAGAACAACACAGAAATTGTCTGAGAGAAGAGCTAAATACTGTAATACTGCTTCCTTTGCAGCCCTAGCCATTCCAATGGTGCAGCTTTCACAGTCTCCGCTACGCCACCCTTCGCCTTCGTGCTGCTCTGAGGAAGGGGAGGAGAAGAGCATGAAACCAACTAAGCAGCAGGTGGCTCAGGGTCCTAGAGGGGATAATCAGCCTCCCTTGAGCCCCCTGCAGGCTGCTTTGAATTCTGCCACCACAGCTTCCCAGGCTTATGAGACTTACATTGAGAATGGGCTTATCTGCCTAAAACACAAGATTCGGAACATTGAGAAAAAGAAGGTAGGTGTTTCCTTTTGACCAGAAAAATGAGAGAAGTGTCACTAAATAAATGCTTAATTTTATTTATTCCATAGCTCCTTGCTTTTCTGTTTTTCCATTGCAAGCTTCCTGGGGGAAACAGAAGGCTTGCAGTTATTGCTTATGACACTGTAAAATGAAGCAGCAAATAAGGGTAGACATATTTTTTTTGTTTTGGATATTTGCCATCCTTTAAAATGAAACTCATGTAGTGCAGTTAGTTGTGTCTAGAGAAAAACAAGCTTTCTGCTGCAACATTTGATTGTGTGCATCATATACTTTCTATATGTTCTTTCGAATTCTCATTGGCTTGTGTTTAATATAAATTAGAAGTTAGCCTGTAGGTGTTCTGCTGAATTTCAGTGCAATGTTCCAGTGCTGTCAGTATAACATCTGAATGACTGGAAGTAGCTTTGTACTTGATTAGTCAGCCTTAATTCTGCAGAAAGATGCCTTTGCAGTCTGGTTGCAGTAGTTACCAGATCTTCAATACATCACCAAAAGTAACTTTTGGCACCTCTAGTAATTGTAAACTGATGTATTGCCAAGCAGAGAATAAGATGAATAGTCTTAATAGTGGTTCCAGTTTTATGAACTTTTTACACAATGGAGAGGCTGAACACTGTTGTGGAGATGCTGAACACATTGATTCTCTCTTGCAGTAACTTTATAGAGTTTTCATGTTCATAAGAAATATTCTTTGTATTCTACAGATTATAGTTGTAGTCAGATTCCTGTAATTTTTTCAAAGAATGCAGATTTCCCTTTGGATAATTTTTTTCAAACATTTAAGCTGTAGAAAAAGCAACATTGGGAGCTACATGGTGGTAGTAACAGTTTTAATGTATGCTTCTGATGACATATAATTCAATTTTATCTTGTGCCTTGAAATGAACAGATCTTAAGATAAAGCTGCTTATATCTGGTTTAATCCTATGCTTTCTTGCTAACTGTTCACAGCTCAAACTGGAAGACTACAAAGATCGTCTAAAAAAGGGAGAATCTCTCAACCAGGATCAGCTGGTAGATTTCTTGTATTTCATTCTGAATGTCAAATACTTATTTCATTCACTTTTCAGTGGAAAGCTCAGTTACATATGTGGTCTTTCATCTAGGTAGCTATACAAATTACCTGGTTAGATTAAGAAACAGTACCATATCACCAGATTAAGAGATTGGAAGCAGGCTACAAATTCACCATATGTTTTCCCTGGATACTTAGTGGTGAATAGTAGCCAGGACTTGAAGCTGGTTCACATTCTACTGAACCTTAGTTACTGTTTACTGTGGTTAAGACTTGGACAGATATATGCTGTAACTACAGTGAACAGTGGAGACATTTCAAGGAGTTCTTAGAGCAGCCTCCTTGAGGACAGTTGAGGTGCTGCTTAGCTGTGTTACATGTGCCTTGACCCCATTGTGACATATTTCAAGGAATAATCCAAGAAGGTTTTGCCAAAATATGCTGTTTCATCATAATCTGGTATGGCTTGTCTGTAATTGTGGTTTGTATTCTGGACTGCAATGGACAAATACCATGTAACTGAAAGTAATAATTGCACTTCAATCTAGCTCTGATTCTTGGCTCTTCTTGACACTATTTTTAAATTCCAGTAGTATGAATTGTGAAGTTTAATTGGCTTATTCCTGTATAGCATTAATTATATTTGGATGAAGCATGGGTAGCTGTTGTCTTCCAAATGTTTTTTATCCTGCATCTCCCAGCAAGCCTAGCCAGCACAGTAAATATTGAGGGATTGTAGGAGTGTTAGGTGAAATACACCTGAAGGGCCATCTCCCTCAAACAATCAAGGCAACAGGAAAGCTGTAGCTATTTTTTTTTTTTGCAAATAACATACTAGTCACTTTCTTAGCAGCCCTAATTGTAGAAAGACTGAATTCTGTCCTAATGAAAATGTAGAAACAGTACTTATTCAAATGAGCATAAGCAATGCATTTTGTTTCTTTACCCTGGTGACCTGATGAGAAGACAAATAAATAGTGACTAAATACCCTGTTTCCCCAAAAATAAGACCTAACTTGAAAATAAGCCCTAGTATGATTTTTCAGGATGCTCGTAATATAAGCCCTACCCCCAAAATAAGCCCTAGTTAAGTGAAACCCCAACCCACCCCCCCCCACTGTGCAGCAACCAGAAGATGACATGATTGTAAAATATAACATCCCCTGAAAATAAGCCCTAGTGTGGTTTTTTTGGGGGGAGCAAAAGTATAAGACGCTGTCTTATTTTCAGGGAAACACCGTATTATATAGTATAAACTGGGTTCACCCTGTTGATTTGGTTGAAAGACCAGTATCCCTAAGCAGTTACTTTTTTAAGTTGATCATAGCAAGAGCTAACATCTCAGTTTACTTTTATATTATGTGTTTTTGATCCTGACCCCATGGACAGGGATAGTCTTGCTTTTTAATTTGTATAAAATGCATAGTAAAAGTTTTAGGGAATCTGAGTGAGTAATTAAGTGTGCTTAATTACAGGAAGCAGTTGAAAAATATGATGAAGTGGTACATAATTTGGAATTTGCTAAAGAACTTCAGAAGACATTTTCTGGGCTTAGTCAAGAAGTAAGTAGAGTACATGATTATACAGAAATGGGTTATTGGTACATTTGGTGAACAGGAATGTTGCTGTGTTACTGCCCTCACAGACTTCTTGCTGTTACTAAGGTAATCACTGATAATGTCTGCTTAATTACACGCACTAAACCTGAGAGGTTGCTTGGGGGGGCATTAATGCTATTACGCACTGTGTTTTTCCAAGGGTCTAGACTGATGATGCGAAGTGCTCCTCTGCTGATCTGTCTTGCCGTGGAATAGTACCCGGATACATTATACAATATGAAAATCTGTAATTAACTGGCTGTGGTTGTAAAGCTTAGAATTTAGGATTGTAGAGACTTCAATTAATATATTGAGTGACTTTATCTTGGTTAAAATGTTTGAAGTAACAGGAATGTAACTGAAGTTAGAGCTTTTTTCCTGCACCCCAGAGTGGCTCCTAGTCAAAACTGTTAAAAAATTGTGTAACATATACATTTTCTTTGTATTGGTATAGCTGCTGAAAACGCAAAAGAAAGCACAGAGAAGGGAAACTATAATGAAACTTGAAGCAGAGAAGAAGAAGCTCCGCACAGTACTGCAGGTCCAGTATGTGCTGCAAAATTTCACTCATGAGCATGTGCAGAAAGACTTCAAAGGTGGCTTGAATGGTGCAGTATATCTGCCTTCTAAAGACCTAGACTACCTCATTAAATTTGCAAACTTGACATGTTCAGGAAGAAATGAAAGCCTTAGGTAAGTATTTTTTTTCTTTAACTTACCTTCAGATCATTGTAGATTGGCCTTGTTGTTAGTCCCAATCCTGTTAGAGCCCTTCAGGATGACTTGCTTGGTATGGATCTTCCTACTTGCCACTGATAGTTGTTTTGATTTTTCTTGACACAGCTTACTTGCTTGCCAAGTCAGGGAAAAATGTTTTCCCCCCTGTATTGCAGGACAGTAGCCACTGCTTGTTTTCCTTTCCATCTAGGTCCATTGATGGTGAGCAGGCAAGCTGTTTCCCCCTTTGCAGTTAGTTTAATTGCTACTGCTGAAACACAGATCTTCGACGGTGAGCAGGCAAGCTGTTTTCCCCTTTGCAGTTAAATTGCTACTGCTGAAACACAGATCTTCGAGGAAAAAGTTTTACGGGATAAGGATGTCTTGGCTGTGATTCTTAGATCAAGTGTATCAGCTGGTGCTCAAACATTCTGGTTCACAATGCCAGGCCTGATTTGTTTTGCAGTACAGTTGCTTAAATTTGAGCATTCAGTTTAGTTTATGCTCAAAGGCTTTCACGGCTGGGATCTGATGCATTTGAGCATTCAGTTTAGTTTTTTGGGCTCTTTGGCCGTGTGCTAAAGGTGGTTCTTCCTGACGTTTTGCCAGTCTCTGTGGCCGGCATCTTCAGAGGACTGGAGTAGGAACTCTGTTCATGCTCTGTGGATGTTTGCTGGATAGTTGAGTATAGCTGTGGGAACAACTTTTGTCCTTTTCAGGAGATAAGGTGATCAACGTGTTTTTGTTGTGGATGTATTGTTGTGATAAGTGGGAGAGATTATTTGTCACTGTGGTTGATGGGTATCTTTAGCTGGTCTCTTTTGTGAAATGATCCCTCGTCCTTGTGGCTGGGTAGAGTTCGTTGACCTTCTTCAGGCTGTATTTTCCAGTGTTGGAAGCCCGGCCTTGTTCGATTTCAGACTTTCCTTTTTTTTGTTGAAGCTATGCTGATGTTTATGGACTTCAATGGCTTCCCTGATGTATTTAAGCATTCCTATAAACTTTAGCATGAACTGCTTTCTGAATATTGCCTTCAAAAACATTTTTTCAGTATGCAGTCATTCTAGATCAATTGAATTAGTCATTCTTTCCCATGCAAATGTTAGAAAGGTATTTTTGTTTCCAGTTTAGGAATGGCTCTTTTTCATCAGACTTCAAACACAAGTAGTACTATCTTCAGGCAAAGTATTTAGGTTGTTGGTCTTCTGATGAAGCTGAACAATGTAGACTGAAATTCTCAGGCACTGGTAGCTAAATCTTGCCCTCAGGGGTTCTTTTGGCAGCCGTGCACTCTTTCCTGTGATGCAGTTGTTTGGTGCTCTCCCAGATTCTACATGGATTTTTCTCCACTTTGAAAGATTGAAACTGAGGCTTAATTATAGTGGGAGATTTAAACTAAATTATGCTGAAAGTTTAATTCCACTCAGTTCCCTTTAGTTCTTTTTGTTTCTTCTTCATGGTCTCTGAATGCACACAAATGCAGGACTTCTTGGAATCTTCTAAAGCTCAAAAGCATGATTAGTAAGATGTTCCCTTGTGGTGCCCATACGAGGTGTCACAAAAATGTGTTAAAATCATGAAATAGCATAGTCCCCTGACATAAGGTAAATGCAGGATTAATTTTCACCATTGGATATTTATGGGTCTGTAAGTTGCAAGATAGGGACGTGGTGGCGCTGTGGGCTAAACCGCAGAAGCCTGTGCTTGCAGGGTCAGAAGACCAGCAGTCGTAAGATCGAATCCACGCGACGGAGTGAGCTCCCATCGCTTGTCCCAGCTCCCGCCAACCTAGCGGTTCGAAAGCAAGCAAATGCAAGTAGATAGATAGGGACCACCTCGGTGGGAAGGTAACAGTGTTCCGTGTCTAAGTCGCACTGGCCACGTGACCATGGAAGATTGTCTTCGGACAAAAACACTGGCTCTATGGCTTGGAAATGGGGATGAGCACCACCCCCTAGAGTCAAACACGACTGGACAAAAATTGTCAATCAACCTTTACCTTTACCTTTAAGTTGCAAGATGCTGGCTGAAATTCTGTTTCTGTAAATTCCACAGTGTGAGGTTGATGATATTCTCAGCCAACCTAAAGCATCTGTGGATCTCTAGTAAATATATTCTCCCATCCTGAAGCCTCTATGGGTCTCTAGTAAATCTTTTCATTGTAGAAAACCCACAGAGGTAGAGGGAAAGGAGGGAGGAATCTTCAAATCACTGAAAATTTCACTAACAAAAAAGTCATCCTAGTAGCAACAGTTTTCAGTAATAAAAGATTTCTCGTTCTTATCCTGCAGCCCCAACAGCTTCCCACTAATGAAAGGTTGCTTAGGTCCTCTAGGGGGCTCAAGAGAAGATGAAGAAATGCTTAGTTACCCAAAAATTTTCTTGCTTGATGATGTCATCAGCCTTATGCTGTTGAATTTAAACAAACATGATTTCAGCCATTGTGTTGTACCTGTAGTAGCAAATAGCCATCTAAAAATTAGTTGTGATGTAACTGCTTACTTGATTTGATAAGTTTGTTTCTCTTAGTACTTTTTTTTCTTTTGGATTTAAGTGTTGAAGATCAAATGGAGCAGTCATCACTTTACTTCTGGGATCTTCTAGAAGGCAGTGAAAAAGCAATAGTTGGAACAACTTGTAAGTAGTCTTCAAGCAAAACTCTTTTTGTACAATCTGATTTGTTATATTGGTGTTTATTACTGCTCTTAAAGGAAAATGTTACATAGCTAGGCTGGTATAAGAATTTTAATAAGGGATCTTTACATATTTTGCTCTATTATTCTTTCAAAAACTTTGTTTTCCTACTTTACCTTCGCATAACTGCTTAGGATAAAGGTATCAAACATAACATCTGAGGAACATAGTAGTACGTCACAAAACATTATGTGATTGATTACCGCGATGACTAGAAGACCAGTGCATTTAAATAGGTATGGGCAGTAATGTGGATTTTGTGGTTTAAAAATCCAGTGCTCTCAGTAGAATATAAGTGGATTTTTTAAGGCAGAGTTCTATTACTTATCTGTGCTATGTTAAGTAAAACAACATAAATTGCAGCAGCCTCTTACAGCTAGTTAAGCAGTCAGGATTTGTATTCCTTGCTGTGTGCCTATTATGTGTGTTACACCATTTGACATACACCAGCATATGTAAGTAATAGGATTCTGGCTGTTATTAAACTTATAATAGTTATTGTATGTATTTTTTATACACGCACACACAGACACTGTTCACAAAATTGCTAAATTTTGTAAACCATATTTGATGTAATGGTTAATACGTCAGATGAAAACTAGAATGGGGAAGACCTTGTTTAATTTACCAGTCTGTCATGAGGCTTGCTATGTGGCCTTGAGCCATTCACTGTCTCTTACTGTTACTTCCCACGTACTGATTTTTAGCATATCTACATTCTTCTTGCCTTATTAAGACTAAAAGACATGGACTGTGCAGGATCTTATCTGAAAATGCAAAGTGGTTGTAAGGTTAGAAAATTCCCAAATTTAAGAAAAAGTAGACATTGTTCTGTGTTTGTTGAAAGGAAACAGACATTAATTTTGATTGTGAAACGTATTGAATGTTTTTGGGTTAAGTAATTTACCCCCAATGCCTTGTGCCTAACCCAAAACAAGTGTCACATCCTCACTTGTTCTTTCTATATTCATTCAAACGGTAAATTCCTTTTATAATTGTAGAATATCTTCAACGTTCAACTCCTTTGCCTTTTAGATAAGCACCTGAAGGAACTATTGTCCAAACTATTAAATTCCAGTTACTTTGAAAACATTCCTGCACCTTGTGATATACCAGGAAAAGAGGAACTGAAAGAAGAAGCATCTAGAAGACCTGAATTGAAAGAAGTGCATAGAAAACCTGAAAAAACAAAGCAGTTGTCAGTATTGGAATCTATCAGTGAACCAGGTAGTATAAATACTGAAAGCTTAAATACTTATCAAATGAACAGCTGGTGGAACTCTTCCTGCTTATAATGGCTGAAATCTTGTTCATTCTGGAATAATGTAAAGTTACAGCAATTGAAACTTTTTGGACATTAGACCCAGGTAGCCAGCATTGTACATTTGGAACGCACAATCATTTGTGTGGCTCCTGTTTTTATTATTGCACAACATTTATGTTGAAGTGCTTAGTGAAGTGCTTTTGCTCTCCCATGATTTTTGTTATCATTGCCACAACAGGATTTCAGCCAATGTCTTTGTAAAGCTTCATATTTATCTGTGGTCTCCTATGCACAATTATACCTTAGCTTCCTAAGTCATAATATGAAAACAAAGAAAATTGTAGTAATAGCTTTCCCATTTCATCTGGGAGACACTGATTACCAATTTTAGAACATTCTTAGATATCAAACTATAGTTTGAAATTAATATCCAGGGTGTTCTGAAGCTTGTAGTATAGGGTATTTATTTATTTATTGGATTTCTATCCCGCCTATCTAGACCAAAGTTCTACTCTGGGCAATTTACATATTTAAAAACAATAAAACCAAAAACATATATTATAGGTCCAAGATGGCGAAGTATAAGAAATTAAGACATGGCAGGAGGGAAAGCCTGCCCAAATAGCCAGGTTTTAAGTCTGTTCTTGAAAACACCCAGAGGGGGAGCCAGGCGGATCTCCACTGGCAAGTTGTTCCAAACGCTAGGGGCCACTGCCGAGAAGACCTTATTTCTCGTCCTTTCCCTCTGGATCTCCCTCTGCGTTAGGCCCCTCAGCCACCTGGTCTGGCTGGAACGAGTGACTGGCAGAACTGGGTGGGAGAAGGTGCTCTGCCAAATATCAAGGTCCTAAACCGTTTAGGGCTTTATATGTAATTGTAAGAACTTTGAAATCAACACAGAAACGAATGGAGAGCCAATGCAAGGTGGCCAGCATGGGAGAAATATGTTGGTACCTTTTCACTCCTGTAAGACGTCTCGCCGCTACATTCTGTACCATCTGAAGTTTCAGTCTCAAAGGTAGCCCCACGTAGAGCACATTACAGTAGCTTAATCTTGAGACTACGAGTGAGCACACCGACATCAAGATAGGGACACAGCTGGGCAATCCGCCAAAGATGGAAATGTGCGGAGTGCATCACTGACAAGACCTGGGTCCAGATGTACACCCAAACTGTGAACCTCACTCTTGGTAGTAAGAGTCCCCCCCCCAAAGGAAAGGGAGTTTCCCAGACCACTGATGTCTGGGACACCCACCTGAAGGACCTCCGTCTTGCCCAGATTCAGCCTCAGTCCATTCACCTGCATCCATTGCTGAACAGCCCCCAGACAGCGCTCAAGGGACGAAACAGCATCCACTGTTGTTAGAAAAAAGATGTAGAGCTGAGTATCAGCGTACTGATGACCCCTCCCAGCTGCCTCATATAGATGTTAAATAGCATTGAAGAGATAATCGAGCCCTATGGAACCCCACAATCAAGGCTCCATGGGGCCGAGAAACTTTCCAGTCTGCGCTCTCTATGGATGGTCCTTCAAAAAGGAATGGAGCCAGGCAAGAGCCAGGTCATCGATTCCCAACTCAGAGAGCCTCCCCAGGAGAATACTATGGTCGACGGTATCAAAGGCGGCTGAGATATCGAGGAGAACCAGCAGAGACATTTTGCCTCTGTCGGCCTCCCTCAGTAGGTCATCAGTCAGGACGATGAGTGCTGTTTCTGTTCCGTGGCGCGGCCTGAACCCCGACTGGAATGGAACCAGGGCGTTGGTTTTCATCCAGAAAGGCCTCCTTTAAAGCCTTCCTTTTAAGAGGAAGGGGGGGGAACTATTAATTAGAAGCTTTCTGGTCTATGTTTTTTTATGAAAGGAATGCTGCATAGGTTATAAGTCTGATCTAGATGAAATTGAGAAATGATGGGCTGAACCAGTCCAGTATCACTTATGTCTCTTTTATCTAAAAAAAATTAGCTGCCCAAGATGAATGTTGGATCTTTCTATTAATAGCTCATAAATTCTTTTAAAAGTGTGTGACCATTTTAAAGTCTAGGGTTGTACTTTTCCAAGCAAGTCATTCTAACTTAGTCTGAAATGTATTTTTTCTGTGAACATTTAGAAAACCAGTTCTATTGCTAGTAATACCACATTCATTCTTTCTGAGAATATATATTGCTTAGCCATATAAATATTTAGATTCAAGTTATTTAATTCTTCTAGGTTCTCAAGTGGAGTGTATCCAGTCAGAGATACAGCCACAGGAGGTATGTTACCAATCTTGTCTGTCAGTCTAGATGCAATGTAATATTAAATTGATGCAGAAGAGCATTCTGTCAGTGAAGTGTTGATAAAGTTGGCATGGTACAGGCATTTCTGGAAAAAGCAGCACTTAAAGATTTTTCTGTTACAATTTTTAAACTGATACAGTAAGCAAAATCCAAAAGTTTAAACTTTGTGGAGTGCAGTTGAGCGGAATGTAGCCAAAGGGAATTTGCCAGGCATTGGAAGTATACAGAGAAAAGATCCACATAGCATAAAATTGATATTTCATGCTTTTGCTCTAATTCTTGAACTAAGACATCATCAACCTTATCAGAGTCAATCAAATGAGTTTCTTTTAGAAGAAACTTACACATAAACTAAGCAGGAAGTTGAAGCAAGTACACTAATGTAAGGTGTTCATTACAAGATTAGGAATAAAGCGGTGACAACTTGTAAGTCTAAAACCGTCAGATCTAAATGCATGTCAGTCAGCAGTATATATAGTGAATAGGAATATAAAACATGCTTTAATTTTCATACTAAGTTGAGTGGGCACAAGGTGGATTCAGACAGAAAAACAAACTCAGTTTCACGATTCTGACAAGTTAATTCATTTCTGCAAAATTCAGAGTCATGATTTTTTGGAAAATGAAATTTTGGGAAAACAAGCAGGTTGCAACTGGAAGTATAAAGCTACTATTAGAACAAACAGGGGAGAGCACCTGATTTTCACTGATTTTTGCCATATCTGCTGCTATTCCTGAGAAATCATGTGCTGCTTGAATAGTCTTTTAATCCTCAATCAGTGGGTTGTAGGAGGAGGCTGAATTGAGTAGCGGGGTTTGTCTATAATGAAGCATCCATTTTGTGCACAAGTGTTTTCTGCTAGTGCAGAGTACCATTGGGTATAAATAACTCAATGTGTGCACTGCTTTTCTTACCAAATGTAACTTTGCTGATTTTAAGAACAGGACTGTTATGTGATGTTTGGCATGTATTTGCTCATTAGCTTTTGAAAATTGAAAATGTTAGCGCCTTTGTTTTGGCAAATTGGCAAGTAAACCTTGTACAGTCGTGGCCTGCTTAACGATTACCCCCTATAACGATGAATCCACTTCACGACAATGTTTTTGCAATCGCAATTGTGATCACAAAACAATGTTTTAATGGGTTTTTTTTCGCTTTCCAATGATCGGTTCCCTGCTTCGGGAACCGATTCTTCACATTACGACGATCACAACAGCTGATCGTCGAGTTTTCAAAATGGCCACTGGCTGTTCAAGATGGCTCCCTGCTGTTTTTAGGAGGCATTTTTCGCTTAACAGGCACCCGAAAATGGCCGCCGTATGGAGGATCTTCACTGGACGAGCAGGTATTCAGCCCATTGGAACGCATTGAATGGTTTTCAATGCATTTCAGAGGGCTTTTTTATTTCTCTTTATGACGTTTTCGCTCTACAGCGATTTCGCTGGAACGAATTAATGTCATCAAGCAAGGCACCACTGAACTGGATGGTGTTGTATGCCTAGTTATTTTGTAATCGGGAAAATAAGAGTAACAAGTAAAAATAGAGACACAGCTAGCATGGTAGTAAGCAAAAGAAAAGCTTGGTTTGAGTTTCAACAGTATGTCAACTCCAGCATTTTTTCAGTCGAAACAAGTACATTGTTTGGGAGGGGAAATACTGCAATAGATAGGGACAATAAATTAAGAAATTAAGTTAGTATAACATTGGCCTCCTCGCTCAATGATGTTACACAGAAAATGTCATAGCAACTAGAGAGGAAATTTTTTACATTAAATGAGAGTTTTACATTAAATGAGGTAAGATCCATAATGGTATATAATTCCAAATTTGCTGGATTACAAAAAATGAAAGGTTCTAAAACGGAAGTAACATTTTGTGTCGCTGCCCTGACATGACTGCCATGATAAATGTTTCAAACATTTATTAGCCTCTTTAACTTAATACAGAAGATGAAGCATCTGGACAGCAAGAGGAGTTGAAGGCTGGGCTGTTTATAGTATCTTCTCTCGCTCTCTTTTTCACCCTTCCACATCTTGAGCCCGTCAGTTTGTGCAGAAAACTGGCCAGCAGGAAAAGAGCTAAGAAACCTGTCCCTGCTTCACTCATTTGTAGTCTCCTGGGATGGTTACCTAAAAAATGACATGAAGGGACTATTATATGTTCCCTCGTTTGCTTTGTAAATTTGTGTGTTTTAGGCAACTTTACCTTTTGTGAGCCAGGGAGTATGGGTTTAAAAGGAGGATCTCAGTAGTCAAATGTTAATTTCTCTTAAATACATAGTTTGGCAGAAGCATTTATGGGTTAGCTGTTCTACCCAAAAGAAGTTGGAAGAAGAGTAGAACTATCATCATCTCTATCGTAATGCTAATGGAGGGTTCTGGTGAGGAAAAGCTTCAGGGAAGAACAAGTGTAAATTAGAATGCCCAAGGGTGGGACTACACTGGAAAGCTGAGATTTGATTCACAAACTATTACATTTGAAATAGCAGTCAGTGCTCACACAGGTTGTGGATTGATTCAGGAGTTCACAATTAATACTAGATGTGGTGCAATTTGTATTCTAACCCACAGCCCCCTTTCTTTTCTTCCTTCCTCTGGTCACACCTTTGGTCATACTTTTATGGCTCACTGTGAAGCTGCCATCTCATTTAAAGCTTCAGACTACTACATTTCTCAGACATTTTATAGAAAAATAACATGGAAAAATACTTCACAGTATAAGAGTACAGAACATCAAAAATTTGAACAATACTTTTGCAAACTACATTATAATTCACATGTTGGAATGATTCCATAACAAAGATCAGCACTTTTCCCATCCTATCCATTACTATTTTCCCTTATTTTCAAGTAATGCATGCAAGAATTATCTCATCTCTGGTCACAGTTTATCATGCCAGTAGTTTAAAATGGTACATGAACAGAGATGAAGTAATTCTTGTGTGCGTTTCTTGAAAGTAGGGGAAAAGAGTAACAAATGGGAAGGAGAAGGTGATTTTTAATGACACTTTGAGATCTGTCAGGTAATTAATAGCAGTAAGCTTTTGCTTCGAAAGGGGCTTCCCACATGATTGGACAGGACTCCCGACTAGCACCTTATCCCCCAGATTAAAATAACTGTGTTTTGCTTTCCATGCCCCTCAGGCCTAAACACCACGTCCCACTGCTTACAACACTAAAACACCACATGCATACTTCATTTTTACAAGAATGCATCACAACTAACTGCACAGCAAAAAGTCTGTTTAAATCATTCTGGCTTGAAAAAGAAGAAACCTCACAGCAGCAGAGAGAAAAAGCCACTTTGGGAGAAAAAGGGCTGGACCAATTCAAACCAGCCTTTGTGTCTTGCAGTCAGTAAAATACTACAAATTCACTTATATTCTAAGCATATTTGACCATGTTGTTGCTTTCCAGTTTGCCAGTTTTCGGTTATGAATGCTGCCTGTGTTTAATAGTTTCTTTTCATTGAAAGTTAGAAGCCAACACTAGCACTATAACCAGTTGAGGTTGAAATGAGCTGGAAAGGGATATTATGCAGTAGAGAATTGGCATTTGGGAGAACTGAATAATCCTATTATGTAGGTATTCTCCCTTGTCATTTTGCAGTTATCTCAATATAAGTTTGAGCGCTTGTGTCTAATACTATCTAATTTAACCTCCAATTCTTGTTAAGTAACTTAATGTGTCACAAGTTTTTGTTGCTAAATAATAGATCAGCTGATTGCCATTTTGTTTTGCTTGATGCATTTTAAATTTGTCTGGTCTATATAGTTTCTTAATAGGCGCTATTTGCCTGAAGCTGGTTATGCTGTCAAGTCTGAAGAATCCAAACATTGGGAGACAGAGAATGCTAAAAAGAATGAGACCCCCAAATCCTGGGAACTTCTTGTTAACATGGAACAGCAAGATCAAAAGAAGCAGAAGCAAGAACCTGCAAAATCTGTGGAATCTGTAAAGCAGCAAGGAAAGAAGCTGGAAGGTTCAAGACCTTGGGAAGTTCATCTGAAGGAAAATGATGATTGCAAGCAAGAAGTCTCAACACCTTGGGTAGCACATGTTAGGGATCAGCAAGGCTCTCCCAAACCTTGGGTAACCAAAACTAAGGAAGAATTAGATCAAAAGCAAGAAACATCAAAATCATGGGTTGCTCAGACAAGAGTGGAAACAGTGCAGAAACCAGAATCTGTGAAGCCCTGGGCTTCATGTGTTAGAGAGGTGACAGAGGAAAAGAAACAAGACCCTGCGAAACCGTGGGTTACGCACATAGCAGAAATAACAGAACAAAAAACACGAACCCCCAAAACGTGGGAAACAGCAGAAGGACCACAGCAAACAGTTCAGCAGAATTTACAGAATCCTCCAAAAATCTGGGAAGCAGGAAACCTTGTGACAAAAGAGCAGACTGGGCCAAAGAAGCTTGACTCGGAACCCAAAGAAGTGAGTTGATACAAGTAGTAAATCCGCCCTTTTAAAGTATGGTACTAAAATTATAGACTAAGGTGATATAGCTATTCATTGAAAGCTTGGACTTTGCCAATGCAGAATTTTCATTGCTGTAGTAGTATGTATGAAATAGTTTGTTCTTCTTGCATCGTAGGACCTTAGGTGGTTACAGAGCTGTGTGATGTCCAGATGCATCTACCAAGAAAGTCCTAAGTCCAAACAGTGAACTGAATGCACATTTTTTTCTTTCAACTAAAAGATTTCCATTCCCTTTATCAAGGTCTATGGCCATCTGCAGTGCTAGTAGATCTTAAAACCTGGCTGAGTTTTGGTGGTTCTTACAATATGGTATTCCATGTGGAAACTTATCAGACAACACTTTTTTCTTAGCGTAGACTTCAAAAGGCAGTAGTGACATAAAAAGCTGGTTTGGTTATGGCAGGAGACCATGGTCTCCTTATAAATGCCCAGTGCTCGTGTTTCTCTTACCTTCTTGTGTTAGAGAGGAGACAGACTGTTGTGCAGTGGAGGGAAGAAGCTTCTTAAACAGAAACTAGCAGTTCCCAGTTACATCTTAAGTTGGAGCTTTGTCTCTTATACAGCAGTTTCTTAGAGTGAGCTAGAGTAAACTGACTTTAGACTCTGGCTCTATGGAAATCCCATTGATTTAGTCCTATTGAATCAGTAGATCTGCTCTGGTTCCAACTGAACATTGAATTAATATCTCTGTATATCTGATCCAGGACACTTAGCTGCAAAGTTTAATTAACTATTATTAGAATTAATAAAACACTACATTCAATACTAGATTGTTATTTTTAAAAATTGCTGTGGATGAACAGTGTTGGGTCATGGATTTTATAACCATGTCATAGGTGCATTTTAGTCAAGTTAGAAAGGTGGAACATGGTACACCTCAGGTTCCTTGAAGGTAATAGAATGTTTGAATAAAATATTAATAGTAAAAGAGAGTAAATAGTTTGCTGTTTTCAGAAATCTTGCCAATAGCATCTTGCTCAGTTCATGTCTTCTCAGTGATGTATTGGCTTGCATTCTGGGGTTAGAAGAATCTTAACAAAATTAGGATAACTCTTGTAATTGTTTGTAAAACTTCTGCTGATATTGTATGAGTTTTAAGAAATATTTCCCAAATTTTTGGCTACTTTCTGTTGCATGTGTCCTCAAGAGTGGGTCAGGGGAAATTATAGTCCCCTTTAATCTCACTAACTGTCCTGAGCATTTGGGGCTAGGCAGATTCCAGAGATGAGGACGTGCAATGGTGGAGCTTGCCCTTGGAACTGATTTCCAAACATCTTTCTAAATGCTTCTTAATCTAGAGACGAGAGCGCAGATTGAAACTTGAATCTGAAGTGAAACAAGTAAGTAAAAAAAAAAACAACAACCCAAGACCACTGGGTGGTAATGGTAGGGAAGCTTCTGATATTATGTCTTAAAATTTTCACTCTTCTGGTGTATTTGCATGAAAGTTGTATTTTTCACTGATACTGGTTTTTGGATTAGATCTAGAAATTATGGTTAGTAGGTTTCTGTGGCAACGTTGTATAAAAGTGCAAATACTGACATTCACAAATGAATGCAGACACTTTGCTAGATTTTTGTTTTTAGGACTGGAATATTGTGGCTTCCCAATTTATTGTTGAGCCATTTTCTAACAAACACCATTCTTATTTTATGTAGGATGGAAAGACAGATGGAATAAGTGGACAATGCATTGATTCTGTAAGGAAAAAAGAGGGCCTTCAGTCAGTTGGAGAATCCTGTAAACTGCCTAGGAGTTTCCAAAACGTCATACAGGTGTGTTAGCCAGTTTATACTGAAGTTGTCACTGAGAATATCTTGGAATACTTAAGCTACGATTTCTGTGAGCAGCTAGAATAGTTTGTTTGAAGTATTGTATCTAACTCTGAGGATTATGGAACATAATATTCAGCTCCCTCCCCCCAAAGAATAGCTTAGTTTTTAGCAGCTATAAGGTGGCATTATTAAAAAATGTTATTTTTGGTTTTTACTTGTTTTTTCTACCTTCTCCTTCAATGAAACCAGAAAAGACAGTCCAGAACATATACTAATGCAGTGATCAAGGCTATAACTGGAAGAGGGACTTGATGGCTAGAATTTCTTGGGGGTTATATGCTGATAAAATGGTTTCTTTGCATGGGCTCAGGAGGGAGCGACTTCTTCAGGACAGTCCCATGTGCACTCCAGACTTTTGCTTCAGAGGGTTGGAAACCCTTCCAGAGCTTTGCTAGCTGGCCCCAAGTGATGGTAGGAGTTGGGGGCGGGAGGAGGGGTTCAGTTGGATTTAGGCCGATGTAACTGTACTCCTTGCAAGAACACAAGTGCTTGCCATCCCCACAAAGGAACTTTTGGGCTGAAGCTAGTGTGTTGACCTCCAGATGTATTTTCAAGACTGATTAACTACAACAGATAGTATAATTACACTTCTGTTTAATACATTCTGTTTGCTGAGGTATATTTTTTGGTTACCCTACCTCAATGAATGAACAATAGATCAAGTTAAAAATACACAGTGTGTAGAAAAATTCCAGTCTGTCTGATATACTTCAAACAGCTTTACAGTGCTTTTGGACCACATTTTTAAACCTTGCTTATTTGGGGCGAATCAGGACTCCTTATTATAGAACAGGTACAGGTAGAAAGACCTATAAATAACACACACCTACAGAATGACTTACATTGCCAGACTTGATATGCTTCCATAGGCTAGGTGGTTCATTGTACTCCAAGCAAAGATTAATTTCCTATCAATGCAGGATGCCTGGTAACTTGAAGGCACTGTCTCCACACAGAATTCTGCTTCTAGGAAAGAATTAAATTTCTTGATATATAGGATGCAGGAAGCTGGGACTAAGTCTAGAATTTTGAAGATGTAAGTTGTGAGACTCGCAGCAGCAAACTAAAATATTAACCATTCTCTGGCTCACAGCTGGAGAGAGAGAAGTTTTCTAATCAGCTTTATCAAAAGTCTGAAAATCAACAAATAAGCAATCTAAAGTAAGTTGTTCAATGAAATGTTGTATCATGTGTGGATAATTAGACATATTGACTTAGGCCCAGGTAAAAGATGTTGGAAATCTTTACAGAAACTATCTCGAGTTCCACTGAAAAGCTGTTAGCTGTGTTCACAGGTCTTATGTTACCTATGATTACTGTTCCTTCACTTGAAAAATTCCTGCAATATGCTGGTAGTAATAGGATTTGAAACACTCAGTGTGGTGGATCTGTCTAAGTGTATAGTAAGTAGAAAATGGGACTTGAAAACATGGAAAAACTAGGCAACATCTCACATTCCTGTCTATTAGGGTGCACAACCAACTGGTAAACATGTTTAAATCTCATTCTGATTACATGATAAATCAGTCTACCAACTAGACAGGCACTGCAGGTATCCTCTAGTGATACATTCTGCAAACATGAGTGCAAAGGAGAACTTTAGTAAAAGTAAGGAACTGAGAATTTATGGCCAGCCAGATATTACTGGATTTCATCTGCCATTATACCTTACCAATGCCTGTATTAGCTAAATCTAAGGGGATTGCAGGATCAAAATCTGGAGGGTCAGATTTTTCCTATTCTTCCATCTTACGTTCTTACCATGATATACATGTGGCACAATCCAATGCATATGTGTTTGGAAATTAGTCCCAGTTGATTCTAGGATGCATGTTTAGCACTACAACTTAAGTAGGTACAATATTAATACATTTTTAATGAAAATGGCCTTTATAGGTGGATACCAGGACTTCTTAAGCATTCTTTTCATGCAAAGGAAAAGGGATCCTAGAATAACCATTCCAAGAAGCATTGCTAAACTTGAAAGCTTCCATTGTTCCTTCCTTCCTCCCCCCCAAACCTTTTATTAGGTATCTAAGCCTGTGCATCAGCCAGCTGCGGAGTTTTGCTCTACTTCTAGTCTTCCAAAAGATCCAGTTCTAAGAAGGGAAAAACTGCAGGATCTGATGACTCAGATACAAGGAACCTACCATTTCATGCAAGTAAGTGTTCCTTATTAATAGCATAACACTAGTAGTATTGAGAGGTGAATTAATTCCTGATGGTAAATACAGGGCCTTCCTTACATTTCTGCCCTGTCTTCACTGTCAAGTTTTTGCGAACATACATGCAGGATTTCTAAAGTCCTTGCAAAGGAGACATCCTGGATGGATTAATTCTTACTGCTGCTCAAAAGGCAGGGTCATGTGATTTAAGCAAACTGAGTTGCTCTCTAGGCTCCATCCCTTGTTCTTTCACCTGCCTTCTCCCAGAAAAGGTCTCTACATCAGTTACTTACCTTCTGCCTCTTTTATTTTTTTCTGGGTTTTTAAAATCTCCTTCTGTCTTTCACTTTATCTTCCCTTCTGTTCCTCCTCTCAGCCTCTGCTTCCCATGACTCTGGCACAGAAAGCAGTAGTGAAATCCTTAAGGGTTCAGAGCACAAAAAGTCCACCCATTCCAGTGTTTCAAAGAATGCTTGTCCTTCTCAGACTGCCTCCTTCAAGAGCCACCAAACAGAACTGGATCCTGCACATTCATGCTGCAAAAAGAATTCTCTCTGCTTCCTGCCACCTTGCTGCTCTCCCATGGATTTTATCAGTCATCCGCAGGTTTATTATCAACCCAGTAAAAAACAACATAATGCCACTGTGGCAGCTTCATCATCATTCCTCGTAGACGCTCAAAGAGGCTAGGTTGTTTTCAATCCAGAGAGAATCTTAAAGTTCAAGCATGAGGCTCTCATGTACAACAGACAGTAGTGAATATAATGCACCTAACCCTCTCCTAGGTCTCATGATCTGTCTCCAAATTGTGTTGTCACGGGCACCCACACTCTCCAATGGTTTATTCTTCCCATCTAGACTCATTTTTGCTCTATGCAAAACTCTACCTTTTTGATTTTCAGACTCTGTCCGCCATTCTTTGCTGTGGTGGAGCAAGGTATCTAGTCTTGCTCTACTCGAACTTCTTCACAGCATTGTTCACCTTGGATGCCAGCTTTACAGTTTAGAGTAAGGCTGCCAGGATCATCATATCCAAGGATAATGGTCCTGTATGGAACACACATACTTGACCAATTGGTTGGAACTCGGGTGAGTCAACCATCACTTTACACCATGTTCTACTTAGGGTATTGTAACAGAGACCCACATCCATGGCTTCTTGCTCATCCATCCCAAGTTTATGGTTTTCCTACATGGAGTGAACCAGTTTGGCGGTTTGTGTTTGGTGGCCAGCTGAACAGGTGTTCCACAGTTTGTGTCTTGACTCTTTCAGAGGGCACCCACTTAGAGGTAGTGCCTGGATAGGAGGGGCTGGGAAGCCAGAGTGCAACTTCTGAGTGGGCACCTGCCTGAAGGGGTGGGGTGCCGAACCTCATGGAACATCTGTTCTGCCATCCAACGAACCAACACTTCATGCCCATCTCTAGTGAACACTTACGAACTGTCTTTGGTAGCACAATAAGGGGAACTTATTTTGTTATGATAGTTTTTTTTTCATTTAACAGAGAATATACCCTAGGGAGTGGAGTCTCATCCAAATGTTTTCAACCTATTTGAGTGAAAGGTGGTATAAGAATAAGAATAAGAATAAGAATATGTGACCAGGTTCGTCTTTAGCCGGGGGGGGTTGGGTGGTAAAGGCGGGAAACAGGCGCGGAGGCGAGTTCGAGTCTTGAGAAATAACAACTTTATCAAGTGAGATAGCAGAAGAGCTAAATTTTGGGCTGTGTATTGTGCAATATTATTATGTAAATGATTTATAACATGCTTTGTTTTTGACCTTCCCCTAAATCTTTTGAAGTTCTAACCTGGGGTTTGCAAATACAAACGGTATCCTACCACATGAAGAGCTAACTGAGAAGTGCCAGAAACTTTGTTTAACTGAAGAGCACCTTTGCCAGGCTAAGGCTGAAATTAAAAAGGTGAGGTCTTGTTGTGCAAATAAATTAATAATGAAAATGGGCTGTCACCCGTATCTTTCGGTGCCAAGGAATGTATTCTGCTTCTGAAACTTAAATATGAATTATTTCATTCATTAGATGTGATCAGGTACAAAGTAAACCAAAGAATGTACAGACTAACACTTCTTTTTGGCTGTACTAAGGGCATAAACTTGAAAGTACTGTGCTCTAAAATAAAAGGTGCAGCTTCATATAATGTGTGCTAATATCAGTAGCCAGCAAAAGAGCAGGATCCAAACCCTTAAACCGCAAACAATGAACCATCAACAGAGTGAAACAGCAGCTCTTCTAAATGAAGGGCCTGGTAGAGGAACAGTTGTCCTCATATGTCCAGAAGTGAATCAGTGAAGGTTTTTAGAAAAGCACATGTACAGAGATCCAGAATGGCTGAAATCTTTTGCAGGTATAACTACACCTGCAGAAGGGTAATGACATCAGCATTAGGGAAGTTTTTTGGTAATTCAAAACTTTCCTCTTTGCTCTTTTTGTCTGAATTGCAAATCCATTTCATCATGTGGGAGCTTTAAGGTGGAAGACTTTAATTCCTGAAAATCATTGCTGCTAGATGACGTTATAACTACATTCATACATCCTACTAAATACTTACCTGGCAGGAGAGATACCAGGAAATTTCCGTGACTTGTTGCTTGTTTCAGCTCTTTTCAGGCAGAATCTATACTCCCCAAGGCTCCTGGGTTGCCACTGTGCATTTCTCTTAGCTTTTCTCATCTCCTGAATTTTCAAGCAGCTATGCCCATATTGAGCATCCCAGGTCTTTATTCATAACTGGTTCTTAGAAATTTTTGTTCTTTCAAATGAAAATCCTTGGTTTCTTCCCACATGACCTTGCCTGCTCTCTGAGGGCTCTCTCATTCACCCAGATAGTGTACCTTCCGCCTTAACTCAGCCACATGGAATATGAATGCCTCCTCTTTTCTAGACAGGCTCATTGATATTTTACATTTGTCCACCTGGAAGTCTTTTCCTTTAATATCAAAGGCATTTTGTGGACTTGGGCTGAGCTAGTGTGCTGCATTGTTAAAGTATCTCCAAGCCATCATGGATCTTAGCTGATCACCCTTAGGAGCTAGTTAACAGCTCCTTCCTGTGTTCTCATAAAGCCAGGCATGCTGTCTCCCTCTTTCATCCTCAGGTTTGCTGGTTCATCCTAGCAAGCTCACTATTCTGTTTGTATGTTTCCTTCCAGAAATGTTCATATACAGTGGTGCCTCGCATAGCGAGGTTAATCCATTCCAGATTAACCTTCGTTATAGCGAAACATCGCTGAACGGGACAGGGAAAGCCATTGGAACGCATTAAATATCGTTTAATGCGTTCCAAAAGGCTCCTTTACTCACCGTTCAGCGAGGTTTCCTATGGCCGGCAGCCATTTTCGCGCCCTCGTTAAGCGAGGGGAGGGCGCGAAAATGCTGCGCGCGGCCATTTTGAGGCTTCCGGCGGCCATTTTGTCCGCCAAAAAGCTGATCGTCGGAGCTTCGTTTTGCGAAGATCAGTAAGCGAAACGCTTACCGATCTTCGCAAAGCGAATTTCTCCCTATCTGAAGCTCGTTGAGCGATCGCATTAGCAATCCAAAAAAACGGATCGCTATGCAATTTCATCGTTATACAGTGGGGTCTCGACTTACGAACGACCCGACTTGCGAACAATTCGAGTTACGAACCTGCCCTATAGGGAAAGTAAGGACTCGACATGCGAACTTCCCTCGACAGAGACCCACATCCATGGCTTCTTGCTCATCCATCCCAAGTTTATGGTTTTCCTACATGGAGTGAACCAGTTTGGCGGTTTGTGTTTGGTGGCCAGCTGAACAGGTGTTCCACAGTTTGTGTCTTGACTCTTTCAGAGGGCACCCACTTAGAGGTAGTGCCTGGATAGGAGGGGCTGGGAAGCCAGAGTGCAACTTCTGAGTGGGCACCTGCCTGAAGGGGTGGGGTGCCGAACCTCATGGAACATCTGTTCTGCCATCCAACGAACCAACACTTCATGCCCATCTCTAGTGAACACTTACGAACTGTCTTTGGTAGCACAATAAGGGGAACTTATTTTGTTATGATAGTTTTTTTTTCATTTGACAGAGAATATACCCTAGGGAGTGGAGTCTCATCCAAATGTTTTCAACCTATTTGAGTGAAAGGTGGTATAAGAATAAGAATAAGAATAAGAATATGTGACCAGGTTCGTCTTTAGCCGGGGGGGGTTGGGTGTCAGCCCACAGTTTCAGTGCCTTTCCTTTTAATTTATCCCAGGTGTGCATTTTTGGCAGTGATGAGGTCCCTTTCAGACTCAGTGCGCCATTTTTTTTCAAACGTAATGTTCTCTTTTGCAGATCTTAGGACCTAGGATTGCCATCATTTTGTCATCCACCTCACCATAGAGGAAAAAGCATTAAATACTTCATCAAAAACCCACATCAAGTACACAGCCTCTTATAGATGTTTGGAAATGCTCTTTGTTGCTTTCCTCTGATGAGGTCCCTTTCAGACTCAGTGCGCCATTTTTTTTCAAACGTAATGTTCTCTTTTGCAGATCTTAGGACCTAGGATTGCCATCATTTTGTCATCCACCTCACCATAGAGGAAAAAGCATTAAATACTTCATCAAAAACCCACATCAAGTACACAGCCTCTTATAGATGTTTGGAAATGCTCTTTGTTGCTTTCCTCCCTGGCACTTCAGGCTTCAAAGTTAAAATGCCTATGTTTGCACACTGGGTTAAGGCTTGCATCATCACTGCCTGTTAAGTACAGGGCTTGCCAAAACCCCACATTACAGCACTAGTGTAAGTTTCCATATCTGCCAGATTTTCCACTGATTCCCACTGGTAAAAGTCTACAACGCAAAAACGTGGGCTACCTTTGCCATATTCAGTCAACGTTACAACTTTGAAATGTTTACCTTGGCCAAAGTATCCTTTGAGTGCAGAATTCTATAAGAAATCCTAGCTTCCTACTTGTCGAACTATGGAGCTTGGGTATCTCCCATGCCGGGATGCCTGCTTCACTGCAGATGGAGAATGGGACATTGGGACGATTTATCATGGAAGTCTACTTTTCCTGTGAAGAAGACACCCTTTTCTTCTAGGTAGTAGTATTTCTTCTCACAATCATTATACTTTTTGTACTATCTCTGTCAGAGTCACACTAACTTTGACTGTAAAGTCTATTCTCTGTTCTGCCTTTTTTTTTCTTTGCTTGGGTATGTTACAAGTGGAGGTGGAGCCCATTCTGTTAACCACTCAATATCATGTGACCCTTGCCTTCTTTGAGTGATGATAGTTACCACATTTAGGAATGCATCTTTCTTTCAGACAAGAATGGACTTTCATAGAAAGCCTAATGATGTTCCATTTTGAACATGGAATGCACATATAATTTTTACTGGGCTAAACTATTATATGCATGAATCAGCCACACTAGACGCTGTTCCAAGTCCTCCATACAGAGCACGCTACCATAGTCTTTCGAGACTGAAGGATGCCTACCTATTCAATTTGTCCAAAGGAGCTGTAATTTTTTTTTGTCTTTAAGGATTCTCTTCTGGATTTTGATAAACCTTCGCAAAGTGCTATTTGTTCATCACAAGCAGTTGATTCCGCAGGTAGTAAATACTTCATTTATACCAAATTCATTTATACCAAATTCTGGGAAATGTCCTAAAGGTAGTTTAAAGTAAAAAAAAATGTTTTTAATTGAGTATTTTGACCGTATTGTTTGATGTTTTAGAAATCTGACCAGAAAGACTGGGTGAGATACTAGCCCTTCATGATACAGTTTGGAAGTACAGTAAATAAACCTAGCTCAGAGTTGAGTACATGATGTGCCTAAATTCTAATCTGGCAAATCAGATTTCTTAACAGCCAGAATCCTGTTTATGTTGCATCAGTTGAAGGGTGATAATGTCACAGTAGGGGTGGATTTCATGTAATTAAAGATTTCCTCTTTTCATCACATGCAATAAAGTTCCCCCATTGATTATGTCATCACCCTTCAATAGGGTATAACTTGAGCAACAGGGTTTTGGCCATTGTTCTGTTAAAAGTATTTAGAACCTAGTACCAATGAATATTATTACATAATATAAATTCTGCATTTATAAAGAAGATAGACTAGACTGTAACTTTTGTTTTGCTACTTAAGGTACCGGGGAGATCTTGAATTTGAATTGCTAATTTCAGTGTTAAGATATTTGAAGCTTTTGCTGTTGGCACAGTTAGGCTTCACACAAGTGATGCAACAAGCTGCTAAACAGTTTTGGATATTTCTGAAAGCAAGAGATAGATGACAGCATTGGATAAGCTGTGGATTATCAGAAGATGAGAATACTTTGAAGAAATAGTCCACCTGTGGAACTACTCTCCAGTTACTTGAAGTGTAGGAATAGTATGATCAGACTTTCTCTTGCAATGTTTTTGTTTTCTGATGCACAGCTTCTAATGAACAACTTTCAAGCCAAAATAATTTCCCTGAACAACAAGGACAGGTAAGACAGTAAGTAACCATGTGTCAAGATGTACTTCCACTGACTTGTTAAGAATGTTTTTGTAAAGTTGCTTTCTTTTACTGTGGTTTTGTATCTTGATTCTGTAAGCTTACATGACTTTCAGTTGGAATATAAATAATTTGTCATACAAGATTGCAAGCTTTTATGAGGCACAGTAGCCAAGATCCAATAAACTGTTCTGCATGTGTAGCATGGTTTGGACTTGTCTGCCGTGGTGTCTCAGTGGAGCTTTTTAAAGAAGCAACTTTTCACACTTATAAAGATCTGCAAAAGTAGTTTTGAATTCTGATCTGTGAGATTTGGTAAATGCAAATACTGTTGCTTGTGGCACTTTCTTCTTTCATCTTCTCACATTCCTAGGATTGGGCACTGAAGGCAGTGGGTTGCGTCTGCTTCAATGAGAAGGAGCACATGTGTGCCTTCCTTCCCCAAAAAGTGTGTCCTGATAAGTGTTCTTGGGAATGAGCTCCAGTCAGACAAACTGGCTTGCAGCTTGGCATGCCTGCCTAACACTCAAATGCTAGGAGGAGCCCACATGAGTTGTGCATACCTTGGTTGGCTAAACTTTCAACTCCTTCTTTTTCCAAAACATGTAGCCAGAGAGTAGATAAAAGCCATATTCATGTTAATTCCAGTGTAAGCCTTCTGGACATGCCTTGGCAATCTGAATTGTCTAATTTGCATACTTTTTTAAAAAATTGAATAAAAGCAAAAGGCAACCAGGTGTGCTACTTACATATCGCCCCATAGTGCTCAGAGCATTCTCTGAGTGGTTTGCAATTTAATTATCCAGGCTACACATAACAAGGGCGAGAACAAGCATAGTAAGAGCTGTAGCTGGCTTTCACAAAGCGAGATTGTAGGGGGATTTAGTGACTGAGAGGGAGGGAAAAGAAAGCATGTGTTGTTGAGTTTTGTTGTGAGTGTGTGTACACATGTACCTGGTCTCTGCCAAGGAACTATGGTGGGAGATGTGAGGGGCAGCCCCCTGCATGCCATTTAGAATCCTCCCTCTCATGAGTGTTAAGATGGGGAAGGTGGGGTGGGTGGAGAAAAAGCAGACTGAGGAAGAGGACAAGACAGTGTAAGACAGAGAAAGAAACACATTTGTTTCTTTGCTTTAGTCATAGAAGCCTGACTGTCCATTGTGCCTGATTGCGTTGTGGGTAAGCCTTTCTGATAGCCCTTCTGGCTTGGTGTGATTGTACCTACTACAGTTGCAACACTGAGTTATGCTGGCATAGCTACTCCAATGATTCCAGCTCTATGGTAGCCGTGCTTCTTCCAAGGTTTGTGTTTGTGGGTATTATGAATTCATCCCTAAACAGTCGCCAGTTAAAGTAAGGGTAATAAAATGCCACACTTGCAGAGGCAGCTTCCATGGTGCTGAAAGAATAGCTCCTTTTCTAGAAGATGTTTCAAATTATATCTGGAAAAAAAATATGTGATTTCTGTTACATACACTTTCATTGTCAGGCTGCTGCTTCTCCCAAGAATTTGCGTAGTTCGGACACTTCCTTAACCTCTGACAACACACTATCTGGATCTGAAACAGAGCTTTCTTTACTGCAGGTAAAGCAGATATTGATTCTTCTCTGGAGTTTTTATTCATATGCTCCCCTCTTAATGACAAAAATAACAATACAGTGGTACCTTGACTTAAGAACTTAATCCGTATTGGAATTAAGTTCATACGTTGAAAAGTTCGCAAGTTGAGTCAAACTTTCCCATTGGAATGCATTGAAAACCATTTAATCCGTATCTGCTGTTATCCGTTCGTAGGTCGAGGCGCTGTTCATAGATAGAGGTATTAGTTCCCATAGGAACTAATACAAAGCCGGTTAATCAATAATCTACCACTAGGGGGTGAATTTTTTAACATTTTTTCTTCTTTTGACCTAGGGTGAACTTAGGTCAAAAAAAGGGCAGGAAAGGTTTTTTCTTTTTTTTCCCGGTTCGTAAGTCGAGGCTCCATTCACAGGTCGAAGCTACTTTTTGTGAACGGAGCCATTTGTAACTCGAATCATCCGCAACTAGGGACGTTCTTAAGTCGACGTACCATTGTAGTGTGCCATCAAGTCAATTTTGACTTACGACACCTTTTTCAGGGTTTTCTAGATAGGGAGTACTAAGAAATGTTTTATCATACCCTTCTTCTGGGGGCACACTGGAACTCTGCAGCTTGCCTAAGGATACACATGCTGGCTTTTCTCCCAGGAGGCACAGTGGGGAATTGAACTCTCAGCCTCTAACTCACTGAGCAACTAAGAGAGCTCTCTTAATGAATACTAAAACAAACCTTTGCACCTGCATTAACTTTTGAAAAGAAGTGGTATGTTTATCTTGAAAGCAGTTTCATGCCAAAACCAGCTAGATGATGGTGAAAGTGTTCGGTTTGGGCACAGCAATGTGGATGGACCTTTCTTACCATGTGGCAAAAAGGCAATTTATTGCTAGAAAGTGTATTTTGGTTTCATTTTTTACATACCTGGTCCTCCACCATATAATTTACTCACTTTGTAGATACAGCATCTCTACAGAGATTCCTCCTCTTTGTATAAAACACATGAGAAAATAGCTCCTTCCCTAACCGATTTTTTTGAGCTGAGATTATAAATACATTTTCTGTATTTGTTGGGGGAAAGTTTCTGGGGTGGTTGTTGTTTATATTATCCCTCACTTAAAGAGGAATATTTGAGGCAGCTACTGAGAGTCATAAAATGATAATCAACAAAACAAATACAAAAAATCCTGCTTCTGCATTGTAAATGGTGCTGTCCTCACACTGCCTGTGTTCCAGCTATAGGCTGTCACTGATTGGAGCTAAACTTGGCACAATATTTGCTGTCACTCTTGGTCAGCAGTTAAGTTAAAACAGCATTACTAGTTTAGCCTTGTATGTATGAACTCGTATAGTTAAAGAAATATCTGAATTGTTCGTTATGGTCTCTATGGATCACATAAATGGGTTTGCAGAGCCATTTCTTGGAATTCTAGAGCAGAGTTCGCTCCTTTTCTCATTTGGTGAGAGCCCTGCCCACCATCCCCACTGCACATGTCTAGCACACCCTGGCAGACTCTCTTCCTTTCCTTTTCGTCCACCAGAGTGCTAGCATCTTGGAACATTCCCTGAGCTAGACATCACTTCATCTCAAAAATCCTTTCCTTCCTATTGTCCCTTTCCCTCTTGACTTGGTTTAGTGTTATTTTCTGTCCCGTGATTATCTTAGTTCTAGTATTTTTTTTTTGAGTATTTACTTATTTCCTCGATTTTATTTCTTTACCATGTGGTGGGGGTTGCTTGACAGCATGGCCTCTAAGTATCCTTCTTGCGGTGGTAGCCTAGCACCCACCCTCATATGCACAGCCAGTTTTGTTTGGAGGAGACCCATCTATCTAAGCCCTATTCAATTTGAAAGGGCTTTACCAAACAAGGGCTCTGCCTTAGAAAGCTGTTTTTGTGGGTGGCAGAACTGGCGGCACAAAATTGCCTCTTCCATACTATATTGGTGGCATTTTCAGAAAGAGTGACCAGGAAATCGGTACTATTGCTTGAGTCACCAACAGCCTCAGTATTGAGGTTATTGATGCTGTGTCTTAACAGCTGCTATAATCTACTTAGATACTGCAGCATCTTTATTCTCTGTGCAAGTTAAAGTCTAATCTATGAAATTTGAATTTTTATAACAAAAATGATTTCAAATTTGTTGTAGGTAAAATACAGCAAAACACTTTATGTTCTGCGACTGTGCATGCTAACAGTCTTATTTCCATGGTAGCAAACTTTAGTTCTCTGGTTAGTTGTTTAGACTAGAGTTATAGATCAGGAGCTGAGGTTGGTAATTTGGAAAATAATTTTGAAATCTTAAGATCCTGATGTTATTTTTATTTTAACAAATGATTTAATGTTTTGACATTTTTCTTGATTTGTAACTTTTGTAAAATGCCTTCTAGACTTTGATGGGAGGTATAAAAATGTCATTAAAATATAATGAAGAAAAATGACCTTTGAGGTGAAATTCTGTCCATGAAAACATTTGCAGTGATGAATCTTTTAGTTTTTCATGAGCCCTAAGATTTTATGTGCCAAAAATCAGACTATTAGGACTGGTGCTCTGGAACCATTTCTTGTATATTAACTGTAGATAATGGATCTTGAACAATTCGTAGAAGCTCTTTCATTTATAATTTAATGTTGTACTTCTTCCAACGTATTGAAATTTTAATAATATGGAAATATATTTAAATGTAATTTGTTAAAGCAAAGAATCAAGCTTTGATTGACAACCCAGGCTTCGACCACTCTTTCTACTTGATCCTGGGGCTGTTGCCATTAAGTTTAGAAAAACTTTTCATGAATAATATACTTGTTTTGCATGATGGTTAGACTGCAGTAATTGAAAATGTAACTTGATCTTGTAACATGGCACTTGACCAGCAAGAGACTGGTTATAGTTGTGCTTTACCACATGGGAAGTGGAAATCCAGAGCTCTATTATTTGTAGTATTAATCAGAGAATAATAAAAAATGGTTGGAAGAGCCCTATAAGGCCATCAGTTGCTACCTCCAGCTCAATGCAGGAATACAAATCAAAGTATATCTGATATATGATTGTCTACTTCCTCTTGAATGTCTCCAGCGTAATTGGTTATATTGTTGTACTGCTCTAACAGGAAATTTTTCCTGATATTCAGCCGAAATCTGGCTTTCTATAACTCAAGCCCATTATTATTTTTTCACTAAAATGTAGTTTTATGTTGTGGGCGAGGTAGTATTTCTATTCTTTTTTAAATTGGTGTTAGCCTCTGAGAGTTGTGCTCTTATTACTAGATGGGTGGGATAAAAATGTGATAAGCAGACAGGCAGATTATGATGAGTCCTGCACTCTGGGATGATACAGAGCAATTGATAGATTTGAAGTAATAAAGATATACCGTATTTTTCGCACCATAAGACGCACTTATCCCCCACAAAACTGGGGGGTGGAAAGTCTATGCGTCTTATGGAGCGAAGAAAACAGATTATATTTTCCTGTTTTCTTCTCCTAAAAAATTGGTGCATCTTATGGAAAGGTGCGTCTTATGGAGCGAAAAATACGGGTAATAAAGAAATGGCTTATAATTTCTAATACACTGAACTAGAAGCATAATAGCTTGATATGGCTGAAACAACAATGTACTTATTTGGAATTGTACTGGCTTCACTCTTCAGTAAGGTTTAGTGGTAAAAAGCCACCCAGAGACCTTTGGGTAGTGTGGGCGGCATATAAATTAAATAAAATAAATAAATAAATAAAGGAAGTTAATTACTACCATTATTTTGCTCCATGTCTGTTATTTGTTTGAAAATACAGTAACAGTTAATTAAGACAAAAATATATTATTTTGCCCATTGGTCAACAGGAAAAACACCATGTAAGGACAAAATGCTCTTGGTGTCCCTTCAGATCAATATTGAGATTTCGGGCATATGCCAGAGATGGCATACCATACTATAAGCTATTACTGGAACCTGCTCACATCATTATATTGTGGAAAGATATGTTTTGTCAAACCAACTTTTTGCAAGTCCTATTTAACATTTTTAATAGCTACTATTTTTCTGGTTATGTCTGCAGACTTCTGTTCCGCATTCTCAAGAGCCAGACAGTTTTAGTTCTCCGCCATCTCTCTATCAAGCAAACAAAGAGATTTCTGAGCCATTAATGCCTCAGAAAACTGAAATTGCTCAAGTAAGTTTAATGCCTTAAACCTGGAGGAAAGTTTTAACATCTTGATTTAAGATTCTGGTAGAAAATAGTGTTTGTACAGTCTAATGGGAACTGGCCCAAAATGTTCTGAAAATTAAATGTTCACAAGCACCAGAACAATTCATTCAGAGAGAAATAAACTTTGTAGAGTATTATGTAGTTAAACATAAAAATAATAAAAGCAGGGTTTGTTACACAGGGAAATGTTTGTAGTAACATTTACAGAAATAAATGTATAAAGAAAAAATGCATCTAATTTAGACTTGTTTGATGTAGTTAGCTGAGGCGGATGGAAATTCTGAATGCCTAGCAAGATTTAAATTGTAAGCAGAAGCTATTCAATTCTTTCCTATGCCCAGCTCTTAGCTTGCAGAAACTGCTGATGTTTGACAGCAGATGATTTAAATTGCTTCCCTTCAGGATGACAGTAACATTGTTTTTTCCCTTCAAGGTTCCTACCTCCCTTTCAAGTGAATCACAGGTATCCTTGGCACCATCAAGAGCAACTATGTCACCAATACCCCAAGGGAAAGTTTTCCAGTCTCCTCCATCAAGTAACAGTACAGTTAGCATGAAAGCACCTCCCTTTCAGGCAATGCAAACAGTAAGTATATTACAGTGGGGTCTTGACTTACGAACGGCCCGAGTTACGAACATTTTGACTTATGAACTGCTCTAATAGGAAAATGTTGACTTGACTTACGTACTTAGATTTGAGTTACGAACTGAAAAAAAACTGAAAAAGCCCGTGTGGGAGGCAGGGAAAGTGCAAAATTTGAATTTTCAGTTAACTGTTGGCCAGTGAAAAGGGTGCCTGTCTGCTTCCTCACTCCTTCCAGCGTTTAGAGAGTGGATTGGGAGACAGTCTTCAGACTGCCTGGTACTGGACTGCCTGGACTGTATTTTCCCTGCCTTCCCTGAACCTTTCTTGACCTAAGAAAAAAAGAAACAAAATATCCCCCTCTAGTGGTTGAAGGCGGAATAGCAGCTTCCCATTAGTTTCTATGGACGGAAAAGAGCAGATACGGATCAAATGGTTTTCAGTGCATTCCTATGGGAAATGCAGATTTGACCTGAGAACTTTTTGACTTGAGAACCGCCTTCCAATACGGATTAAGTTCTTAAGTCAAGACCCCACTGTAGTTGTTGAGATAAAGAATTGGATAGAGGGAAAAAAAGCTTATCTATACACAACAAGGAGGTAAATAAAACATACCCTTGCAAATGGTAGTGTATTATACAGAACATGGAAGTGGCAGCAGAGGGTGTCTTCTCAAAAAAGCTTTTTCAGTATAGAGGTAAATGTGATTATCATAGTTCTTCACATAAGAGTCTCTGAATGATCCCTCGGTTCTCTGCATTCAGGCATTTTGGCCCTTTTGTTGCATTGCTGCTTTGTTGTCTAGAGTAGAAATTCTGCATCTAAACCATAGTAGGTTAGGAATATGTGGTTAATGCAGTGGACTTCTAGGAAAGGTACAATTCTCTTCCTCTCATAGTAGAGTGGTGCCCTGCAGGACGATGTTAATTCGTTCCACGAAAATCGGTTTTGCGAAAGCATCGTCTTGCGAAATGCGGTTTCCCATTGGAATGCATTGAAATCCATTTAATGCGTTCCAATGGGGAAAAATCATCGTTTTGCGAAAATCGCCCATAGGAAAACTGTTTTGCAAAGCGCAGATCAGCTGTCAAAATCGCTGTCTTGCGAAAAACGGTCCCGAAAACACCCGTTTTGCGAGTTGTGGACCAAGCTGTCAAAATCGTTGTCTTGCAAAAAACGGTCCCAAAAAAAACCCCTGTCTTGCAAAGCATGGACCGAAACATCGTCCATTGAAAATCACCCATAGGAAACACCGTTGTGAGAAGCGCTATAGCAACTGCAAAAACTCATCATCTAGCTTTGTGAGGTAATCGTCTAGTGGGGCACCACTGTAAATAAAAAATGGCTAAAAATGTTGCACGTACACATGAGACGGGACAGTGCTCTGCTTGTAGGCAAATGGAAGCTTTGCAACTCATAGACATGCTCTGCTTTGTTATGTATCCTGTTGCAGGTCTTCAAAGTCAATGCACCTTTGCCACCCCGTAGGGACCAGGATATCAAAGAGAATTCCTTGCATCCTACAGGATACAGTCAGAATTTTTCTACAGCAAGTACACAAACTCCACCTCAGTGCAAGCTGCAGTCTTCTCAAAATGTTGAACAAGCCACTTTTTCTCAAGACTCTCTGCCAAATGGTAAGAACCCCTGTGCAGAAATGGTGATTGGGGAAGCAGAGGTATATTTTAGTTATTGTTATTTATCTAAGCCTTGCTTTTTGGATTGAGTGTGAGGAACAACACGCCCTCTATTGAAAAAAAATGCAACAATAAATCTGATGTTCTCTTTAGTGAAAGCTTAAACAGGGTAACTGGCAGTAACAGAGGAGAGACTGAAACATGTTGGAAGCTAGTTTAAGTTAAATAAATTCTGATTCTGACTAATATTTGAGTGATGCATTATTTTATTTCAGCTGGTTGTCTTTTGTAATAGCTATGGTTACACACAAACTTGTTCTTCTCAATGTTGGAAGCAAGCTCTTCCACTTAGTCCTTAAAATTTTAAGTTAACAGTTGTAAAGGAAAAAATCCAACTTTTATGGAGTAAAAAGTGTATCTCTCATCCTAAGCAGGTAATTACCAGGGTGAGGGAGCTGTTTCTGTAAACAACGGTAGCCTCACGTTTTATGCAGCACAGACAGCCACCTTTCCTAGATCACCTCAGCCTTTTGTCACAAGCCGTGGATCAGTCAGAGGTCCCCTGAGAGGTGCAAGATCAGTTACTAATTCCCATCGCTCTCCTGGTGTCTATAAAGGTATGTATGGAAATGCTTATCAGTAGATACAGCTTCATATAGATCTGGTCAGAAGTACCTGTTAAGGTCCAGAAAAGTATGCTGAAAGAAGATACAAAGCATACAGTTTAATTTTTGTGTAATTAAAATTAAGTTGGCAAAAGATACAGATTTTAAAATACACATCAAGGCAATGTAACTATCATAACCAGTCTAAAAAGATGTGTTCTTACTTCCTTTTAAAAATAATTCAGGATGGAAAGAGATTGCCGTGTGGAAAGGTCCCACAGTCAAGGAGCCACACAGGAAAAGACCCTCTCCCACTTGCTTTGTTAGGCAGGCATCTACTACTTTATTTAGGCAATGTTACCAGTTCTATAAACTTATTTCATACCCTTGTTGTTGTTGGATTTGATTACTTTAAACTACTAATAAACTGCTTCCCAACATTTTCTGTACAATGGAAGGTCTAGTAAAGAGCAGATATTTTCTTTGAGAAATTAATACCATAATAAATAGGGGCAGGGACGGCTAATTGGTATGTCATAGGCCAGCCTTCATCTGCTGTTTTTGTTAAACATTAAATGGGTATGGAATAAGAATGTAACAGTTGTTGAAACAGAACAGTCTAACATTCTGTTCTGCATATGTGTTTCCTCTGTTTTGTGTAATGTACAAATATAACTGTTCATGGAAGAATGACTTCTATAATTGAAGTTCATGCTTCTAAATACACTAACATTATGGATTTCTACTGTTCATGATATGGCAAAATGCATTTTTAGTATCCGAACGCCTTTCTAGAATTTATAGTGTGGTAATGTATAGTGTGTGATACATATTTTGTTACCTATAATTAGTTTATAATGTGACTCCTGAATGAATGTACTGTTCTTCTTCGTGGTCTCTGTGAATGCACACAAATGGCTTATTCTGCACCTGCGCGGAATGTCTTGGAAGATTCTAGAGCTTAAAGATACATGATTAGTGGGACGTTCCCCGATGGACCCAAGAGTCCCCCGAGTTCCTTTTTTCCGCTGGGTCGTTTGTACGTACCTCCGGAAGAATTGAGCGATTTCATTGAACGATCAAATTCAATATTTCCTATTCCAATCAATACTTCAGATTTACCCCTTTTACTTTCCAGTCATCTAATCAACATTCTCCTGTGAGTTAGCTATTTTTCTCTATTCCCGTTTTGGCCTCCTGCCCCCCCCCAAACCGGTTTTCCACTCTGTTTTTTCCACTCTTTATGGCCTCGTCAGGACCATTTAAGCGGTGTGTTGTCTGCTCGAGCAAAATACCTCTGACAGATGGACACGACTGTTGTTTATTTTGTTTGGGTGAGCAACATCCTACCCATTCCTGTGCAGCTTGCAAAAAACTTAAGAAGCCAGCACTTAAACTTAGATTCCAGAGGCTCAGGTCTCACTGGGTAACCTCTTTTTTTTCACTCTAGACATAATTTGAACATTTCTTACAAATGTTAAGGTTTTCAGGTAATTCTGACTCTACAGAATGTGTTCAGACTGAAGTTTGATTTTTTTAATGAGGAGTTCCAAACTCTTTACACTACTTCAAATTGTGTACTTGTTACAAAGTATAAATTGCAGAGGTAATCTGATCAGAAATCTCCCTAGAATTAACATTTGAGCAAATGTTCTGATTATGTCACATTCTAGAATATTTGATTGTTTATACAGGAGAATAGGGAGAAACATTAAAATTGGTAATGGAAAAATGTCATGAGTCACAACATTATTTAAAAAGCATTATGTCCTAGCTTTAGTCATGTTCAGAAGTCTATCCCATGCTCTTTATGGAGTGACGCAGTGGGTATTTTTCCAATAATTTGAGTGTTTGAAGGAACAAATTCATGTAGCTTTTTTTAAAAAAAAATGTTTAGTGGAATACAATGACTTTTCCTTTTTATTCCAATAGGTTTTGAAAACTACAGAGGATCGCCTTCAGTCCCTAATGGCTCCTATGGCCAGTTACAACTTTCTGGTAGAGAGTACCCTCCAGTGCAATATTCTCAGAGGGTAATAACTTTTCAAACTTGGTGTTGCATTTTGCTCAGAAGCCAAAAGCAAGCACTGGCTTGCACACAGTCACAGTCGGCTTACACCACAAATCTCTGGTTTACACGGAAGACAGCATCGTATTGCCTCAGAAAAACCTAGTATAATAAATTCCATGAAATATCTCCACCTCATCTGTAAAAATGTTACTCATTGGAGCCTTATGTTCCTCAAATTTATTTAATTTATATAGGCATGGGATCATTTTTCTTACCAAGTCCCTAGTATAAGTACAGGCAGGACTTCTGGAGAAATTATATTAGTTTTTCTGGCTTCAAGAAATGTAATTACATACAAAGTTAAAGAAATTTGTTCAATGAGCTCCAGTGATATTAAAATTAAGGTTAGACATGTTTTAATGTACCTCTGCTTAGAATATTTTCTGCTGATTCTATGGGCAATAAATAAACTGGGCTGCAAGTTAAATACAGTTTGGATATCTCTCAGGCTGCAGCAGACTTGGCGTGAGAATAGCATTTTCATCACCCCACCCGACCTCATGCCCAAAGTTCATGTGGTAGAAATGTTACTTGTCCTTACTAAATGGGAACAAAAATGTTTGTTCTTTTAGGATGTGAATTACCAGCAGAACTATAAGAGAGGAGGCATTAATAGTGGTCGAGCCAATTCAAGAGGTAAGGTTACTTCTGGTGTTGCTTAAAATACAGTGCTGGGTGTTCTTTAATTTTAAGTTACTACACATTTGGACTACATTCTGTAGTGACCATTTGTTCAAATATGATTTGACATCCATGCATTTTTTCTGGACTATATATCCATCTCTTTGAATTGTAAACTTGGAGGCTTATTCAGAGGGAATCTGAGAGCTTCCCTGCCCCACACTGGCAAGAAAGAATTTATTTTTTGTGAGAAATACTGGTTTTGAAGCTAGTTTTGAAGGGTAGACTGAAGCTTAATCAGCTCAGAAAACGGTGTTTAAACCTACTTCAGAGTTGCCATCTGAGCAGTGCTCCTCTCTAGTACTTTGGCTATTTAATCATATGAAGGATGTTCTCTTACTCAATTACGTGATTGATTACAAACATCTCAGAGAGAAGAGGCCATAATTTGCAAGTTCATTAGGAAGTAATCTATGAATTATCTTCAAGGGAAAAGTCTGAAGCTGTAATTGGTCCCAGGATTCTACAGGGCATGGTTGCCACTTCAGTTGCCCACTCAGATAGAAATCCATTTTACTGAGGAGACTGAAATAGTGCAACTGCTGCTTTAATTGCCTGGTCAAGTGGGAGATTCCTATTATAGGAGGAGAGATATATATTGGAAAAGAACATTAGGAGCAGTGGCATCTCTTCTAGGACAATTGTAGAACCAGCACTTGAGGAGAAAGCACAGCATGAAAGACTTTTCATGAATCTGGATAAGCATAGAGAATTGCATAGAATCTCATCTTAATTACAAGTACCTAATCAGGTTCCGCCCTCCCTCCTCAAAAATCCGAGAGAAAAGGCCGTTTTTGTTCACAGATCTGCACCTGAAGTCTTAAATTTGGACGTTTCAGACTTTACTTTTGGAATGGTTTCCCAAATTAGTGTATCATTTTATTTACCCTGAGATTTCTTAGGGTGATACATTCAGTGTTCACAGTGCAGTGCTCTTGAGTCTGCTCTTTGGGTCTTTGCTTATTCTTAATAAAAGTTAAGTTAAACTAATCTTTGGTTAATTTTAATGAGCTGAAGACACCAATTTAACCCATTTGCAAACTATTTTATTTTTTGGAAGGAATAAATCCCACACGCTTGTTGCCTCCAAAATAAATGGGAGTGATTCTAGTGTTTGAATCACATTCAGAATCTTAATATTTTGAATGCACAATACAATAGCTCATTTGGTTTGGCATAATATTAGAGGGGATTTTGTCTAATTAGAACTGAGGTTTCCTTACTTAGGGGAATTGCCCATTACTGCCTATCCTGCTTTGTCTAGAAAGGTCCTTTCATGTCAGATGAAAATTTCTGTAACCATAAACCTAGAAAGCACCCTGTAATTACAGATCTAAAAACTGACTGTAGAAATCAAGACAACTGGGCAAAGTACATTTGAATGCTAGTAGTTTCAATTTTAATGAAATAGTTTTGAAGAAGCTACTGTAGTATAAGTTATGCATTAAGCAGGCATGATGAAAAGCCATTTAAAAACATGGTATATAAAGTTCATATAACAGGCATATGTTCAGATTACAGAAGTAATTGCAGTTTAGTTTTATCAACTTTTTCCAGCCTTAATTCAATCCTTAAAGTTTCTGTGTTTTAGGTTACAGGCAAGAAAACAGAGAGGAAGAGAGTTGTTCATCAGGTAGAGCTCAAGGTAGAACTCGTGGTAGAGAATACTTCAGAAGAAGGGAATTGAGGAAAACAGAGAGAAATGGAAAAGAACCAGACTGTCTCAAAGCAATCTCGTAGCTTCCAGAATGCATCAGTTCAGTTAGCATTAATCAAAAATACACTTGATTTTGGTAACTTGGTTTTCTACACTAAATAAAGAAGCATTTTTCAGATGTGTCCTGTCTTGGTACTAAGAACAGTGCACTTTAAAAGTGTATTCTCTATTCTCTGACATTAAAATGGTCATCTGAGCATTAATCTGAGCCAGCAGTAATCACTCCATATTCACTATCAAATCTGAGCACATTTTCACTGATGCCAAAAGGCCTTTCCCCCTTTGTTTGTTGGACTGAAACAGATTAACACAGCCTAGAATTTCCAGTAGTGCAATCATATGCATGTTAAGGTGTTCTACTGCTGCTTGCTTGCTTAATTACAAGTGACTTATGAAGCTTGTTTAGGATTGTAATTTGAGGTTGTTAGGTCTTTTCTTCCCTTATGGTAAGAAATAATGAAAATTCCATCTTCACCTGAAGAACGAGATATATATATGCAACTCTACGTAGAGTTGTAAAAACTCTAGCAGATGTCCAACCAGAACAAATAACCTATAGCATGGTATTAACCCTTGCAAATGCACCTAAATATCTGCTACCCTTTCTGGTTCAAGACTCCTTGAATCATTTCAGTATTTCTCTCATTACCCAGAGTATACTGATTGCATATCATACATATATATTCATTGTTTAGAAACCCGTTCTACTTAAGTGCAAAACTGGATTTGCATAGTGGTGTTTGGTTTGGCCCTGGTGTCTTGTTTGTAAAATCTTCACATTTTACCACTGGGCTATAAAAATGTTGATTGGCTGGCCCCTAACAATCAGGAAGTCACTTTGCCTATCACATCTGATTTTACCTTTTGAATTAGTGGAGAGGTTTTTAAAAATATTGGAGTATGGAAACCTGAATAAAGCCCAACCTCTATGGGGGAGACACCCAAGTTGAGCATATTGTTCAGGGGTGAAACTGGAATAATGCAGAGTTTGCCTTACAGCTTAAAAAATCCACCCAGTCATCTTGAAAGGTAAGTGTTTATCCTGAGCCAGAAAAAAAGGGCATATGAATTTGAAAGCACTAGAGGTATATATATTATATACTGTATATATAACTTGGGTCTGTGTAGAAAAAAGGCTTGTATGCCCCTTGTATAAAATTGAAAAACAAAGGTGGGCAATCTCTTTGTTAGATTACTAAAGTCTCAGAAATCGGGTTTTGAGTCATGCAGGATTTTTGTTTGGTCTTCAATTCATTTTAGAAGTATTTTAAACATAAAAGCTTTAAACTGAATCTGGAGAGTTCTAAAAAATGCTGATGTTTAAGATTATTTCAGAACTAACCATTGCTCATGATCTTCAACAGCAGCCTGGAGTGATTCTTCTCAGATGAGCAGCCCGGAGCGGGACAGTGAAGCCTTTAACAGTGGGGACTCTGGGCAGGGTGATTCCCGTAGCATCACTCCTGTTGATGTGCCAGTGACTAGCCAAGCAGCCACCATCCTACCTGTGCATGTGTATCCCCTCCCGCAGCAGATGAGAGTTGCTTTTTCTGCTGCTAGAACTTCTAACTTGGCTCCTGGAACTCTAGATCAACCTATTGTGTTTGATCTTCTCTTAAACAATCTTGGCGAAACCTTTGATATACAACTTGGTAGGTTTAATTGTCCTGTCAATGGCACCTATGTGTTTATATTCCATATGCTAAAGCTGGCTGTGAATGTTCCATTGTATGTGAACCTCATGAAAAATGAAGAGGTTCTAGTATCAGCATATGCCAATGATGGTGCTCCAGATCATGAGACTGCTAGTAACCATGCAGTCCTCCAACTTTTTCAAGGAGATCAGATTTGGCTGCGCCTTCATAGAGGAGCTATTTATGGAAGTAGTTGGAAATATTCTACCTTCTCAGGATATCTCCTATATCAAGACTGAATATTGTTTACAGAAAAGCAGCTCCAAATGTGTGTTGAAGAAAGGTGAAAGTGGGGGTCTAGTGTTGCACTGCATACTCACTACTTAAACACACAACTCTGAAATGAGGGTATGGTGATCTGTCTTACAAATAGGTGAAATTGGGTCAGCACTAATATGGCACTTTATCAGTTGTGATATAGCCTTGATGGTAAAGCTGTGAATGTTGTTTGCACTTTTCTTGAACTGTAATTATCAACATAGTATGCTACTCCGAATTTGCCTCCAGCCTAGGCTATCCACAATGCCTTGTGCCTAAATAAAAAAATGAATATGCCTTAGTATCAGTGTGTGTACTGCTGGGATAAATGTGGTGTATATGATCTTTCCATATTGTTTATAGAGTAGAGTGCACATAGGCCCTGGTATATGAAAGGCCTCAGTTTCAATCCCAGAATTTTCCAACTAAAAGGAAGAATTGCAGATGTTAGATAATTTTGCCTGGAAGAGTGGAGAGTTGAAAATTAAAATTGATGGTTTTGATTTGGTACAATATAGCTGCAAACATTCATGTTTTTCATAATAAAAATCCCGTCTTCAGCATTCAAAGCAACATGTTTGAAATTACTTCTGAGGTCCCTGATACCACACTTCATAGTGTGCCTTTGTGAGGGAAAGTCTGCTGTACGTAGTGGAAAATAACACTTGTGTCAATTCTGTGATGCGTGGCTTTGTGTTCAGAGCTGCATAACTGTATCAAGCTTCCATTTCTGTTAAGCTCAAAGATTACTTGAACTTTTAAAATAATTATAGGTTGTCTGTTAAAAGACTACTTGCTATGGTAGTGACTACCCAGGCCTCATTTTTTAAAAAAGCCTGTTCCTTTGAGCCTCAAAGTGAACTGATCTTTCATCTTCATTTTGCTGAAATTTGCAGGGTGATTTCGTACTAGGTGTTACCATTGCTGTTAGGAAATGGGTGAGGTAGAATCAAGGTGTTCTATATGCAAGTTTTAAATCTTAATTTGTGAATATCAGCTGGTGAATTACAGAAGAGGAATTGCATTAAGCCATTATGAGACAACTCAATGTTTTGTCAAAGTTGCTATAATATTCAGTATATCCTTGAAATCTAATTTTCAGTGGCAGTTCATCTAGAATTCCAGATCACCTGAAAATGAGCAAACTACTAAACAAAATTAAGTTTCTTTTTCTTGTTTCCTTTTCTCTCCCCTCACAAACTAAAAAATTAAGGTAACACCTCAACTATCCATAGATTAGGCAGACTACGTTGTTAACCTTGGGCCTATAGATTTAATATTATAAACATGAATTATTTGCAAGGTTCTTCATGTCAGATGTGTAATGTACACATTCTTGGATTTTCCAGATGGGTAATAGTGTTAATCTATAGACAATAAGATACTGTGGCATCTTAACGATAGGTTTTGTGTGGCACAAGCTTTTATGAACTGTAGCCTACTTTTTTTACTTCTCCCCATATTTGCACCCACATGCATCTGAAAGTGCATGTGGGGACTAGATTCAATGACAGGGACTGGATTCAGTGACCGATAGGGTCTCTTGCAGCTCTGCAGTTCTATAATGAGGAAGAGGAGGAAGATGTGAGCTTTAGTCCACAAAAGTATTATGCCAAATGAAACTTGTTAATCTTTAAGATGCTGCAAGGCTCTTTATTCTTTAGTTTGTAATTGTGAATTGCAGGATTACCTCCTTAATGCAAACTGAATGATTTTGTATGTAAGGAATATATTCTTTTGGACAAAAATACCATTATTCTGGAGGCATCCTCATTTCCTATTCGAGCTTTACAGGATGATTAACATCGGGGGTGTTATTAAAAAATACGGTAAGCTTAGTAAGAATACTACCAATAATATGCTGTCACATCAGTTCCTTTCCAGGGTTTTTAGGTAAACACTCAGAACTGATTTACCATTCCCTTCTGGGGGCACCCTGGGACTATGCAGATTGGCCATGGGTACATGGACTGGTTCTCCTCGGAGGCATAGTATGGAATTGAGTCCCAACAACTGGCTCCATAGCCAGATACCTAAATCACTGAGCTATCCAGCCAGCTTGGTAAGAATAATACTCTTACATCTCCCATCTCAGTGATGGATTTTCCCACCGACGTTTCTCTGACTCAGGTCAAGAGAAAGTAGAGGTTGAGGAACAATTCCATAGTTCTGTAGCTTTTGACTTTTTTATAGGAATATGCATCAGGAAAAAGGAGCATGCTCTTCAAAACTGGTATTTTGTCAGGAAAAAAAAAGGCAGATATGAGCTTCAGTTTAAATGCTGCAATGGTCATGAACATAAATGGTTTAATTTAACATTTTGATGAGTTCCCTGTTTAGTTTGTCTAATTCTGTTGCTCACAAAATCTTTTACAATCAGAAAGGGCTTCTTTCTTCCATAAGACAGTTAAATTTGCTAAATTCTCCTAGTGCCTTAGCCCGTTTCCTCTTTTACTGAAAATGCAGTTAGCGTCATGAAGGATTGGCACAGACATTCTTACTGTGAATTCAAATGGTGTGGGAAAACCTCACCATGTAGAACCAAACCAATAAAAAACAATTTTAAACTTGTGTATTTGTGTTTTGTCATTCAGTTCGGGCAGATTTCTCCAATGTTCCCCTGATTACTTGACATGAAGTAGAAACTGATAACTCGTGCATTTGTGTGACCCACTGGAAACAATGATATAAGCCATACTAATCTCTCTAACAATATACTTTCGTAGATGGCTTACTGTGTGAGTCATTGTAAAATCTAAGCTGCATCATATTGTATTTATATATAATATCTTGCAACATGTTCCTGCTACAGTGTACTGCATCTGCAGTGTGCAAATTCTCACCAGCTATTCATGGAATATTTGTATATTTCATAATACTGTATGCTTTATGATGTATGGAGTATTCCCCACCCAAAAAGCCTGTAAGCCCAGCATATGTCAGTGCTGCAGTGGTAGGACAGAGTGATTTACATGTCCAAGTACTATTTCAGTGCAGAAATATCTTGTTATATGAAAACACTCCAATGAGTAGCTGCATTTTATAGCAACAAGCTTCCTTCTTTGGCTGTATTGAAGATGGTACTACTTCAGGTCAGTCTAAGAATACTGCAAGTCATTTGTGTGTAGTCTTAGAAGTCACTTGGTTTATATTAGCCATATAATTATAAGTGGTTGTATAGAGCTTAATGACTGATGCTACTTAGTAACCTTATTCTATGCAAGATTTTGTTTTATACTCCTATTCGTGCAAGTTCTTGGAGTGAAATCAACAATCCAGTATTCTCTAAGTTGTCACATTAGCTGATGTAGTATAGTCCTGGTTGTCTTGGCAGAGTTCTTGTGGGAGTTAGTGAGACAGGTATGATGCTTTTGAAGAACTTGGTTGCAATCCAGGAAAGCTGATGCCAAATAAAATTGTAGCCTTAAGGCTGGACTCTTTGTTTTCATTAGATAACATATACTGACAAATGATTCTGACCAGTTAAACATATTTAATAATCTCTACACATAGCATCAGTCTGTGTCTTTGGCCTCCATTGTAGCTCATGCACATCCCACAAGCTTTTATGATGAGAGTGAAGAAGCATTCTTCTAGAGAAGCCACATCTTTACAGTGCAGAGGAAAATCTGAGGCTAAATTGTAGATTATGCTTAAGATTAACTGATGGAAGCTTTTTTTCCTTATCTTTCATGTGAAAACTGCAACAGGCAAAACAACAAACATAAAAACAGCTGCTTTCTCCTTTTCTAGAATGGATTATGGTGCAATTAAACTAGGAGTTGAACTTTGAGAAACAATCCATGCTTAGGTGACATTCCAAATTTTTTGTGCATAGGCAGAGCTGAGAGGTGGAACAAAGTACTTGACTGGCTGATTTTCAGGCTTTAAATACAAGCGAGTAAACTATCTCCTTCACAGGTTTTCTACAGATCTGAGAATTCTAGAAGTTTTGATCTTCTGTGGTGAGTGCGAGGTACTTCTACGTACGTTTTAAAGACAAGCTGTGATAAATTTCAGCATGCTAGCACCTACTAAAGCTGCTTATATTCTGATATAAGAACTAACACACCTGTGTATCTTTAGAGATGGGAGTATTCATATATGAATATCCCTGCAAAGGTGGCATTAACGAAGGTCCAGCCCAATGGGGCTGGATGGTCCACTCATTAATTGGACAAATGGCGCTGCAGCGCTATCCACTCGCCACTCCTTGACCTTGCAGCGAGGCTTGTCCTCCCACCTCCTGCCGGGAGTAGCGAGCAGATTGTGTGCTGCAGGGCCATTTGTAGAATTGTGCCGTCCGTGTCTGTGGCAGATCAGTGAGTGGACCGTCTGGCCCCATGGGGCTGGACCCTCATTAACGCCACCTGTGCGAGGATATTTGTGTACGAATGCCCCATCTCTAATCTTGTTTACCAAAGCTTATTTTATAAAAGAAATCATACCTAATAGAGATGGGCACAAATCGAGTCGTGCTGCTTTGTACAAAGCATCCCATGTTAGCACTACAGGTGCTGTGCGTTTCCTTTCCCACCCCCCTGGCCACCTGGCCCACTCACACTCTTGTCACTTGCTGCCAGGGTCTTCCTGTGACAGCAGGCCAGTGCAGGTAGGAGCATGGACTGCTCTTCCCTGCCTCCTCTGGCAGACAGCCACTCAATGGCTGTGCAGGGAGGATCCTTATCTGAGTGGTCGGTTGCCAGAGGAGGCAGGGAAGGGCAGCCCAAGCTCCTATTTGCTCCAGCTTGGTGCCCCAGAAGGAGGACCTCAGTGGCTCATGATGGGAGTGTAAGTGGGCCAGCCAGCTGCGGGGAGGGAACACGTGGCACCACTTCCTATGAAGTGGCATGGTTCAATTTGTTCCCATTGCTAGTACCTAATGATTTTCCAATAAGAAATAATAGAAAAATAAAGGTTTAAAATTCAATATGCCCTTTTATAAATTATTGTAACTATATTGGTCCATGCTATCAAAACAAAAACTAAGCTTTGGAGGGCTTTCTTTTTAGCCTGGACATTGCATTAAACATTGTAAGACCAAAGTGTGTGTTCTGAATCATAGTAGAAAATATCTTTTAAAAAGCTAATGTGGGTACAGGGCCAGACAAGTATTCAGGAGAGCTAGGTTCAAATTCCAGTTCAAAATTCCAGAGGGAGGGAGGGAGAAATTACTTCTCAAACATCTCACATAATTTAAAAACTGCTGGGATCACCAGAAGTTGGAAATAATACCCGTACAGCGGTACCTCGACTTACAAACTTAATCTGTATTGGAACGGCGTTTGTACGTCGAAAAGTTTGCAAGTCGAGGCAAAGTTTTCCATAGGAATGCACTGAAAACCATTTAATCCATACCGGCTGTTTTTCGTTCTTAAGTCGCGGCGCTGTTAAATTGAAGCCAGTTAATCTGTACTTTACCACTAGGGGGGGAATTTTTTAATTTTTTTTCTTCTTTTGACCTAAGATGAACTTAGGTAAAAAAAAAAGGGCAGGAAATGTGTTTTTTTTGTTCGTAAGTCGAAGCTCCGCAAGTTGAAGCAACATTTTGCGAATGGAGCCGTTTGTAATTCGAAACGTTCACAAGTGGAGACATTCGTAAGTCGAGGTACCACTGTAGTAACAAAAAAAGTGGAATCCCAGAAATGTAGAAAGCACAATATTCACATTAGGCTGAACTATGTATGGCTCATGAGACTTGAGATTGGATGATCATAGAATAATTGAGTTGGAAGGGACCTATAAGACCATCCAGTCCAACTCCATACTCAATGCAAGAATCCAAGTCAAAGCAGATCTGACAGATGATTGTCAGTTTTCTCTTAGAATACCCTTCAGCATTGGAGCGCTCTCCTGAGGTCATTGGTTCCCTTGTCCTGCTGCTCTTAACAGTTGAGAAAAAATTTTCTGTCGTTCATCCTAAATCCAGTTTCCTGTAACCTGAGCCCATTATCACATGCCCGGCCTTCTGGGATGATCGAGAACAGATCTTGCCCCTCCTCTCTACTTTTTCAAGTACAGTACTTGAAAAGTTCTGCTATCACATATCCCCTCAGTGGCAGGGACTGATGCCAAGTTGGTTCTGCCTGCCCTCCCTAAGTTACAGCCCTTGCCATTTGCCCCACTCAGTCAAAAAACTTACATATACACACAGATTCCTCCAGAAATGAATAGCCACCTTATCAGGCTGCAGAAGCAGCCAATCTGGAGTTGGGGCGCCGGAATAACCCCAGTAGTAGTAGTAGTAGTAGTAGTAGTAGTAGTAGTAGTAGTAGTAGTAGTAGTAGTAGTAGTAGTGATATTGATAGTGACAGTGATAGTGATGATAGTAGTAGTAGTGGTGGTGGTGGTGATAGTGATGATGGTAGTAGTAGTAGTAGTAGTGGTGGTGGTGGTGGTGATAGTGACGCAGCCACTTCTTGCAGAATCAGCTTTCCTCTTCCCGCACCCCCACTGCCATCACAACCCCCGCAGGGGAGATTTCGAGGGCCCGCCTGCTCTCCAAAGCTCGGACGTGAGTGGTTCGGGGCCCCCCCTTTTCTGCACACCAACATGTCCTCCCCCCCCCTCCCGGTCCGTGCCGCCTCGCGGAAGGAGGGGGCGTGGAGGACGCAAAGCAAGCTCTTCGCGACAGCCGCGCTGTCGTAAACCGGTGAATGGCTCCCGGGTGGCAAAGGGGGAGGCCGAGGCGAGGGCGGGTGTCTTGTGTCTGTGTGGCGCGGCGACCGCGGGGGGGGGGGAGTCCGCCGTTCCTGCCGCCGCCCTCCCGCCTTGCCGCTAAACGGAGATGGATCCCAACCGGATCATCCAGGCGCTCAAAGGCACCATCGACCCGAAGTTGCGCCTGGCGGCCGAGGATGAGCTCAACCAGGTGAGAGAGAGAGAAGGAGGGAGGGAGGGAGGGCGACGGGCCTCTGGGCCGACCCTCCCCAAGCCGGGCTCCGCGGCTTCCCCTCACAGGGCCTCGGCTTCGAGGAAGGGGCTTTGTTCCCGCCTCCGGGGGGGCGCCTGGGCTCGCTCGCCCGCCCTCTCCTCAGCTGGCCTTTGCTCCCCCGACCCGCCCTGTGGAGCTCGACTTCTGCCTTGCTTTCCCCCTTGCTGGGCAGGCCAGTTTCGGTCTCTTGAGGGGAATCCTCTTCCCTCTCACGCAGAACACGCATCGGGGGGGACGTGTGTGTGTGTGTGTGTGTGAAGGGAGGCGAAGGGGTGGGGAACGCGGACCTCTCTGCCGTCCCACAGGCTGAGGGGTTTTGCAAACGACGGGCCCGCTCGGTCCGAAGAGCTCCTCGTTTCCGATCCCTGAGACCTGGATGCGACACCCTCAAAATCTGTTGCGTGTCCGGGAGCGGGGGGAGGAGGGGGCGGGCAGGATCCTGTCACGAGTTGTGGTGGCCGTAGCCCTCGCTTGCACTAAAACAAATTAAATCAGTCGCACGGGGCTTTGAAGACTGAGTGTGATTATTGCTGTGTAAGCTTTGGGAAACGAGAATCTGCAAGAAATTTGAGGTCGCCAGTAAACCATGAAAAAAAAAATGTGTCGCAACTTACGTGGGGAAGTCCTGCCTGTTGGTGCCCCAGGGCATCTTGTTTGTGTGTTTTATAAGATGGCTCCCGATATCTTACTTCCATTTGGATATGGGTGTAGGATCACAGGTTTGGAAGGGGCCGCAGAGGTCACATAATCCAACCCACGCACCCACCCCCCTCCGCAAAGAGGCAGGGAATTTCCTGCATCGTCCTTGGTAGTGGCCTTTTTGGCTTCTCCATAAAATCATGCTGCACAATAATGGAGTTGGAAGGGGCTTTAGAAGGCCATCAGCCCAACCTCCTGCTCGGTGCAGGAGTCCAGATCAAACCAGATCTGACAAATGGTTGTCCAATTTTATCCTGAATGCCTCCCTTTTTTGATGAAAGGGAAATTCCTTACACAGCCTTCTATATATTTGTTGGATCACTGGAAGCATCCTGGTTCAGTGCAGAAGTTCGAAGATGTTTTAACCGTTGCCATGTATCACAGCTCTAATACTTTATGCCATGACTCTTTAAAAAAAACACACACACCTATATTATCACATAATTGTTTTTGACTGGTAACTGATATGCAATTTTTAAAATATCCGGATATTATCTTTGTGCTCACAGAAGTGTGTCAGAAGATCTTTCCTCATTGGTGTGTGTGTTTTGAAAGTGATCAATATACCTACTCCTCTGATTTTTTTCATCACTGTTGGAAGACTTGTCTGTTGAGCTTTCTTGGTGCGAAGAGTTGTCCAAAGCATGCTTTGACTTTATGAGCTCCGTTCTTTCTTCACTGCTGCTGCTATTTTACAATGCCTGGGTCCGTTGTGGCTTCTGATTGAACCAGCCAATTAAAGCAAGAATACACATTTAACAATTTTAATGAAATTCCCTTCAAGTTGTTTTCTTTTTGTTTGCCTGGAATTTATGAAATATTTCAAGTGCTTGAGAAATGGGGATAGAGAAAAGGAAAACACTAGCCAAATTAATCCTAGGATCTGTCTTATTAAGCTTTTTTTAAAAATTCAGTGACGATGAACATGTCATGGAAGAAGTACATATAATGTTGTTAGAGACAATAGAATACAAAAAGCAGAAAGCACAAACAGGATAAGAATAACAGTCAGTCCTTGAAGATCTGTAGTAAACAATACCTGGAAATCAGTTGCACAGCACCCTCTGTAGTCTCATGTATGCTAATAATCAGCAACGACCAAAATCATCTGTCAGCTAATTTCCTAGATAATTATATTTCAGATATAAAATTTGGCAAAATGATGATAAAACCAGACATCAAAGGAGTTGAATTTCAGCACATGACATCTATTAGGACTGTCTACCCTGAGAATGCATATCATTTTTTAAATGTCTCCAAAACATTGGGAGTACACAGCTTGGTACTTGGCCAAATAATCTCCAATGTTTTACTTGACAAGAGTGGTTTCTGTCAGCTTTCAGCAGTGGAAGTCTTCCCCAAGTAACCTCTAGTAACCTCTGATGTCAGTGTCCTCTTTTTGCCCAATGCTACAAAATGCTTGCAGTATCAAGTATACCACACTATACTTCACAATTACTCTGGTCTTCCATGATGGACATTACAATACCTATTGTAATTCCTTGTTAAGATGTTAGTGTGATGTAATGAAATTCCTTCAGGTTGGGTAATCCCTGCACCACTGTCTGTTCAGGGATTTGGGTGTCAAATATTATGAAACATTTAATTGTTTGTATAGGTTGCTTAATTACTGTAACTCACAGACAACTGCTAGGCATCAGCATGAGCGGCAGTCATTTGATAGAGATAAAATCCAAATGTTAAAAATTCAGTGTTGGTTGCTAGTCAAAAAGACAGTTCTATGATAATATGGTTTTTTTAACATGACAAGGGTTAAAATGTCTGTGAACTCTGCACTGAACCAGGATGCTCCCAGTGATCCAACAATTCGTGTGTTACCAGCATTTAGTTTTATATAATCCAAATAAAGAATTTAAGAACTCAGCAGAAAGTTGATCTGTAGTTTATTTTAGCAAAAAGCATTGTTTATAACTTTTTCAATAGGAAGAAAAATACCAAGCAGCATATGCCACATCCCTTTTGATAACATTTGCAAATAGCGTGCTCTGTTCCATCTACACATGTCTTAAAAGCTATCTGCTATACTGTAAAGTCACATCAAACATTCACTTTGCTCTGAGTCTGACAGCGAAAACGAAAAAGTGTCTTCAGATGCTATATCAACCTGTGTCTTCCTTGGGCTCTGATATGCTTCAGTACTTCTAACATATTGAATTTTTTTCTCCTCAAAAAACAAGGATGCTGTTTTCTCTGTTAGGTTATTTGCAGTAGCTGTCAGTTTTGGTCATTGCTGAAGACTGATAACAGGCTCCTCATTGCACATGATTTTCATGCTGGGTGGCATCTAGAAGTTTGAAAATGTAAACTATCACTGAGAAAAGTGGTGTGGAAAGATTTTTGAATTTTAAAATTTGTTGTAAGAAAGACTTTTTGTAACCTGTTGAACATTTTTCCTTGCCTCACAACATGTTGTATATAGATGAATATTGCTTCATTGTAGAGGAAACTATGAGGGTTGAGAGCAACTTGGAAAACTGTAATAGATAAATTAATGAGTCTGAAGCTTAAGGTTATGTGCTAGTAAATTTCCAGAGCAGGCAGGAAGACCAACAGTTAGGTGATACATATCCTTTTCAGAAAGAATATTGCTAGCCTAACAACTTTGTATCAGTCAGATGTTTCTGATGTTGTCTGATTTGCAGAGCCTGAAAGATTCTATAAAGTTACAACGATGTCCAGATTGAACTACCTTATTTTTCCATGTATAAGATGCCACATGTATAAGACAACCCCACCTTTCTAACACAAAATTAAGAAATCAGTATTTTAAACATAAAACAACATATTTTATTTAGTAGTTAGGTAACATTTACATACTAGTACTGTAATATCACATGTATCACACTTAGCTTTGAGCATATCACTTTATTCAGCCTCTGTGCTCAGAACGCTTGGACATAACGAGTTCCTGTTGAATCTAAGGGTCCTGATTGGAGGCAGCTAAGTCTTGTGATTGTTTGCAGAGGCAAGGTATGGGCTGCTTTGCAATCATGCGGTTCTCTCCTTGGTTTACTTCTGTGTATAAGACAACCCTCAATTTTTAATCTAAAGGTTTTAGGTAAAATTATTGTCTTATACATGGAAAAATACGGTATCCTCAGTCCCTTTCAATAGTCCTGTTGGTTCCAAGAACCACTGTTGGACTTTAAGAATTTCTCCTTCAAGCCCTGTGACACATAATAAAATTCTCTTTTACACATGTGGAATTCTTGAATGCTTGTCCATGTGAGCTGTGCATATCAGTTAGCTGTGGGGGAAGTGAAAGGAGAGCAGTCTGGGTGTTGCCAACTCCAGTTTGCCTCTCTTTTGACGCCACACATTTGTCCATGCAAAAGCTTAAGCAAAAAAAAGAAAGTAGAGCCTGCTGGACCAGTGCCTTTGCCTCTCTTTTGACACCACACCTCTGTCCATGCAAAAGCTTAAGCAAAAGAAAGAAAGTAGAGCCTGCTGGACCAGTGCTTCTTTAGAAAGATGCCAAAGGAGGTTTTTGTGACCCTGAAGGAACTTTCCTGTTAATTCATAATGCCCCCTAATTTTGTTTCAGTTGCATGTATGTATATGTCATGTCACTTCCAATTTATGGCGATATAAAATAAATAAATAAATGAATGAATGAATGAATGAATGAATGAATGTCGCCCCCCCATCTATCTATGGAGTATTGAGATGTAAGGGTTATTGACTTTCATGTGAAATGAACTTGAAGGATGTTTCTTAAGAAGGAATTAGATCAGTTACAATTTTGCTTCCATCCTTAATGTACTGAAACATTAAACTGCCAGCTGCTGTATAAAGTATTTAGGGCCTTCTAGCACATTTGAGTAAATCAGTATCAGAGTGATGCTGAAGCAACTTTTGTCGAGAGTGCAAAGTGCGATTTCTGTATGTTAGTAATGGAATGAAATGCATCCTTCTGAATACCCACTGATTTTATTTTATTACTTAAAGAATAAAATATATATGAGAAGAAAATGCCTATTCTTAGTTTTTGGCTTCTTAATGAAATCCCAGCAATACCCTTTTTCATTTATGATTTGTAACCCTTGCGGTTGTAAAATACATGGTAAATTATGCACAGTATGCCCAAGGGACAACAGCTGCAGATTGTGGGGTGCTGTCCAGTAGTGGTTGGTGCTGATCCACCAAGACCTTTTCTTAGAGTTCCTTCATGCTTTTAGATGTCTTGCTTTTGTTAACTAGCTGATGCAATGGGGCATGTAAAATAACCAATGAACCCAGGACCTTTTTAAAAGGCCAAAAATATTTTCGGAAGATGAAAGGTCACTGATGAGCCAGGAGCAGATGTGAAGGCAAGCTAGTTAGGTGGAAAAAAATCACTAACATAAAAGGCTGTTTGCATTTGGGAAATTCTTGGAATTGGGAAAGACTTCTGCTATCCTATTACTCCATGTTTTAGGCATTCATTTTTCTTCTTACCTAACAGAGCTTTTTCTGAGCCTTGGACTGATTTTTGGGATAACAGAATGTGTCTTCTTACAGAACAGTGACAAAAAATTCATTAGTGTGCATTGCGGTAGAATCATTGTTCATTTCTCTCTTTCCTCCAATTGTTCTGAATACTCTTTCTCTAAGGAAGTAAAAATAAACAGAGGTGATGAAGGATTATATATTTATTACACATAGTAAAAGAAATATAAGGGAAATAATTTTAAAAGCACAGGCATCCAACTAGCTTTTAAATCTGTAAACTTCTCAATACTTCTGTACTGCTTATGCAGATTTATAGATAGGGACTGGCTTGGCCCATCTTCTAGTACTGCACAGGTTTGTTGTATAAAAGGAACACGAGATAACCCATACTCATACTTTTCAACTGAAGGAGGGTCTTTCTGAAGCCAGTATCTTGCAGTTAGTAGTTTTGCTGCTGCTAACAGATTGTAGGTGGAAGTACTATTCTTAGTATTTGGGTCCTTTTAAGGAGAAAGGTGAGTAAAGATATTTTAAATAAATAAATAGCTTCCATCTCCCTTGAAAACAAGCAAACTCATAGTCTCCTCTATATTTCTCTCTTACCAACTACTATTTGATCATAATTCTGAATAAGACCTATTGTGTGAGTGATCAGTAAGCAAGTGCTTAAATGTCAAATCTCCCCATCACATCAATGGTTTTTAATATTGTAAATGCACCCTGGAGTTAGGAGGAAAGTCAATTAATGGCAATACAGTATTGCTTTTCCATTTTCTAACATGGTGTTTCACTGACTAACCTTTTGTATGCCTTTCAGTCCTACAAGATCATCAACTTTGCTCCTAGTCTGCTACAAATAATTGTTTCTGATCAAGTGGAATTTCCAGTCCGACAGGCAGGTGCGTTGAAATGCTTGTGAAAATGGCTTCTACATTTTATGACTAGGATAGGGCTGCTGTTCACACACATCCAGGTACTGCATTTTACTTGCCTTTTAGTCTTGCCTAGTAAGTTCCTGGAGTTCAATTGGTGAACAAAAGGATTATCATATTACCTTAGTATGAAGGAAGCTTGAAAACATGGCATTTCAGTAAGACTTCACTAATGTTTTTCATGTCCATAGTATGGTAATCAGTTATAAGTAATCTGAGCATGGAAGTTCATTGATTATTCCTAATAGACATTGATAAACCGATTGGTTGAGTCCTTGAAAAAAACCATTTAAGGCTATTGGGCAACATGTGCTGGTAAATGTCTCGACACAGCATGTTAAAAAGCAAACAGCAATGCTTGAGTTGCTTTACATTCAGCTTCTCATACAAACACTTTCTTTAGAAGCCCATGGTAGCACTCTGTGTGTCTGTGGAGTCACAGAGCTTGGAAAAGTTAGCTTCCAGAGTCTTTTAGCATGCAGTGCCTATGATGGCTGGCTAGTACTGAAAAGTGTAGTCCAAAATAGTATATTTTTCAAGCTCTGGGAGTCAACAATGTTGCCTAGAACAGAGAACACTGAAGATGCAAAGCAGGTTCTGCTTGTCACTCAATGATCCAGACACCATTATATTCCAGTGGCACCGGGCATCATGCTTTAAACCCAGCAGTGTGGGATTTTGTTACAAGGAACAACTTTGTCATACAATTTTGTATGATGGAGTTGTATGTAAATGGTTTCTAAGGTTTGACTACATTGACAGTGTAGTACAGAAAATGCTACAAGATTGTTATTATTTGATTCACAATTTTTTCCATTGACCACATGGTGTAAAAGCTAATACAGACCAGCCTGGACTTCTCAGCCCTGTACAAATCTGTAGTTTTCCCCTCTGCCACTGGGGCTTGTACTACTTTTTTTTTTACAGTGGATCCATTTGCAGTGGCTCAAATGGTGTGATTGCTTGAACTAATGCAGAAAAGCTTGTGCTTTGCTGCTTCAAGCATCTTCCTCCTTACCCTTTACCTCATGAGGAATGATGAGCTGCAAGCACAAATATGCAGACATAAAGCAGTGCTTTGACACTTCTAGTATCACTTTGTCATAACGTAGGGCTGTTTTTTTCCTTCCATTTCAGCTGCTATTTACTTGAAGAACATGGTGACACAGTACTGGCCAGATCGGGAGCCACCACCTGGAGAAGTCATATTTCCATTCAACATTCATGAAAATGATCGGCAACAGATTCGGGATAACATTGTGGAAGGAATTATTCATTCTCCAGACTTAGTAAGGTATATCAGCTTGGAGTCATATATCAAAAATTTCTGACTTTTTCAGGAGGAAAAGAAATATTTCTACTTTTGGAGTTTATTTTTCAGTTTACATTTTGCTTTGAAAATAGACATTTTCGGGACTTTGTTTGATACTGTAGGGACCGCAATAAAAAGTTAATTTAAACAACGGGTCAATCCTTAAACAAATTCTCTTAATACACTCTTCCAGGAAGACTGTTTCTAAACAAAATTGATACAGTATTTTTGCATGAAATCTATGTGGAGAACTGAAGACAAGGTGGCTAATGAAACAGTGCAATTAAAATTTATAAAATGTGGTGCTTCGTGTTGTTTTGTAAGAATAAGTAAGTTTTGTTTAATGAAAACAAGAAAATTCAGAAGCCAGTGAAATTGCTCGCTATGGGCTTGTTCAGATTATCTGCTTCCTACGTAGATGTTATGTGTGCTAAGGAGCAAGAGAAAGATCTTGTTTCACATTGGCTTAAATCCATTGCTAGTAGAGTAGTCCCACTGAATCAGTGGAACTTACATAATTAAAGACTCACCAAGTACCCATTGTTGTGAGTTACTACTGGATTTTAGCCCTGTCTGTTAAGTGATCCACATGGGACATGATAATTGCAGCGTGTGATAGATATCGATCTTCACTCATAGTTGCCTCCAGGTTTGCTTTGTGTTTTGGATTATTGTTGTTATTGTTTGGATCTCATTATTTATGTCTTTGATGGTTGAGATGGGTAGTTTTTTAAATTGCAGTTTGCCACCCAGAGTAGTGCCTGGTCAATAGATGGGCAGGATAGATATGTAATAAATGAATACATAATATCCTGCCTAGAATTTGGAAATAGACTGTATGATTTGAATTCCTTATATTAGATTTTAAACATATCTACCATTTGGAAACCTTAGGCCTGCATGTGAGTGGAACAGGTTGGTGCAGAATGGGTCATGTCGTTCCTCCACTAAGCAGAAGTTGTACGTCAGGAGTGGGGAATCTTTGCCCTTCCAGATGTTTTGGAATACCGCTCCTACAGTTTATCTTACTATTGGTTTCTCTGGTGGGAGCTGTAGGCCAAAACATGTGGAAGGCTTAAGGTGTGTCCCCTCCTCCTTAATTTTAGAGAATCCATAATTGGCTTTGGATAATCAGAGGAACAAACAGGCTCAAAACATGCATACCTTAAATTCTTACCTTTTCATGTGTATTTTAAGTTTACGTCTTGACTTTTGTTTCTACTTATTATTGATTGGTACACGTTGTTGAATGTGAATGCATTGTTACTTGAAGAGCGAAGGCAGTAATGTCTGGTTACATGTAGTAAGTTACTTTACATCTCTTCCCTACTTTGGTTTGTATCGTTTGTTTGTTTATACCCCACCCATCTAGTGGCAAGCCTCTGTTCTGAGTGGCTTATAAGAAATAAACACACAAACCACCCACATACTCACCTGCTAGTAATAAACACCCAAATCATAAAAACAAGAAAAAAAAAAGAGAAACCCCCAAATACAATCACAAGGGAGAGCAAGAAAATCATAGGGAGAGGATGTTTATGAAGACCTCTGTGAAAAGCTCAGATTTTACACATTTTCTGTAGGTCATGAAGAAAGGAGCCTGGTGTACATCAAGAGATCACTTGTTCCATAGTGTCGCAACCACCACCAAAAAGGCCCTGGTCGCAGATTTCCTGGCCTCTCTTGTGGCGACTATCATAATTTCAAAGCCTAGGAAGCCTGGGTAGCCCAAGTAAACAGTGTTAGGGAAAGCCACTCCAACAGGTAGTGAGGTCCCAAACCATTAAAGGCGTTATAAGTTAGTACTTTATAAGTTTGAATTTGGCACGGAAGCAAACAGGAAACCAATGCAGCTATTTCAGAACGGGAAGACGTGGTTTTATCTCTGGGCTGTCACCATGAGCCTGGCCGCTGCATTTTGTATCAGCTATAACTTCTGTATTACCTTCAAATGCAGCCCCACGTAGAGAGCATTACAATAATTAATTCTAGAGACTACCAAAACATGAACTAACATGGTCAGGAATTTTCTGTCCAGGAAAGACTGCAACTGCTCCATCTGCCAAAGGTGATATCATGTTTTCCCGAAAATAAGACAGGATCTTATATTAATTTTTGTTCCAAAAAACGCATTAGGGCTTATTTTCAGGCGAATTTTTTTCATGTAGAACAATGTACATTTATTCAACTACAGTCATGTCATCATCTTCTGGTTGCTACACAATGCTGCACAGTGGTGGAGGGTGGGGTTCCACTGAACTGGGGCTTATTTGTGGGGTAGGGCTTATGTTATGAGCATTCGGAAAAAGCATACTAGGGCTTATTTTCAGGTTAGGGCTTGTTTTCAAGGAAGCAGGGTAACCTTCTCTCTTGTCAGGTGCTGATTTCCTCTCACTCTCTTTTTCTCTTCAAATTTCAGGGCCCAGTTGACCATGTGCCTCCGCGCTATCATCAAGCATGACTTTCCAGGTCACTGGACAGCTGTGGTGGACAAGATAGGCTACTATTTGCAGTCTCCCAATAGCGGGAGCTGGCTGGGAAGTTTGCTGTGCCTCTACCAACTAGTGAAGACCTATGAGTAAGTGGTTCTTCACCAGGAAAGTCCCTTTCCCAGCAAGTAACCGAGGTAACAGTGTCTGGGGAGCATCTGCACACAGATACATGCACCTTCCTTCTTCTGCCAAAAATATCTAGTTAGTTCTCAGAGCAAGGCTACCAGAGTTAGGTGTCTACCTGTTGGCTGAGGATGAAACATCTGGGCTGGCAAGCTGTCAATGCACTAGGAAAGATAAGGCCAGAGTAAGTAGTGTGCTCCTCAAAGCATATAAAATTCATTTCTGCCTGTATTGGCTTCATGGAAAGACTTTTCTCAAGGTAAAACTGACTGGGCAGATCACCCGTTTACTAAGAGGCAGAATATGTGACCCAACTGTAAACCTTTATGGCCAGTGTGTGCACAGATTCCTTGAATCCTACTTATCAAGTAGTAAATTATAGCTACTTTTTTCTTTACTAAGAATTTGGCATGCTGGAAAATCCACGAAACCAGCTCTCCAAGACAGAGATTAACCTAACTTAATGTTTCTTCTTTCTGTTTTGAATCTTTTAATTAAACAAATTTTTGCACTCTGGGTGGTCCGGCAGTAACAGAAGAGAGGGAAAGATAATAAAGGGGATAACTATTTTCTTAAAGAGTAAAACAAGAAGGATGAAAGCAAATTTTTTCTCATTAACCTCTTATTTTTTTTGCTTCTGATTGCATCTATAGGTACAAGAAAGCTGAGGAGCGGGATCCCCTCATTGCTGCGATGCAAATATTCTTGCCTCGGATTCAGCAACAGATGATCCAGCTCCTTCCTGACAACTCCCACTATTCTGTGCTGCTTCAGAAACAGATCTTGAAAATTTTCTATGCCCTTGTCCAGGTAAGAGCCTGTGCATGAGCAACTTTGGGATGGAATGAATAAAGAACCCCTCTTGACCTCTTTCTGTACATGCATGCCTCAAAGTGCTTTGTTGATTTCAAGTTTGATTATTTTTCTCCACTTGGAACAAACTGGATACTGCCCTGTTTAGAACAGAAATAGTTTTAAACATAGGCCTCATGTCAACATTATTATTTGCTAGTGCAAAGCCTGTTGTGCTCATGGCTGCTTATTTTCAGGGCTAGTGCAAGAGTGATATCCCGTGTTGTGTCTGTTGTACAGGAAGTTGCACATTCTCTTGTGCAGCAGTTCAGTCCGGTGCAAGTGCCAGGATTTTCAGCTAACATTACATGATGTTACATTGGATTTAGGTCACTGATTTAGAAACACATTGTGCTCTGTCTTTAGCTGAAGGTGCTCTGATGCACTTCCAGGAGTGCCTCCAAGAGATTTCCCAGAGAGTCTTCCACAGTCTTTCCAACCCTGTGATGTTTTTGCAAAGGGATAGGCTTGTTCATGAGATGTCAAAGTGTCACAGATCCAGGTCTAACTCATATGGTTTATACTTAAATGAAATCTTGAAATGCTCTGCTTTCATAAGCACAGACTTACTGAATTATTCTTAAGAAAATGATGACCATATTGTAAGCTTGACTGTGGCACGACTTAGAGCAGGCAGGAGTCCCATCAGACCCATGGGCCTCAGCAACTCCTCAGCTAGTTCTGTGCGCCTGACAAACCTTCTGACACTGCTGAATTTGGTAGTGTAACAATAGTTAGGCAAATATGGTATGAGAGGGCATGCCTTGTTTTATTGTGAAATTAACAACAATAATAATGATTGTGTGCTATCAAGTTGATTCCGACTTAAGGCAACCCTTTCCAGGATTTCTAGGTAGAGAATACACAGAAGTAGTTCACTATTCCCTTCTTTTGAGGATGCCTTGGGACTGTGCAGCTTGCCCAAGGCTACACAGACTGGCTCTTCTTACAGTCAGTGGGGAATCAAACTCCCAACTTCTGGCCCCACAGCCCGATACCCAAACCACTGAGCTATCCAGTCAGCTACTGTGAAATTAGACCTTTAAAAAAAGAAGTAGAGACTTTTTCTCACTTCATGTTATAATTGTGTTGCAGAATTTCAGTAGCATGCAACAGTGGAGAAAAAGTACATACTGTCCTGGGTTCTGGAGGAGGAGGAAGGGTGGAAATGGGCCCCAGGACTCACCAGAGTTGCTTAGCAAAAGCTGGTGCTATTTCTAACATTTCTGTGTCCTCCTTTGTTTTCATACTGCTTCTGTAAATTTCTCTGGGGCTACTCACACAGTCCTTTTGAAGAAACAAGCACCTGTACTTTCAGCCCAAGGGAAGCACAAAGCTAAAGCGATTCATGCCCACTAATAAATAAGTGGCCATTATGATTGTTGTAGGTGTTTTGGGCTGTTTGGCCGTGTTCCAAAGGTTTTTCTTCCTAATGTTTCGCCAGTCTCTGTAACCAGCATCTTCAATGGACAGGAGTTAGAACTGGTGTTCTGGTGTAGTGTGTGGGATAGTTGAGTATTTGTAACTGTGGGATCAGCTCTTTGTTCTTTTCAGGAGACTGGGTGATTATGGTGATCAGGGTGTTTCTTTTTGTTATGGGTGTATTGTGTGATAAGGCGGGAGAGATGGTCTGTCACTGTGATTGATGAGTGTCGTTAGCTAGTCTTTTGTGTGCAGTGATCACCAGTCCTTGTGGCTGGGTAGAGTTCGTTGACCTTTTGCAGGCGATATTTTTCAGTACTGGGAGCCAGGCTTTGCTGAGTTTTAGACTTTCTTCTTTTTTGTTGAAGCTCTGCCATTATGTTAATTATATTTCCAGGGCAGCAAGGAAGCTGCTGTGCCCAATAGAAGATGAAAACAAAAAAAAATTCTTGGGATGTTTCATTCTAATAATACAGTGAATTATATTGTTTTGTTTCTCTTGTCTTAAACTGACATTCTTGTGTCTCTTCCGCTCCCCCCCCCATCTCTAATTCCAGTATGCTCTGCCACTCCAGCTGGTGAATAATCAAACCATGACTCAGTGGATGGAGATTTTCCGAACAGTCATTGACAGAAGTGTGCCTCCTGTACGGTTTGCATTACTGGACAGCGCTAGCAACTTTGGGAGGCTGAGAAAGGGGATGTGACACATATGGACTTAAAGTGTTGATAAAGGCTTCTCACTCTTCTAGTTCAGCAAGAACAAGAAAATGAAATCTATATTCAGTGCGACCCAAAGACCTACAGCGCTGCTGCCCCCTTGGCCTTCTTAGCCTCTAATGATCCCATATCCAGATGTAGCATGTCCAACAGACCATACTGTAAACTGGTGATGACATCACGGGAGGATGTGGCCAGGCATACTATAGTCCAGTAACCTTACTCCACGCTTATTGCTAATGCAGTCAGAAATCACAGCAGTGCTGTTGGTTGGTTGTGTCTAGGTTGAGACAGAGGCCCTCCAGATATTGAACCCCAATTTCATGGCCAGGGTTGATGGGAAAATAGATCATCAATCTCTGAAGGACAGCTGGTTCTTCACCCCTGCTCTAGGCTTTGCTGCATCTGTGAGCCAAGATCGGTCAGGGGTCACCGGGTAGATCTGTTTCTGGGCCATGCCCAAAGCAGGTGATAAAAAAAGGAAAACGTTGTGGAGGGATGTACTCTCTCAGTTTGAAAGTCTTAAAATTTTGGACAGATGTTTAGAGAATGGTGTGAACAACCTAGTTGTAGAATTCTTCAAGTTTCCGATCTTCCCAAGGTATCGGGACAAATATGTGTAGTTTAATTTCCCTGGGCAGAGTCTTAACAATAGATTTATTTATCATTTTTATTTAAAACCTTTCTACCCCACCTTTTTCTTTAAGAAGGACTCAAGGTGGCTTACATCAATCAAATACAATATTTAAAGCTAAAAACAAACATGCAAATACTAAAAAGGATCAGACAAATACCACAGTAAAATATGGTAAACAGGCTTGATAGGTTAGGACCAGTACTAAAAACGGTGAAAATAACAGAATAAAATAACGCTGGATTTTCAGCTGTGCTGCCTTGAGTGGGTAGGAACTGTAAACTAAAACAGAGAATAGTGTGTTAAAAATTCCTCATTGGTCAGGACAGCAGTGAAGGCCTGTTCTAAGCATGTGGTGCAATAGCAAGAATTTCTTCTTATTATGATCATGTGGTGGTAAATGTTCATTTGTGTGAAGCAGGCTGATGGCTATTTCCTTTACTAGGAGACTCTGCAGATTGATGAAGATGATAGACCAGAACTGGTGTGGTGGAAATGTAAGAAGTGGGCCTTGCGAATTGTTGCTCGCCTTTTTGAAAGGTAGTCGGTCTGATAATGAAATGTAAAATTTCCAGTTTTGTTTTAGTCACCTTCATATGCTAATAACTTTTCTGTTCCACTTATGATGATGACAATGGTTGTAGTTATTTCTCTGTGGTTTGGCTACAAAGAAGACTTTGGAAGTTTTTGGTTTCTATTTTCAATGAACTGAAGTATGTAATGACATCTGAGCCCAGACAAACTGGTTAATCTTAACTATGGTTTGTTGAAATGAGCCAGTTTCATAACCATGGCAGCTACTGGGAACTTCGAATTTCTACCCTCTGTTTCCATGCTACTTGTGTAGGAAAGGAATTATTTTCTTCCCCAGTCAACATGTAAAAGCAACAGCTTGGACTAACAATGGTTAAAAGCAATCTGAATGATTCAGCAATCTGAATCATCCCAGCTCATTCCATTTCCTTGAGTTCATCCTTGCCCTCAGCTAAAAACATTTCATCAAGCAGATTCTCTCTCAGAATATACAGAGAGTAAGAGCTTCAGAGTTCACAAAGCATTGCACTCCCACTGTTGTAATCCTTAACAACAATCTGCTACACTTCATTGGCTTTAATCCCAAAATAAAGGTTTTAACTAAAAGGAGTTTGCCTAGGGCTGCCTTCTCAGTTTATGGTTGAAGTGAGAGATTACAAATGGATACTGTTTTTCATTAAGATGCGTTTTCTCAAGTAATGGCACTGTTTCAAGTGTCACTAGTAGCTAAATATCACTGATAGATGCTCTTTTGTCTATTTAATAACTGTATCTTGGTGATTTAGCAACCTTATGATATCCACTGTGTCACATTGTTGATGTTTTCGCAAGATTTTCTAAAATCAGATTGCCTCATACTTTAGCAACCTTATGATATCCACTGTTGATGTTTTAGCAAGATTTTCTAAAATCAGATTGCCTCATCAGTGAGCCTACTTGCTGAGAATGGGGCAATTCTCACCAGAGTGTCTTATTATAAACTGAGTAATAGCTACTCAGCCACACTGCTTTTGCTTGTCATGTGATGGAGCACACAGGGGAGTCAGATGTGGTAAAGACTGTAGGAGTTTGACTGGTCCTGTATTCTTCCCAACATCTGCTTAGTCTTCCAAATGTAGGGGTGCTCCAGGGAATTTAACACAAAAAAGAAATCCCCAAAGTTTGGCACAGGGAACTAGCACACCAGACTTTGAAGATAGCTACCAGTACTCCCACACACAAACATTGCAAATAATCCCAGAAGCTGGTTGAGATGGTTTTAGTACCATAAAACCTCTAACAAAAACATTCAGACAATTGCTTGAAAGGATTTTTTTTAGTTTATTAAAAAGAAAATGGAAAAAAATTCAGGACAAAAAGAATTAAAGTTCCAAATGGTTATAAGATTTTCAAACCCAGGAGCAAATGTGGAGACAGGCTTATAAATATTAAGGAAGGAAACACAGCAGAAAATAATAAAAGCTATTCTACCCTATCTCTACTCACACCTGAGATAAGAAATGGTATACATATTTCTGGGACATGCAAAGAGTGCATCATCCTGGCACAGCTGACAGCAAATGGACCCAGATTCTCCCTTTGAACCAGCCTGAGGCATCCAAGGCATTCAGGACACAGCAGGGAACCAAAGCATTATTCTTGTCAGAGACATGCTAGACTAACTACGTAATTTGTTTCCCCTAATTCTTTTTATGCAAGTAAATGGGCCATTATAGAGGTGCATTACATACCTGTTGCTGACAACATCTTAAGGCTTTCAACATGCTACACTAACTACGTAATTTGTTTCCCTCTAATTCTTTTTATACAAGTACATGGACCATTATACAGGTGCACTACACACCTGTTGCTGACAACATCTTAAGGCTTTCATTTTCCACCAGGACAAAAGGCAGCTTCCTGACCTGCCACCAGTCACATGGTCAAATCTGCATAACTCTCTGGGAAAAGCAGGTTGACCCATTTCAAGTCAAGGTTACAGATAAGGTATGAGAGTCCTTGTGGGGCAGCTTTGATATGCCCTCTGTTGAAGATAAACATGGAAGTGTTTACTCCTTGCTTAGTCCCTTCTTTGAAGTGTTCAACAGCAGGAGATGAGTTGAAGGTGTGAACTGTTTGTTTACACACTGACCTTAGTCTGTTAGGGCAGCTTCTCAGACTCTTGCAGAAGCCTAGAAGAATCCAGCCTCTGAATCCCACATTTCATATTTCAGTTTTGTCCCAGCAAGCACAACGAAGATTCTGTTTTGTGTATTCCTCCTTTTAGTACAAGGTATGCTTTACATAATTACCTTAAATTCATGTTCTTGTTTTTTGGATTCTTAAAGGTATGGCAGCCCTGGGAATGTAACAAAAGAATATTTTGAGTTTTCTGAGTTCTTTTTGAAAACCTATGCTGTGGGGATACAACAGGTAAGGGTTTATCATTTGTTTTGTGGAATACTGTGACAGCTCTACAGAACATTTTAAGCTGTGCAGTTTTTTATTTTTTATTATTTTTGGTAACATCCTAGTTTATGGCACTAGTTCTCTTATACTCTGTCTGTGACTGTAATAGAAGGGAAGAATAGCAAAAGAATCTTGGATCAGTGGTGTGGGATGCCACCTCCCATGCAGTAGTTTACAAAGCAGTTTTAGGGTCATCAAAGGTAGTCTGTGCTTTGTAGCAGAAACCTCATTCAGATCTCTCCTGTAACAACTATTTTTACAGACATCTGACTCAGAGAAGGAAATACATGTGGTGAAAATATTCTAATGTCACTACACCCTTCCCTTCGAAGTTGCTGGTCTTTAGTCTAACTAGTTGCATGTATTAATTGTCTGCATCTATCAAAATACTAGTCTGGGACTACATATTAATGGAAACTGGTGATTTATTCTTCCCCCACTCCACCCTCCATTCAAAGTAATGGAGTATCCATCTGATTACATACCATTTTAAGAAATCTGTCTCTGAGAGTGAGTGAGTGAGTTACAATTTCAGTGGAGGTAACAGGAACACTATATGTTTGGTATCCCCAAGTTTCTATCAGATCATTTTATTGAATTTGATTATTTGCTTATAAGAAAAGGAAATGAGGAACATGAGAAAGGTGCTAGCTCTTCTTTGTGAATTAAATTCTCTTTCAGATTTCTCTTAATGCCTATATGCGATATGTCTTGTTATATTCCTGTTAAGTTTCAATCCGATGGCAGAGTTGTCGGCAGCTGCTTCTGCTTTCCATGTCACAGACATGTCAAAACGTCCTCCGTATATGTAGGTTTTTTCAAATGTCGTTCCTTTTGCTGCAGGTGCTCTTAAAAATCTTGGACCAATACAGACAGAAAGAGTATGTTGCTCCACGTGTCCTTCAGCAAGCATTAAACTATCTGAACCAAGGTGTCAATCACTGTATAACCTGGAAGCAGATGAAACCACATATGCAGGTCAGTATAGAAATGATACGTAATGTCCACTTGTAAATTTCCAGGATTTCAACTAGAACTTTTCTTGTAGAATTCAAACTTGAGAAAACAAAAATATTTTTGTTTCTACAGTGGGAACACAGGCCCATTATACAGAAGAACAAAAATAAAACGCCATAGTTTGTTGATTTTACTATACTTCTAGCCGCTACTCTCTGTAGAGCTTAGAGATGTACCGTAGGGTTTTTAAGAAGGGATCAACAACTTTGATTGCTAGCAGAAGACCCATGTCTTTTTCTTCTCACTCTCTCCTCTGATAAATCATTAAAAATCGAAGACGTGACATTGGTGCATTACAGGTTCCTGAAGCCCTGCAAGTGGCCCTAGTGAAATGAAGCTGGGGAAGTTGCAGGATGCGTTACTAAATATTTATGGGGAAGAGAGAGAGGAGGAAATGGGGGGATCTGTAGCTTTCAGTGATAACCATGATTGGACCACAACTTTATTTGGTCATAGCATAGACAGGCATTTTGGCTTTAACTTTCCAAAATATGCTCTTACGTGTCTGCCTGAAATATTGCAATCATGGCTTATTTCTGGGAAAAGATGCTGAAATGCTTAATAGCCGCAAGGGAAGTAAGCACTAGCTGCTTTATCATGTAAATATAGTATTTGTTTATTAGGAATATGCTTACCCTGCCTTTCCTGTAAATGGAACCAAGGTAGTTTACATAATTAAAAAGACAATATTTAAAAGTTAAAAACAGTAAGTATATATAGCAGTCTGTACTGTTGCAGGATACATTACGATTCTTTTTGTGGAAACTCACTTTGACTTTCTAGAGGAAGTCATTAACATTGCAGTGCTTGCCCTTCTCCCATTAAATCATCACCTCTTTGCTCTTTTTATAAGACTTTATGTGAAGAAGTGATCTTCTCCCTGATGTGTTATAGAGATGAGGATGAGGAGCTTTGGCAAGAGGACCCATACGAGTACATCCGCATGAAATTCGGTAAATATTTGCGTGCTCCACAAATGTAGCTGCTGTCATTGACTCACTGCAATTCTTCCCAGGGATTGTAGATATTGCTGTACATTCAGATCAGGCTGCAAGTAGGTGTATTGGTTTGTTCGCACAAAAAAGATTGGACAAAAATTATAAACTGATTTAACTTTTTTTTGGCAATATAACGAAGAATGCTGAAATAGAAAAAGAGAGAGAGAGAGTCCTGGATTGCAGAATGGACATATTATTCTCCCATCCAGCTCGTTCTCTCCCTGTGCCACTGCTTCCTGAAACATGACCATGGGGGGGGGGGGCGACAATTGAAAAAAGCAACATGGAAAGGAACAGTGCAGATTGACCATGCTACCTATTTCTGTTGGTGATTGGTCAATGGAGGATGATGACACATTTGTATTGTTTAATTTGGGGTCTGTAGTAACTTGAATACTGAATATTTAGTAAAAGATGGGGTGTAAAACAATTGGCTGATGTCCGGCTGAGACAGAAAACTATACAGTAAATCCTCCCCAGATGGCAGGAGCACTCTTTCTAGAAATTTTCTTGCACACTGTTCAAGAATAGGAAAGCAGTGTGTTCAGTGGAACTCTGGGGTACGTCTTCATAGAAGAAGAACTTATGTAGGAGATGGCATCCTGGATTGTTGCATGGCCTTTGGCACCACCTTTTTTATAACAGGACTTTGTCAGAAATTTCTGGTGGGAATGCACTTGTGATAAATTATGATAAATTAAGTTATCTGTCAATGTCCATAACATCAGATTTTATCTAGGTTGAGTTATTTCCACAGTATACCCTGTTTTTAGATACTACACTCTCTTGAATGAGAATTGAACTGTGGTTTTTACTTTACCTTCAGTGGCATTGGTGTTATGTGTACATATCTGTTTCTCACACCGTTGATATTATATATAAAAGAGGGAATATGTGTGAGAGGCACATGGTGCAATTACTTTCCATGCCATTGTCAAACCATTGTTATGAGAAGTAGCATTAGTCAATTCATCCAACATGTTCTTTCCTCATTTGTGTTACCAAACCTTCCCAGAATACCATTATTTAGCAGCAACTCTGTAGTTACAGAATAATGGAATACAAAAGTCTTTGTGTTTACAGCCTTTGCCTTAAAGGACGTTATTTAGCTGTATGGCAGAAATACACTTATTGTGTCCTTCATTCTCTCATTTTTAAAGTGATTTACAAAAATGTTCATGATCCCACAATAAAATACTATATTTTCTTTTCTTTTCCTTTTGAAATATTATAAGATGTGTTTGAAGATTATGCATCCCCTTCCACAGCTGCTCAGCTTCTTCTGTATACCGCAGCAAAAAAGCGAAAAGAGGTACTTCATTCTGATTTTGTCAACACATCAGGAGTTTTTTTTAAAAAAAGCAGACAAAAAAGCTTTCTTCTTCTGTTCCCCAAAGACCACTGCCATCAGGGCAAACATTTTGTAATGTCTCCACAATCTGAGATTCTTCACAAATGTAGCATTGGAATTCAAGGCTTTCATAGTTAATTTAGTTATGCTGTTTAATTCTTTAAAATAATAATACCTTATAGAAGAAATCAGGATAGTATCTAAAAAATTCATCAACACAGTTGCCATAGTCTACAAAGATAGGAGGCATTCACCTATAGTCAAATAATTTAGCTGGTTGTTCTTGGATTTACTAACTGACTTATTTTAATCTGACAAAGGCTCTTCAAGGCACATATTTCTTTATTTGATAACTAACATGAAATTGAAATCAAACAGACTTATAAATATGTGGACAATTCCTCTATTCCCAAAAGAGAATCCAAGTCCCAGAGTAACAATATAAGGAAAAACATATATATTATATATAAAGTGAGTAAGAAACAAAGTCATTATGTTCCAGTTTTAATAGTAATAATTTCAATTTTCATAACTTTTTCAGTTTTAAATTTTTCAGGCTTTTTACCATTTTTTTAGGTGTTACCAAAAATGATGGCATTTTGCTATCAGATCCTCACGGAGCCCAACATTGATCCTAGGAAGAAGGATGGGGCGTTACATGTGATAGGCTCTCTCGCAGATATTTTACTAAAGGTAAATGGCTGAAGACAAGTATAACTTTATTTCAAAAAATGTTATGACCTGTGCTTCAAGACACACATAAAGCTGTAATATAAGAAGCTTGATAGTTTGTGTACAGGAGGAATTTGTTAATAATAATTCAGGAATTCCAACTGAAACATGTATTTTGATTTTTCTATTGCATTTCCTCGTATCATCTATGTACAGAAGATGTTAGCTATAGAGTTCCAAAACTCGTGTTAATGTGTTCTGTTCCATTCTTTTGTGTTGTCTTTGTAAGCTGGTGTGCTTCACAAGAGTGCTCCAAATGAAATGTGGAAAGGAATCTGTGATTCGCTGTAGAAAGAATTCCCCGATGAAGTCAGGACATAAGCCTGCGGCAGTTCTTGAATGAAGGCTGGACAGGCATTTTGCAAATGCATCGCCATCCAGGTCTAACAAAAGGAGGGAATTAAGGGAGAGATCTCTTAACAACAGTAGACTAGGCAGGGGAAATGGTATTTTCTGGCCTTTATAAAAGCTCTCTGGTCAAGTTTGCCTACTGGTCTGAGCAAGGTGTTACTTAATTTCTGTCCTACCTCATGTTTGCTTCATCCCCCCCCCTTTTTTTTTAACTGGACAGAAGGTATTCTGGCAAGTTGATATTTCTTTACTGCACTTGCCATGTCAGGCTAATTTATGTACTGTATTATATTTGACCCATAACCTGTATTGAGTATGCTAAGCTACAATTTAGAGTGCTCCCAAAGGTATGTTTTAAGCATATTTTTGAGAAAGGCAAATGCTTTGGGTATTTTCTGTGGTAATCTGTCAAACAGGTGACAATTCTTGGGGCCATATTGTGATTGTACATTCCTGTAAAACCCTCAATAAATGCCTATGACAAATCCAGACTGGAGGGTAAACATACCTTACACACACACATTGCAGGCCTGCTTCTAGCAACACAGCTAGCTGTTAAAATGGCTTTACCAGGTCCTGTTAAGAGTCTGATTTGTATTGGTGTTGTGGCAACATTTATCTATTTGGGCCGGAACAATGGAATAGATGAGATTTCTAGGCTTACAGGATGGTTTCTTTTTAACAGGCCAGTTTTGTTTCGTATTGATGCAATTTCTCCAGAGAAATTAACATTTTAAGACAGCACATAACAGCATTTGTGTTACTATGTATTGGAACGGAGAGTGACTTTTTTTGTGGTTGATGTTCACTCCTTCAGAAAGGCATTTTCAAGGATCAGATGGAGCTGATGCTACAGAATCACGTCTTCCCATTGTTTATGTCAAACATGGGGTATCTGAGAGCAAGAGTAAGTGACTTGCATGTTGTTGTGAGGTGACTTTTTAATGGCAACCAGGGAGTACATTGTAATGTATGTTCTAATACATTACATGAGCTTAGTTTAAGCTTGGCTGTTTGCATAAAGCTTCAGGGCAAAGTGCCCATATGGTGCTTGAGATACTGTTTCACAAGGTGTCTCATTTTGCTATGATCTTAGTTGTTTTCTTTACTGTTTTATAGCTGTTATTCAAAGGGACACACTGGAGCCTTTCAGTGTTATTTTCCCTCCAGTCCCTTATGCTGCTTTCTCAAAGTTCCCTCTGAAGGTCAAGAGACCATCTGGAACAGCAGAGTCCTAAGTGAAAGTGCCTCTGATGTGCCCATGTGTGCATCTTGGCCCGTGATCTTGTTTTTGAACGATGGGTATTAGTTTGTGTGGATGTGTAATATTGTGCCGTGTCAGGGTTATTAGGGAGAATATAAATTTAATGAGCTGTGAAATGCGAGCAGACAACTTGATTCTATAAACAGTGACAGAACGCTAACACTTTCTGATTTGCTTTCTTCTTTTCTACAGTCCTGCTGGACACTTCATTCATTCAGCTCCTTGAAATTTCACAATGAACTCAACCTGAGGAATGCCGTTGAGCTGACAAAGAAGAGCTTGATTGAGGACAAAGAAATGCCTGTCAAAGTGGAAGCTGCCATAGCACTTCAGTCCTTAATAAGTCATCAGGAACAAGGTTGGAGTTCACCTTCTCCAGCTTTTCCTTTGTTGTTGTTCTTAGCCAACTGCCCTTTTGGATGGCAATATTTACATTCTTCACTACTTTTCCCTCCCCCCTGTTCTCTCCCTCACCCCACTTTTTCCCCTTTATCCTACTGCATTATGTTGTTTTAAAACTCAGATTTGCTGTTGTTGCTTATCTTCCTTTTGCTCTCTGTAGAATATCCTTTACCTTAATATTTACATTGTTCTGTCTTTTATCAGTTTTAATAAATGCCTGAAAACCCATCTTAAGTTAATGTTTATGGAAGCTGGAGGTGAATCATTTGACCAGGTTTAATCTTTCTTTTATTTTGTTTCCTCCCTTGTTTGTATGTCATTGGAGTATAAACCTACCTTTCCGTAGGTTTTGATCCCTTTTATTTCCATGTAGCACTTAGTTTATAGGTGTTGAAAACATTTTTAAAATATTATGATTGTATTAAATTAGAATGAGCATAATACCCATTTTCTGGACTGTTCAGATCTGCAAAAATTGGATTTGAGTCACATGATTTCAGTTATATTACTAAAAGGCCTCCTTTGCCACCTCTTTCGAGTCTTTATTCCTGCCTGCCCCCAGATCAGAACCTCACACTTTTGTTCCCTCTCTTTGTCTGGCTTAATCCCTTCCCTTCAGGAATAATAGTCCAAAATGCTCTATTTCCTTTGTCTGGCTTAATCCCTTCTCTTCAGCAATAGTGCCTCCTCATTATCCTTTCCTCACTTCTGTTTTCGAGTCTCTGCTTATAGTATTCTTCACACACACACCCAAAAAACCCCAAAAATGGTTATCCATGTTGGTAATTGATAACAAATGAAAATACAAAATCCATAGGTGGGAAATAACTTCATGAGGGACAACCACAATAGTATGCATCCTTTTGAGTTCTCTGGAAGTCCTTATTAAGCTGGGCAGGGTGGAAGGGAATCATATGGAGGGAAGAAATGTGTAATTCTGAAAAAGTTGGGTAATCATGTTAATGCTATTGATGCAGAGTCCGAAATGCACTTATTATGTGCTGCTGTTCAAGGCTGCATACTACTGTAAATTGTGAGTTTTCCCTTTGAGATCTGAGTGAGGACTATAAAAAAGGTGAAGTTCATAGCCCTTCTCTTTATAAAAACACAATCCAGCCATTTCTGCATATGTGTAAACTCTTCTACATGTATGTACTACGTGTGTCTATTGTTCTTGAATATCTGTATCCCAAATACATGATACACAGTGGACATAATGGTGGCCCTACTATGGTTGCATCGGTGGCCAAGGGCTGATTGTTACCAGCTTGGTTATATGACCAGGCCACGTGTTTTCAGCCTCTATAATTCATGTCCATATCTTTGACTTCTCTTTAATCATGGGTTGAGTCTGAATCATGAACATAGGCCTGAAGGAGAAGTAAGGATTTCTGGAGATGTCGGGAAGGCTCTGATGACATGCTAAAACAAGGCAGTCCTCCTTGTCAGTTTCTGTGAAGATGGAGCTGTGATGTAGATGTCTCCATGAGGCTTCCCAAATAAGCTATTAATGTTTCCCTTTTTCTGCTTTCCGAGACACCTTTCCCACTTGCACCAGCAAAGTGGTTGAAAAGAGGAAGCAGACAGATGTGTCGGCATACGGGTTGTTATTACCAAAGATAAATGTATTAGCCAGGGGGCATAATTGTAGTCACGAGATCCACACATGCAGACAAACCAGTGTAATGACACCTTTTATCTCTTAAAATGTCTTCTTTTCCCCTTCTGCTGTTCTTCTGTGTGTCTCTAGCAAAGGAATACATTAAGCCCTACATCAGGCCTGTGATGCAGGAGCTGCTGCTTGTTGTCCGGGAGACTGAGAATGATGACCTCACCAATGTCATCCAGAAGCTGATTTGCGAATATAGCCAGGAAGTAGCAACAATTGCAGTTGAAATGACACAGCATTTGGTAAGAGATGGCAGAACGCTGTAAGAGATGAAAACCTGTGATCCTGTTTCAGTTCCCGTTGGCTTTTTGTTTTTAACTGAGTGTTCAGGTATATTCAACTATCAGCTTTGCCATTTGAACATAATACATTTCATACTTTTTATTCATTCATTTTTATTTATTACATGTGCATCCTGCCTTTTCTCCAGTGAGCTCAAGGCAGCATAGCTGATTCTTCTCTTTCTGATTTTATCATTACAACAATTCTGTGAAGTAACTCAGGTTGGGAGAGTGTGACTCACCAAAGGTGAGTTTCATGGCCAAGTGGGATTTAAATCTAGGAGTCCTGACTCCTGATTTCAACACACTCGGCATTCCATCACACAGACTTTATTTTTCCTCTCATTTATCTTTTCTTTTCTAAAGAGGTTCTAATCAGCCTTGGGGAGTGCTTCCTATAAACCTCCAGTGCTTTTGCAGCCGTGCTTGCTTATATTTTCATTGGAATAATAATCCATTAAACTTTCCAAGATGTATTTCTGTTTTATTAATTGCACCATGCCCTGAGGTCTATTGATATGGGGAGGATTAGAAATAACTAACTAAATACTAATCTTAAAAACTGTTTAAACATTATAATTGGCCTTTGACTTCTCTTGGAAGACACAGCTTGTATTTCCCACTTTACCTTTTAAATCTTTTACTTGCCTTTCGATCAACTGACTCTGATAGGGATAGACTGTAAACCCACTTCTTCTCCAACACAGGAACCACCAATCCACAGGGCCCCCCTTCTTGTCACTTTTTGCCTTCAGTCTGTTGGTCCACATCCAGAATCCATTTTGCATTTGATTTCTTTAGGCAGAGATATTTGGGAAAGTTCTTCAAAGTGAAGAGTATGAAGAAATGGAGGATAAAACGGTTATGGCCATGGGGATCCTGCACACAATTGACACAATCCTTACTGTTGTGCAGGACCACAAGGAGGTAAGTCACTTTAAAACCATTCAAGTCAACATTTATCTGCTGCAGCTTTTCAGCTACTCATAATTTGAAAAGCAGTATTTTAATTTAAGCTTTTTATGGAAACTGCTTGTTTAAGCAAAAATATGTGTTGATATATGTGTTGAAAATATGTGTTGAAACTTGATATAAATGATCTTTCTTTTTTTATGATAACTCAACAGTTGGAGAACATTTGCTTACAGATCATTGGCCTTGTCTTACAAAAACATGTGATAGGTAACTTTCTTTAAAAAAAGCAAGCCTTCTAGAAAATGTTACTAGATTGTTTGCTTGAACTTTTGTATGGGAGAGGGAAGTCATTCTTAAACCTACTTTAATGTACAGTACAGTTCCTTGTTCATTACTTTACCATCTACTGCATGGATGGTGCTGTTTTGCAGAGTACTTGCTCATTGAGCAGGAGGTCCTAAATTCAATCTACAGTATCTCCAAAAGGGATTAGGAAAGAATTGTGCCTGAAATACAGGAGCATGGCTGCCAGTCATTGTTGACAGTACTAAGCTAGATAGCTTGGAAGGGCTTAGAGAAAGTAACCTTGTTTTGGCTACAAATCTCAGAATCTGAGATTCCTTTCTCAAGTTCTGCAGTGATGAATTGTGTCCCATCAAGTCAATTCTGACTTATGGTGATGCTTTTCAGGATTTTCTAGGTAGAGAGAACTCAGAAGTGGTTCCCCATTCCCTTCTTCTGGGGGCGTCCTGGGACTGTGCATCTTGCCCCAGGCCACTGGCTCTTTGGAGATACCAGCCTGTGTGACTATGTGAGGAACTGAACTCCCAACCTCTGGCTTTTCAGCCAGATACTTGACTCAGTTAGCTATCTAGCCAGCATAGAACAGGTTTTAGATAGCTATAAAAGGCTGGAGAATTTCAGTGATTGGCACGATGTACGGTAATATGTTTTGTGTCTCTGTCCCAGGCTGTTAGAGGCTTCCTTTCCCACTGAAGACTGCTCTGCCTCTCAGCTGGTTTCCTAACTGATCTAAATGATCTTTCCTTCCTTGTTTCAATAAACTGTCAATGTCATATGCAAGATTTGTGGCAGCTTTATGGAGTCCTAACAAAAGCTGTTTTATCCCAACATTTATTTTTTCTATGTATCTACAAAACTGATTTTTTTTTCAATTTAACCTCTCAATCATATCTGCGGAATGCTGCTATGTTCATTCTCGTGCCCACATGTGTCCTTCACAAGTTTGCTCTCAGAATGCCATTAAGAAGAAATGTTTACAAAACAAAAATGACACTCAGAATTGGGGTGTAAATGATCAGGCGTAGTAAGTGTGGGTGTTTGGGTCTCTGCAGTTTGGTTGGGATTTGCGAACCTTCCTTTCCAGATCAGACCAGATCTGTATGTGCATTCTTCTGTTCCTTCCAGAGTTTTATGAAGAAATTCTTTCTCTGGCATACAGCTTGACGTGCCATCTTATCTCCCCACAAATGTGGCAGCTTCTGGGTGTCTTGTATGAAGTGTTTCAGCAGGATTGTTTTGAGTACTTTGCAGGTAATGAGTGCTTCAGTATAATCTGTAAGGGGACTGATAAATGTTATATTAACCCAAGAGACTAAAGCAACAGAAGCAAGTGAACCACCTCACTGAAGAAAAATGTTGGTTAGTATTGGTTCAGAAAGCTATGACAGAAATATATCAGTTGTAAATATGTCTCAGTTCAGTGAAGAGAAGCGTCTCTCTCTCACCCATGCCTCAATATTATATATTCAGGATTGAATGTCCACTGGAAAGCCCTGTGCGCACTTCAAAAACAAATAGTGAATAATGCTGAGGCAAACAAGTTTTTAGACTTATATAGACTGTGAACACTGAGTAAAAATGCCTGATTTCTCTGACTTTGCAGGCATTTACTTGGTTCTCTGTTGTTTTTGTTTAGTCGTTTAGTTGTGTCCGACTCTTTGTGACCCCATGGACATCAGGCCCTCCTGTCTTCCACTGCCTTCCGGAGTTGGGTCAAATTCATGTTGGTAGCTTCAATGACACTGTCCAACCATCTCATCCTCTTCCCCTCTTGCCTTCACTCTTTCCTAAGTGTAGTTCTCTAGTCATGGGGAAAAGCGAAAAGATCTGTGTATTTATTAATTGCATACCTATCCTGCGTCTTCCCCAGTCAGTTCAATAAAGCATAGATGCTCTTGTTTCTCCAGATTCTCCTCCCTAGATGAAAGACTGTGCCTAGTCAGAATCATGCAGTGAGTTTCATGGCTCTGTGTGGCTTTGGACTCGGGTATCCTGAGTCCTAGTCCAACTCTCTAGTCACTGGATTGTATGGCTCTGTTGTGATCCTGAACCCTGACCAACTGGAGCTCTTTATTCAGTTGCCTATCTGTCTTCAGATGTTGCCCCACACTTCTAGTATGTCTTTGCAGATCTAAGGCTATGTTGCTTACAGTGTTGTGCATGAGTGCGTAGAGCCCAGTAGAGCAGAGAGAACAGAGAAAGAAGAGAAGACTAGAGACGGGGAGAAGAGGGGGAAAACATACATAGGATACCAGCATGCAGTGCTATAAGATTATAGAGCCCAGTAGAGCAGAGAAAGAAGAGAAGACTAGAGACGAGGAGAAGAGGGGGGAAACATACGTAGGATACCAGCATGCAGTGCTATAAGATTCAGGGGAAAGGTTTTAAGGAGTGATTTGAAAGAAGAAGAGGGGGGTTGAACAGAGGCTTCTAAGAGGCAGTTCAAGGCATAAGGGCCAGCAAAGGAGAAAGCATAGAGTCTTTTGAGGAAAATGTGGTTCTCAAGGAACTGAATTCTACACACAGTAGCACATTCTGCTCCCTCATATACAAAAATGTGTACATTTGAAAGCCTGGGTGTACAAGCAGTTTTGTTTCCTGCTTCAAGCTTTTAGGAGGTTTGGACAGATAAGCCTTCTCTCTCTGGTGGGCTCATGCACAGGAGAAACTGCTTAGATGCAGAGAGCCAGTTAAAGAGCATCCACAAACTTCATGTATTGTTCATCTCTCTTGCTAAAAACATCAGAAAACCAAATAAATTAAGCTTCAGTATACACATATACAGCATTACTGTGCCAGTGGTACTCTTGTTTCCCTGGAGAACTCTACCCAGCAGGGGCAGATGAAGGGATCATAAGAACAGGTGCTCAGTTCTCATAAAACATAGAATACCTTTTAATAAGTTAGCTCTGTCTCATTCAGATCTTGCTTTACCATTTATTTCCCTTTTTTAAAAAAATGTATGGGCTCAGGGAGATGAGCATTCAAGTCTCTGTTGAAATGTAAAGATTACTGAAATGGTACAGCAACTCACTAGGTGTGACTGCCTCGTGAGGTGGATGTGTAGGTAAAACAGGGTAATGTTTTGTGCGCTTTCCTGAGATCCTTGAAGGAATGCCCAGATTCAAATTTAATAAATATTTTCATGGGCTGGGTTTAAAAAAAAATAAAAATCTACGTTTATTGTCTGGCTTTGAGAAGTGTATTCTACAAGAGGAATGTGTCAGAACTACAGGTAATTTTAGGACATGGTTTAAAAGAAAGCAACAAGGCTGAAATTCTAAATTTCCTTTTGTTTTAAAAGATAACAATTTTCCCTCTCTCTGTCTAGATATGATGCCTCTGTTGCACAACTATGTCACGGTTGACACCGATACTTTATTGGCAAATCCCAAAAACTTGGAAATAATTTACACTATGTGTAAAAAGGTAAGCTTAACAGTTGTTTGTACATTTACAAGGATCCAAAGTGAATGTGAAAATGTAATGAAAATATACGAGTAGATGTGCCTGAAGGCCAGAGCTGGTCATGTTTAGCTTTGCTTTCGGCATGTGTTCGATCTCGCCAAACCTCTCTAGCACCGCTATATCTCTATGTGCACATCTTTGTGTTAACAGACACATGGATGTATATTTAAAAAAACAACTTTCCTCTTTTCAGCCAAACTCCTAACTTCAGTAACTGAAGGTTTGTAGCTCCCAGTTGCTCTTTGAAAGACATAGGAGAGGGCACTTACACACATCCGTTTCTATCCACTGGCTCAGAGAGGAAGGAATTCTTTTTTAGCAGGCTCTGCTTCATACTTTCATAACTCCCTCTTGGTTCCTTTCCTGTATTGACACCCTGCACATCTACATGCAAGACATCCACTCGACGAATGCAGGAAGTCTCATATATGACTATATATATATATATACCCCTTGCTCATATTTTATTTATTTTTATTTATTATTAGATTTTTATCCCGCACCTTCTAGACAAAGTCTACTCAGGGCGGCTTACATAAAATCATTCATAAGACAATATACATATACTATTAAAACAACAATTTAAATTAACAAGGTTAACATTGGTCAAGATGGGAAGAAATAAAGAAAACTAAGTAAAAATAAAAATAAAATATTGTTAGGAGGGAAGGCCTGCTTAAAGAGCCAGGTCTTTAATTGGCTCTTTGCTGACATTAAAGACCCAACTCTGTCTGAAGGAGAAAGGAAGTTCCTTCATCACATACTTCCAAACCATGCCAACTGCTGTCTTAGACGGCAGGTATATGAATGTCCCTAAACATCTATGGCTATTGCACTGTAATTTAATCTTGCAGAGTTTTATATATATATGAGGCTTCATACATGCAAGAATAAATTAGCAGAGTTGTTTGCCTTCTATATTTATGAGTTTCTTTGCTTTTTACAGTGTCAGGTGAGTACTGTTTACCTTAAAGATGGTTCACTGTTAGCTACTTTTCCTTTTTTGTCGTCTCTGTCTATTCATACTAATGGGTCTGCACCTGCCCATAGGCACTCCTTTTTTTTTTTACGAGAACTACCGTGTTTCCCTGAAAACAAGACAGGGTCTTATATTAATTTTTGCTCCAAAAACATATTAGGGGTTATTTTCAGGGGATGTTTTATTTTTTTCATGTACAACAATCTACATTGATTCAAATACAGTCATGTCATCTTCTGGTTGCTGCACAATGGTGGAGGGTGGGGTTTCACTTAACTGGGGCTTGTTTTTGGGGTAGGGCTGATATTACGAGCATCCTGAAAATTCATACTAGGGCTTATTTTCAGATGGGGTCTTATTTTCAGGGAAAACAGAGTAAGCCTCAGAAGAGAGAGGAATGTCTTTCTCATTTTGGTGTGAGGAAATATCCAAGAATGGTTAATTCCCATAAAACCCAGGAAAGTGGTGATCATTTAGTGCAGATTTTTGTCTTGGTTGGGCACTGCAGCAGCTGTGCTAGACCTGGTTCTTCTGTGCCCAGGACACAGGAATTCCACTGCTTCTTTTCCTGTTTTCTTCTCTGCCTTTGTTTGCTTAACCTTCTCCCAATTCATATCCTCTCTTCAAATTCTAAAATATTTCTATGTTCTTTGTTTTTTGTGCTCTTTTTTCCTGTTTTTAATCCCCATTTCTTCTTTATTGCTCTTCTGCTAACCATGGCTTTGATGGGTTAGCTGTTTTCTAAGAATGCAGACAAAGAAAAAGCAGATCATAAAACAGAGTTCCAGAAACAAAAAGTAGATTTCTCTAGCTACTATAGGGGGGACTCCTGCTCCATCCTCATTGTTGGTTTTCATGTAGCAGGGGACTGGTTGGATGCCAAATTCTTCTGTGCCCTGTACATGCCAGCTGTAGTTGCCATAAGAGCTTTTCGGATGAAAACTGAAGCATCTGTAGAGATCAAGTGATGAGCCAACCCTTCTAGTCCCATAACCAAGGCAGAAGACAGATTATATTTTTATCATCAGATGTCTAAACACTGCCTCATCAGGTGCAATAGAACCATGAACCGTATTTTTAATTTAGTTATTTTGCAGGTCGTCTAGATTTAAGTCACACTGTATTGTAAAATGTCTTGTCAAATATTATGTAAACTCTTCCAAATAGCTTCCAGTTACTATATTGTGCCTTGGAGTGTGTTTTATGTCTTCTTTTTAAATCTTCCCAAGAAGCATTGTCCACCTTGGCAAAAACTGCTTTCTAAATTTGCCCATGGTTTTGTTGCTAGGTATTAACTGGTGATGCAGGTGAAGATGCTGAGTGTCATGCAGCCAAGCTCTTAGAGGTCATTATTCTACAATGCAAAGGGAGAGGTATTGACCAGGTAATGTCATGCATGCCGCTTTATTTTTTACTTTCATCAGCACCTGTTGTCTTCTGGTAGTGAAGCTTTGTTAAAAAAAGTCAAGATGACTGGTATTTGACAGTACCTGTTGTCTTCTGGTAGTGAAGCTTTTTTTAAAAAAAGTCAAGATGACTGGTATTTGAGCTGTACAGGTATTGTCACCCTCGATGCAGAAGATAAATTAGAGGTCCTTCCTAGACTGGACATCATTCTCTTTGCTTACATATCAGATATTCATGTACTCGCCCTTTGGTACCAAAAAAGTGCACCAGCTATGCATGAGAAAGGCATCAGGCTTGGAGTAACCCCAAGGTTTTCATGTGCTCCTAAATTTATGGAAGATGTGGAGCCTTAGTGGTTCATGCTATTGATAGAAAGAAGATGGAGAATGACAACAGGAGAAGATAGGGCTGAAACTGAGTGACTGGAAAAGATGGAGGAAGACAGACAAAGATGTGAAAAATGTAGATAGAATAATCTCCGTATCTAGATAAGTCATTTCATACTTCAGACTGTAAATGCTGTTTTTTAGATAATGCAGCTTGTTTATCCTGTTGTGTTTTTGGAGAGGAAAGTTGAGTCGTGGCAGCTGGACTTCTTTCTCATTAGGCTGAAACATTTTGCTACTTGATTTAGGAGGTTAAAATCTTAATGTAACCTGCAATTCCAACTTCAGTCACGTAGTGGTAGAATTTCCTAACCGTCAAGAGTAGAAGCTGTTGTCAGGCTTCAGGTATTTATTTCTCCAGAGAGCCTCTAGGCAATTTGAAGTGATGTTTCCCTTTGTGGGACCTCTGAACTCTTCAGTCTTCAAAGAAGGAGTGATTAAGAGAACAAAAGAGAAGGAGAGAGAGAAGGTCCTGCTGCCTCCTAACAAGGGGAGTGAGCTGAGGAAAAGGCTGAATGAGCAGCAGGATAGAGGAGGGGAGATTATGGATGGGGTGGGAGTCTAAAGAGTGTTTTGTGATTCATGTGAAGCTAGGTACTTCTGGCTTGATAATATAATTGTGCCTTCAGGCTCATGTCTGGAATTGTACTGGCAGGTTCTAAAGAAGAAGAATTGTATAAGTGAATGCTTTTTGAAGCCTAAACGTTTATCTGCAGGTTTCTTTTTTCCCTTTCCCCCTTGTTTTTCCTCCCTATGTCTCATATTTTTCTGGTTTCTGTCCCTAGTGCATTCCACTCTTTGTAGAAGCTGTTTTAGAGCGTTTAACACGTGGGGTTAAAACCAGCGAGCTCCGGACGATGTGTCTCCAGGTTGCCATAGCTGCCCTTTACTACAACCCCGAGCTCCTTCTGCACAGTTTAGAGAATATCCGATTTCCTCACAATCCAGAGCCCATCACTGCACAATTTATAAATCAGTGGATGAATGATACGGATTGTTTTCTTGGGTAGGTGTTCAATGATTTTTTAAAGCTTTACACATTTCTTGGAAGTGAGTTTTTGGCTTCCTTTGGGTAGCAGTGAAATGGGCTGGGATGAAGTCAAAGTAATGGTAGGGAACAATATATCTTGTCTTGTTTTCCCCTGCTTTTTATTTCCTAGCAAAGAACAAAACATGTTTAGTTATGTTTTATAAAAGCACATAGTATATTTCCTTCCAGCCATGTTTACACATTTGCCTGAAAGTTTCACACTGTTACCTTCAAGTCCCCAAATTTTCTGTTTTGGGGGGAAAAACCTTTTACTATCTTGCTCTTCAAAATGTTATTTGTCTGTTTCTGAAATATTTGTACCCTAGTTTTCAGAGAAAATAAATTAAAAAAACAGCTTAATTAAGATATGTATGAGGATGCAGTTATAATTTGGCAGGGTTTGGAAGAATTACATTTTTGACTACAGCGCCCATACTGGCTGGGGAATACTGAGAACTGCTGTCCAAAAACTGATCTTACTGAGTTTTGTAATTTTGGTATGTTGGGTGTGTACAGGGGAGTCATTACAGTTCGTGCCACTGTCCAGGTTCTAGGGTTTTTGGTCCAAAGGGAGGAGGCAGAAAGAACCGCAGAGCAACACAGGACCTGGTTGATGATAAAAGATCCCAAACAGTATAGTGGTGCCTTGAGTTATGAACTGCATCTGTTCCAGAGGATGGTCGTAACTCAAATTGGTTGTAACTCGAAGCACCATTTCCCATAGAAATGCATTGAAATGCGATTAATCCGTTCCAGCCGTTTTTTGGTTGTATCTCAAGGTGCCGGTTGCAAGTCAAAGCATTAGTTCCTATAGGAACTACAGAGGACCCTCTACTTACGGAATTAATCCGTATTGGAACGGTGGCTGCAAGTCGAAAAGTCTGTAGGTCGAATCTCCATTGACCTACAATGCATTGAAAACCGATTAATCCCATAAGTGGCAGTTTTTATTCTATTTTTGTTCCATTTTGGTTTTTTTCTGGTCTGTAAGTCGATTCTCTGGCTGCAAGTAGAATCTAAATTTTGTGGCCAGAGAAGTCTGTAACTCGAAAAGTCTAAGTCGAGCCGTCTTGAGGTCGAGGGTCCACTGTACTGTAATGCAAAAGTGGTTAATCCGTCCACTAGGGAGAGACTTCTCTTTTTTTTAACCAAAGATGATTTAGGTTGAAAAAAGGGCAGGGAAGGAGGGAGAGAACAATGGGGAAAAAAGGAAAGAAAGAAGGTAATCACTGGCGTACACAGACCCCTCAGAGAAAGGTTTGTGCTTTTAGGCACAAAAAGAGAGAGCACAGAGAAGAAAAAGGGGGAGAGTTTGGAGTCTAAAACACCTTTTAAATGAAACACCTTTTAAAACAAAAGAGAGATTCCCCCCCCACACTAAAAAACACACTGCAAGAGCCATCAAAGCACAGAAACATACCCCCCCGAATCAAACAAACCCATTCCATCAGGGACTAAAAACACACTGCAAGACCCATCACAGCATAGAAACATAACCCAAACCCATGCTGCAAAACCCACCCAGAACAGGCAGTTTTTAAAAAGCAAAAAGCAATACTTTTGCTTTGACTTGCAACCGGAGCTTTGAGTTACGACTAGAGAAAAGGCGGGGAAATTTGAACTGCTAACTGTTGGTCGGCGAAGAGACTGCTTCTTTGTAGGTCTTTTGCCCCAGCGGTTAGAAAGGCTGGCTATGTGTCGGCAGGTGTGGTTTTTTTGCTTTGTTTTTCAGCCTCATCGCGTTCCGATGGGACTGGCTGTGGGTTTTTGTGTGTGTGTGTTTGGTGATTTTTTTCCTGCTGGAAGGGATTAATCCCGTTCCAGTGTATTCCTCTGGAAAATGATGCTTCGACTTACAACCATTTCGGGTTAGATCCATATTCTGGAACGGATTATGATTGTAAGTCGAGGCACCACTATATTTTCCTTTTATTCTCCTTCTCCTGCAGTTATTTTCCTTATGAAAGAACGAAATAGCGGGAGGTAAATCCACTCCTGCAGTTGAAAGCCCTTTTCCTGGAGTGAGTTCAGGGGCTGAACCTTGATAGACACCCCCCAAAGTAATTTCTTTGCCTCATAGCATTTAAATTGAGCTATCTTAACAGCAAGGAGTATTGGATCATACTTGCAGATGCAACCTGAAATCCTGTTGCTTAGTGTGGTAAATTGCACTGGATTAGACCCACTGAATCATTAAGAATTTGGTGAGTCAATTCTATAAGTTCCATTGATTCAGATGGGCCTACTCTTATTTGTGACCTACTTGTCCCATTGAATCAATGGAATTGACAGAGAAGTTGACTCACCAAATCCCTGTTGATTCAATGGGCCTACTCTAATGTGACTTACTATGCTAAGCAACAGGATTTCAGCTATAGTATTGCCAACTTTTATTGTAATTAGAAATGCTTTTCTGTGGACGATTATTGTAAACATCAGACTATAGTCCTTCAAGGCTGTTGTCTAAGACGAAGTATTTCATGAGAAAAAGAAACCCTGAATTACTGTGGCAGCCCTGACGTATTGTAGTATCTGCTCCAGTGTTGGAGTTGGTGTTACGTAACTGCGGAGCAGTACAATGTCTCATAAATGTAGTTTTAACATGACATTTACTGCTCTGGTGTGTCATAAAGTGGCTTTATTACAGTCTGTGGTTGGGAAGAAATATCCAGCTTTTCCAAGGTGCCTCAGCATAAACTTTTAATAAGAATCTAAGAATGAAAATCCTTTCTTCTTGCTGTGCTGGTTAGCAAAATAAAAATAAAGGATACTGGGCAAAGGTTTCAGCTTTCTTTCCATGTGGACTTCCTCACTTTGGGGCTGATAATTTGCAGCATTTCCCATTATTCAGAGGAGTCGGAGGCTAAGGGCCCCGTTTTGCCGTTGTGTTCAGAATCCTGTCAAGAAGATCAGAAACTTGTATATAAGTTGGGATTCTCTGGATTTCAACAAATCTCTTTTTGTCCATGTAGAGAAGCTGATTTATGTGTTTTACCTGTGAGTTGAAACCCCAGAAACAGTCAGCAAATGCATGGAATTGTGAATGCTGGCTCTTTCACTATTTCGTCATGTACAGTGGTGCCTCGCACAACGATGTCTTCTAATGATCAAGGAAAAGATTCTACAGTAAGATAACCCAAGCAGTCCCTTCCTAGATAGACCAGCTTGTTTCACCGTGTAAATGAGGGATGATCAAACTGTTGTCCTCCAGATGTTGTTCAGCTATAATTCCCTGGCATTGTCAGAACTGTCCATCTTGGCTAGGACTGATGAGAGTTATAGTTCAGCAGCATCTAGAGCACAGCACTTTGCCTTTTCCAGCTGTAAGTAAAGGTCGCATCAGTTTTAGCTTTGCATTTTCAATTGCTTGAGCGAGTATACTTGATGAACAAACTATCACTGTTCTCTGCTTAGGTCAATTGAATAAATAACTCTTCCCATGTATGTATTAAAATGTGGATCTTTTTTATTCATACCATATGCCCCAATCCGGAACGGATTAACCTCGCTATGCGAGGCACCACTGTACTTGATGAACAAACTATCACTGTTCTCTGCTTAGGTCAATTGAATAAATAACTCTTCCCATGTACGTATTAAAATGTGGATCTTTTTTATTCTCACCATATGCCCCATCTGGCTTTCTTTCCTTCTTTTCTTTATTCATATTAGGGTGTTGCACAATGTAAAAATATGGACATTTAATGAAATATAATTAAAATAAAAAACAAATGAAAATGTTATGATAATTAGATAGTTTTTGGCATTTTAGTGCAGGAACTTTACCCCAGTTCTTGCACTGCCTTAGCAAGTGGTTGTTGAAGACGGTGCATAGGCTGAACCCTTCCTCTCACATAGTTGCCTTGCGTGATTCCTTTTTGCCACAGGAACTGGTTATAGGGAAGTGGTCTTGGAGTGACAACCATGGTGGTGAGGTAGCCGTCGCTTCCCTATGGAGCATCTATTTTGCCCGGTGAAGGTTACAGGTTCAGTCCCTAGAGTAGACTCTGCTGGGCTAGAAATCCTGCTGTCAGCATAGCCAGTGGAGAATTCCCAGGGTTGTCACCCAAAATAGTAACTTTTTCAAACCTAAGGTGTAAAGCAGCGTCCCCTTTAAAACATTACGAGAAGCCACAGACACTTCCAAATTTTCTAGGGCGCTAGAGAGCTCTTCAGCATTCCTCCTTTTGTCCATCTTCTACCTCACTTCAGTTTTTTCGGGTCATCTCTGAACAAGAGTCTTCCTGAAATACTGAGAGCAACTGGGGACATGGCTGAGCTGTGCCACACTCTTTCAAGCCTGGCAAGCTTTGGCCTCGTTTCTTGCTCGCTTTTAAGCTTCCTTGGTTGCTTTTCTGTGATCTGCCTCTCAGTAAAAATCCATTTTGACTTATCCTTCCTATTCTCAAATATGTATTTTTCTTCTCTCACGCAGAATCCTCTTGTGAGTTCCTTGAAGGAGCTGAATTATACTTTTTTAAAAAGATGTGCAGTTTCTTCCTCTTTAGAGTAACTTGTACCATTAATTTACTGAGGAGGCACTATTTTGAATACTAATAAACCTTTTCAGTCAAGGCAGGTTCCCTGAACTTTGATTCTGTCGTTCTTCCTTCTTTTCTCCTGCCTTCCTATTCGCTCCCATGTGCTCGAACCTTTCTGTTAATTTGTGTTCTGTCAGAGCTCTTCTTCCACCCAATTCAGATTAATATTTCTGTCAGAATGATAGTTGGCCCCACATCATTGTAATTTGCTGGGGGCAGGACATCTGTCTCATTAGTACCTAATTGTGTTTGTTTAGCAACAGACTCCTTGCACATTATAATCTCTGGAAAATAAAAAATAGCTCAAAAAAAAAAACCTGGAAAAAACTAGTTGTGAAACTTAATAAGATTCTAATTTAACCTTTCTGCTTCCAGCACCAGCTCTAAAATCTGTTCCATAGTATTTCCATTTTTGAGCAGAATATGAATTACAGTTTTAGAGCACTGTACTTTGCGTCTCTTCCCATGCACAGTCTTCTTGGGTTTAAAATAAAATAATTTAAAAGGACTTTGAATAACCTCCCTAGCAATACTGAAAAGTACTTACAAGAGTCACTTCGGCTTTTAAATTTCCCTTTGTCGACTGAACATTTCAGTTTCGCCTTTGAACAGTTTCCAAATCTAAGATCCAAAAGAAAAACTGACTGAATTTTGTGACTACAGTCATCAGTATCATGGCCCCTGCACCTGAATACAGGTCTCTGTCTCTGCGGAGTAGGCTGATTAAAGGGTGGCAGTTATCCTCACTGTAACAGTTTTCCAAAGTGTGGCACTTTGCCTTTTCCCTAGAGCAGAGGTCGTCAACCCCCAGTCCATGACCCGGTGCCGGTCTGTGGCCTAAGCCGGACCGGGCCATGGAGACAGACCTCCCACCCACCCCACATGCACTCCCCTCCCCACAGCTGCTTTGCACACGCATGCCAGCATGAGCGTTCCCCCACCCCTGCACACGAGCGCACAAGCACCTGCACAAAGGGGTGGGTGTGCAGGCATTGGTGGGGGCATGCAGGCACGCATGCGCAAAGGGGTGGGGAAGCACTCACGCCGGCACTGGCATGTGTGCGCTCCCCCACCACTTCGTGCATGCACCCGAGAGTGTACGTGCATGCGGAGGAGCCCGTGTGCAAGCGCACCCTGCCTTCCTCAGAGGCTCAGCTGGTGTGAGGTCCCAAAAAGATTGGGGACTGCTGCCCTAGAGGGTTGCATTGCTGCTGAAGACTGAAGCAGATGGAACTTGGAACAAAGTTCTTCAGGCTGATCTTTAAGAAGAAGGAAGTACATGTGATATTTTCCCTTGATTCTTCCATTAGGGTTTTTAAAATTATTTATTTACATCTATGTTTCTGCCAGAAATTGGTGGTGGAGACAGCTAAAAGTAATAATAAAAAAGAAAACAAAGATCTTCCTTTTTAGGCTGGCTTTCAGTGTGTCTAGGGAATGTTCTATTTTTGAGATTTAGATATTTTAAAATGTTTTTAAACTTTTTGAAAGTGGTCTTTAATCTTGACCAATGTTTAATTGTTCTTAAATATCTAGTTTTGTGTGGTATTTTTAAATTGTTATTGTATGATTTTGATTGTTGTGAGCTTCCTTGGGTTCCCTATGGGAAGAAAGGTGGCATATAATTAAATTAAATTAAATGAAGCCTTGATTAAAAACAAATAATTCAGAAACTCAACAATCAGCTATATTACAATCACAAGACTTTCAGTGGTCCCCAACCTTGGGCCTCCAGATGTTCTTGGAGCAGAACTCCCAGAAGCTTTCGCCATCACCTCTGCTGGCCAGGGTTTCTAGGACTTGAAGTCCAAGAACATCTGGAGGCCCAATGTTGGGGATCATTGATTAGACAAGAGAGCAAGTACTCAACCACTTAATCTCCTTTAATCAGCAAGCCAGTTTGGCATGCCATAGGCCTGCCTGTAACTGAGTTTGTGCTAACGTGTGTGTGTGGTTTCCCCCAGCCTTCATGACAGGAAAATGTGCATCATCGGACTAAGCATCCTGATGGGATTGCCAAACCGACCTCCTGCAGTGGATGCGGTCGCTGCACAGATTGTACCATCAGTTCTTCTCCTGTTCTTGGGCCTGAAACAAGTGTCTGCCACCCGGCAGCATACTGAACATGAGGAGCACGGAAAAGCTGAGAAAAATGATGCAGAAGATAATGGTACCAAAAGATATCATTTGCACATTCTGATAGCAATAGATGCAATGTAGGGAAGGGGAAGATGATGACCACAGCTGCACTGCTAATCTCTGAGCTACTGTTTCAAGTATTTCTTGCTAACAAAATGCCTTTCGTAATGTGTTTTACCTTGCGAGTAGGGAGAATATTTTGTATCTTTCAAGAACTTTTGAAGAATTTACTCATAGATGCATTTGTTCTTTCTTCCCTTGCAGACTTGGAAAAGTTGCTTTTTTTGTACTGCAGCTCTTAGAATCATTCGATATGCTGGCTAGTTGCTTCTGAGAGCTGCAGTACAAAATAATGACTTTTTAATACGCTCTGTTCCCTTGTAGGATTCTTGTGATCAGGCTGGCAGAGGGATGATTTGCGAAAACGTGGTCACTACATGAGTTTTCCCAAGTATAGGATTTTTAAATATTCTTTCATTCAGTCATTTATATATACAGTAGGACCCCCTATAGCATAGGATCAGTATCGGCTGATTCACTTATCCATAGTCTGAAGCAGATGGAACTTGGAACATCCATAGTCTGAAAAGACTGATAATGTTAAAAGAAAAATCCCCCTATATATATATATTTCTTTTAACATTATCAGTCTTTTCAGACTATGGATAAGTGAATCAGTGGATACTGATCCTATATATATGGGGGGGGGACTTTTCTTTTAACATTACAGTGGTGCCCCACATAGTGACGATAATCCATGCAGCCAAAATCGTCGCTGTACGGATTCATTGCTATGCGAAATAAAAAAGCCCATAGGAATGCATTAAAACCCGTTTAATGCATTCCTATGGGCAAAAAACTCACCTTTATGCGAAAATCCTCCATACGGCGGCCATTTTCACTGCCTGGTAAGCGAGGAATCCGGGCCAAAACACAGCAGGCGGCCATTTTGCCCCCTTCTCTGCTCCAGCCCCTCCCCCTCCCTCACAGCTGATGGGCGCTGCTCTTAGAAGCTTCCCCAGGCTTGCCCAGCAGATAAACAGGCAATGGAAATGCACTGGGGAAGCCTCTGAAAGCGGCGCTTTGCTGGGGTGGAGGTGGGTGGGGGTGTGGCAGGGGCAGGCCCGTCACCCCCCGCCCCCCCGCCCCCCCGTGGCAAAGCGGTCTTTCAGAGGTGCATTTTCACTGCTGAAAAAGCCCCAGGATGCTTCCGAAAGGGGGGGCTCTGGGGGGATACGTAGATAGATTTCCTCTATGTCATTGCCAGAATTGGCCATGAGAGAGAGCCAGAGACCATGCTATGAATAGTATTTGCTATTAAAATAGTTTTCCACATTTTTCAGCATTTGCGGGGGCTTGGAACCAATCCCCCATAGATATGGGGGTCCTACTGTACTAATTTTACCACATAGGTGAATTGCAGCCGTTTGGACACAGGATAAAGCAAGATAGTATACCTGGGGATGCCGCTAGGGTGGGGATTAAAGTATTCTAATTTAATGAGTTCAGCCTCTTGGATTTTGAGAACCAGCATATTGGTTAGACTATTTGAGGGGGAAGTATTTGTCCCTTTTTATAGCTTAATTGTCTTGTACCATATCCATGCCTGATGTAAAAATGAGCTTATTTACAGAAGAGATTCCAAGTGATGAAGAGGAGGCAAATGAAGTAAGCCAGGAAATGCAAGAGAACCATCCAGGTTGTGGTGATGGTGATGGAGGTGATGAAGATGATGATGATGATGATGACTGGGATGACGATGCTTTAGAAGAAACTGCTTTAGAAGGCTTCAGCACACCAGTTGACCTGGACGATGGTGTAGACGAGTATCAGTTCTTTACACAAGCACTATTAGGTACATAAATTCAAGGCCCATTAAAACCAGTACCTTGGCTTTTGTCCTCTCCTTGACTCCTTGTTATCTTATCAAACATGGAATCAATGTCCATCAGGCTGATTTGCAACCCTCTGTTACAAAAACATTTGTACCTTCTGCAAGGGGTTTGTGAATTTCTAAATTGAAGGTGGTAAAACCCAATAAGCTGGGATCTCTTTCCTGTGTCCTTTCCAGAAAGCAGGAAGAAATCCCGAAACTTATTCTGTTGTTCTGAAGAGGACTAGCAAAGCCTCTGATCTGGAGTATAGCATTGCCTTTTTGGAGGTTGTCATCAAAAAGATCGTAGCTGGTTGGATATATTGCTTTCACTCTTGCTTCCTATATACAGTCCTTTTCCCAGTTTTATAAGATCTCTGATAGTAGAACTAGTTGAGTAGTATGTAATAAGAATTAGGGCAGGAAACCCATGACCATTCAGATGTTGCTGGTCATCCTTGACCATTTCCTGTTGGAAGTTGGAATTCAGCTGCATCTATGAGGTCAGATGTTCCCTACCTTTGAGCTAGAACTGTGGTTCCCAACCTTGGGTCCCCAGGTGCTTTTGGACTAAAACTCCCCAAAGCCTTCATCACTACCTGTGCTGGCTAGGATTTCTGGGAGTTCAAGAACATATGGGGACCTAAGGTTGGGAACCAGTGAGTTAGAAGATGAAGCAGTGGCTAATACAATACAGCTCCTGTCCTCTTTTAGTTAGTCATCAGTTAGCACAGCAGCATTGCTTGTTTTATTATATAGTCTTAGAATTGCAGAGCTGGAAGGGACCCTATGGATCATCAAGTCCAGCCCCTGTCAATGAGGCTCAGTGAGAAATCCACAGCCACTGAGCTATTTTTGCAGATTAAATTGTTGGTTTTGAACGCTTAAGGTTGCTCAGGTTCAATTCCTGCTCTTCGACTAAACTGGAAGATTAGCTACTGTGCATGCCCTGTTCCTCAGACTAAGACACTCACATCAGTGGTTTTCAAGATATAATGAAATATCCACATGTTAAGTTCCTTGAGTATTTTCAAGCAAGAGCAGGACACAGGTATGGTACAAAAATAAATTATTAACTAGAGTGGGGCTATCAAAACAAGGGAACTGGGCCTTGCTGGTACGACTAAATTGCCTTGTTTGAGCAACTTAGCCATGTCATTAAGGCTACATTTTTAAATTTGTTAAAACAGGACTGTGACGTACACCCCGTGTCACTGTTTGTTTCCCTCAACCCAGATCCACACTGCCGACGTTCCTTCTTTCTCTCTCACTGCCATCAGTGGATTTCTCTTATCCACACAGTAAAGAACGGTAGTCTCACTCTTGCTGCCAATAACACAATTAGTTTTATTAAAGGGTATGAAAGGGTAACTCAGAATCACAGATGGTCTTTATTCATTTTCATTGGATCACAATCATTGAAATATTATATTTTATGTTCCGCATTAGATCACTTCTTGTTTACTTATTTTCAATTTAACCAGTGTATATGTATTAGTAATAATTCTCTCTCTATCTCTAACTACCGTATTTTTCGCACCATAAGATGCATTTTTTTCCCCACAAAACGGGGGTGGAAGTCTGTGCGTCTTATGGAGCGAAGAAAACATTATATTTTCCTGTTTTCTTCTCCTAAAAAATTGGTGCATCTTATTGAAAGGTGCGTCTTATGGAGCGAAAAATACGGTATCTATCTCTGTCTCTCAGCAGACCTCACTCCTCCTTCTCTCTAACTGACTGACAAAACTTCTGCCTCTGCCTCTCCTGTCCTCTCATTGGCTCCTGCACATCAGGTTCCACTGTGATTGACAGGAGCGACTTGGGCCTCCGTTACAAGGACATGCTCACATGAACAGGAATTTCAGCTCACTCTTTCCCAATCTGATTCTCCAGATTCAGCTGGCTTGACTTCTTACTGTATTAGCTGCGGCTGATGGACGCTATAGAATGAAATATCTTGCAAAATAAAGCTGGTGAAAACTTCCCTAAAGGTCTTAAAGCAGAGCAGAGCTCTGCTTATTCAAAGGATTGTTTGCATTGTAGGGTGGAAGGTTCTCAAGACCTATATATCTGTCTTACATTTCTGAAACTCTTAAAAGAGGGACAATTAATTTTGTGTTGATAGCGGTCCAGAGCCGAGAAGCATCCTGGTACCACTCGCTGACTGCACCACTGAGCAATGATCAGAAGGCACAATTGCAGGAAATCTGTGCATTAGCTGAACACCGGCAAAGTTCTGCAGGTCAGTCAGTGCTCGGGAACCATTTTCCTGAGAATAACAATGTTCGTTGTTGTTATTGAAGAGCATATTGAATACCTTTGGGCCAAGGTGGAAGGTGTTCTTTTCATAAAGATTTCTGTCCTTGTTCAAAGAACAGGCAGATCTTAAGTGAGGAAACTCTCAGTTTACTTCACACCTTTTTTCTCCAAAGCAAGCAAGAAGTAAACTGATGGTAGTTAAATATTTAAATGGATGCTGCAGACAACATTGTGTATAGAATGGAAAAGCCCAAGAACAAGGAAGTGGAGCAGTCACATTCTAGCCCTCACATCTGTCTTTTGGCATCCTTTTGTCTGGGAAGGGCATATGAACCTTCAATAAGGAGAGATCAAGATGTGCAGCCCTCCTCTTGTATTAAATAGCTCAATACTGTATAGGTTTTTTGTGTGGAGGAATCAAGAGTTGTTGGACAGGGACTTGGGAGTTCCACATATTGATCTCCTCTGTACCATGCAGGTTCAGTGACTGCAAGCCACTCACATTGCCTTTTAGACGGACCAGTCACATACAACTGTTGAGAGGAAGAGATACCAGTGCCTTGAGCTCATGGGAGGAAAGAGGGGAGGCAACATTAACAAATAAATTATAAGCAAATAAACCATGGCAATAACTAGCTTTCCTCCACTGGGCAGTTACTCTTTCTTGGGCCATTAGCTCCACAAATAACTGCATCTTCTGCAAATAGAAAGGCCCAGGTTGAATTCTCGGCACCTCCAGTTAGAAAGATTAGGTAACACATGATAGGAAAGATCTCACTTGAGAAGTGTGACCCATTACCAGGCAAGGATAGACATTTTGAGTCTGTGGAATGACTTGAGCTAAGGCCACTTCCTATGTTCCTTTGTCATGCCTTGTACACATGCTTTCTTGCATTCAGTGCACTACAGCATTCATAATAGTGGGTGTTTGAGAGAGAAAACTGTTTGGTTCCCCAAGAAAGTCATACATAGATTGAGATGTTAGGGGACCAACTACTGCCCTTCTTATTTAAATGGAGCCCCTCTGCTTTTCCCATTCTGCTTAGGTGATGCTTCCCATCTGAATGAAACACACTTAAAACAAAATTTTTAACATCATAATATATCAAAATTCTTTCCATTTTTTGATTACATATTGGAATGTCAAACAATTTATCTAGCAGTAATAATGGAGAAATTCTAATATATTCCATTCTATACGTATGCTGTTTTTCAGTCAGGAAGGGAGCAATGCAAATGTATATACAGTGGGGTCTTGACTTGAGAACTTAATCGTTAGAAAGATTAGGTAACATATGATAGCAAAGATCTCACTTGAGAAGTGTGACCCATTACCAGGTGAGGATAGACATTTTGAGACTGTGGAATGACAGGGTCCTATGTTCCTTTGTCATGCCTTGTATACGTGCTTTCTTGCATTCAGTGCACTACAGCGTTCATAATAGTGGGTGTTTGAGAGAGAGAACTGTTTGGTTCCCCAAGAAAGTCATACATAGATTGAGATGTTAGGGGACCAACTACTGCCCTTCTTATTTAAATGGAGCCCCTCTGCTTTTCCCATTCTGCTTAGGTGATGCTTCCCATCTGAATGAAACACACTTAAAACAAAATTTTTAACATCATAATATATCAAAATTCTTTCCATTTTTTGATTACATACTGGAATGTCAGACAATTTATCTAGCAATAATAATGGGGAAATTCTAATATATTCCATTCTATATGTATGCTATTTTTCAGTCAGGAAGGGAGCAAAGCAAATGTATATAAGCTGATTTTTGGTGATTCCCTAAATGTGATGTTCCTTCAGAAATCCCAGAAGATGATCAAGAGAGTCAGTGGCAAATGAAGATACATTTGCCGTGCCACTAATAACCGCTTTTAATTTCTTTTAATTCTAGAATCCAAGAGGATAGAACATCAAACAGGCTTCACATTTGATAACAAAGGACTGACATTTAACTTTGGCCACAATCCAGGAAACAACTGAAGGCGGGAGCAGTTAAACAATGCTGCACAATATTCCATCATTGCATTTTATTAAATAACAGCAACGTTTGAGACTTGTGATGGGCAAGGGAAGGTAATCTGAGGGCTCTGGAAGATTCCCTTCCCAAAAAGGCAGTGGTTGACCCTCTTCTGGTTCCTCCCCCAATTAAGACTTTTGTTCTAACCAGCTACTGTAATGTATAAAGACTTGTGGTATTTTTATAAATTGTTGGACTGAAACTTATCGATCCCTGCGTCTTCCCTAAGGAAATGGGGAAGCAGATGTGTGAAATTGGATGCAACTGCACCTCTCAGGTCTTTGCCATGTGAAATTGAAAGGGGTCCTATGGAGAACAGTGCCTTCTGTTATATATGGATTGCCTGAATTCTGGAATGCATTATGCTCTTCTTTATTTTATTTTATTTTAAATTTTAGCGAAGGATGTTTATAGGCACACTGCAGATCTCACTTCCTTGTGTCACCTTTCTCTACTGCAATTGTGGCTGTACATTGTCAATTACAAATAGCATATCCTTGCCTACACAAACCTTTTAATTTTTCTGATTTGCATACATTCAAGGCAATGCCTCCCTGACTATCTGGGAACACTCTTAGCAGGTCTTCCATAAACAAATTATTTCCTTGTGGTGACCCACTCCATTGGGTTCCTTCTAATGCAAATTCTTCCAACTTTTGTCTTGGATTTTGGTGGATTCTCTATGTCTTGCTTTGCCTAGCATGGAATTTGTTTTGGGTTGCAAGATAGCCTGGCATGAACTCACTGCCTACTTGTGGCCACTTGGCCCAAGCTGCTTCTGCTCTGTGTTGTCCTGTGTCGCTTATAACATGCCCAGTGCATCCATGTAGCTGTACTTGATAAGGAAGGATCAGGTGTAATGGGCAAACTAACTTTCACAGAAGCTTGTTTAATGCCGTTAAGCTGTGGAAAGAATCCCATACTTCTCCAGAAGACTTTGAAAACCACTCATGGAACTAAAGCTGACCTGAAGAAGTTACTCTTTGAACAACAGTTGCCAGAATTCCCCACAGCATGGCTATGTCTCCACCCTGTATTCTAGTGGTCATGTTGGCCGGGGAATTTTGGGAAATGTAATCCAAAAAAGCAGGTTTCAAAGTATGAACTAAAGGCACTGCAATTTTTGCAGAGGAAAAACATTTGACCAAGTTACAACAGTGATCCAGGATTTGCACATTCAAATCTGAAAGCAATCTCACTGCTGTGGCCTTCTTGATGTATCAGTAATTCAATTGTGGGCCTTGTAAGAAGTTGCCAGTTTTCAGTGGTTTTCTTTAAAATTTATTCCACTCATGATCATTCCCAGAGCTTTGTTAGCAATGAATACTTGGCTTTTAAAGAATCCCTTCTGTTGGCTACATCTCCTTGTCTTCTGCTGTTGAGTGATCGTTTTAATTTTTCTGAGGTTTAAAAGGCCAGGCTCCCTTGAGTTCAGAAATGAATCGGACATTGTAGTTTTGCCTGTCTCTTGTGTCTGCTGAGGAGAACATGAGTGGAAAAAATCATCTAAAAAAGACAAGTGCAGAATGATAAGATTATGTTCCAGTGGCTTAATTTCCTAGAGGGTGATCACAGTCTTGATGCTGCCATTCTCCTGCTGTGTGAATCCTCCTTCAGCTGCCTCCACTGCCTTCTTTTCATTGTGGTAGTATGAATTTCCCACATCATAATATTATACAATGCTGTATAGTTGAGGGAATGTGTTGTTTCAGCAGTTCTGCTTTCTGTAGCTCTGCTTGATGGATGTGCCTTGTGAGAATTTGGTGTACAGTCGTGACCCACTTAACGATTGCCCCACATTACGACGAATCCACTTATGACGATGTTTTTGCGATCGCAATTGCAATCGCAAAACGATGGTCTAAATGGGGGAATTTCGCTTAGCGATGATCGGTTCCCTGCCTTGGGAACCGATTTTTGCTTTACGACGTTCAAAAACAGCTGATCGTCGGGTTTTCAAAATGGCCACCGGGTGCTTAAAATGGCTCCCCGCTGTGCTTAGGGACGGATTCCTCGCTATACAGGCACCGAAAATGGCCTCAGTATGGAGGATCTTCGCTGGATTGTGAGTTTTTAGCCCATTGGAACGCACTGAACGGTTTTCAATACGTTTTGATGGGTTTTTAAATTTCGCTTTACAACGTTTTCGCTTAACAGTGATTTTCCTGGAATGGATTATCGTCGTTAAGCGAGGCACTACTGTATTTGATTATGCTTTTCCCTTTTAAAATGTGCAGAAATGACAAGTGAGCAAAGGTCGTGTACCCATATCATTGCATTTACAAGGGGGAAGCTGCATTTGAATAACAAGTGTATCCTTCATACTCGTAACTGATTTGGTTCAGGTACAGCTTGGTGCAATTTGGTCTTCATACTCAGGCATGAAATACATTGTGAGACATGGCCTGAAGTGTCCAAGAGAAATCTCCATGAAAATACTCTTTCCCTGCCCTTTTCACACAACTCTGCCTCAACAAACATTGGCACTGAGCTAAGATACTGAGCTTTATATCTTCATTAAGCAGCATAAAAGCACTAGGGATTGGCAACCTGAAGCAAGTGAGAGAATTTACTTATTTAAAAAAAGGGTTGACCCAGCATTCAAAAATCCTACAACTCCATGCTAGTCTGATTTTATCAGTTCCAGTCACTCAGCGTATAGGAACACACAAAGAAAGGGTGTTTCAATAAGGACATGAGATGGGACAGTATTTTTTTTATTTTTCGTGCACAATTACATCTCTCCTTGATTCTTAACTGTATGAAAGACTAAATATACATTTTTCTTTCTCAAACCTTCATCTATTGATGTTCATAAACACTGCATATTTTGATGACGAAAAGAATCATATATAGAATATCTAAGATCAGTGACTGGTGCCACGAAGACCTGTTCTTGAGGCTTCAGTTCCTTTGATGAGCCACGCAAGACGACCATAGTTGTAGTTTTAGAAGATGCAGCCCTGTTAGTTTGTGGTACCCTATCAGGCAAAACACAAAGAAAAATAAAGAAGACCAAAATATTGTGGCACTTTAAAGACTAATTGATATATTGTAATATGAGCTTTCATGGACAACTCTGAGGAAGCGGACTTGATCCACAAAAGGTCACATTAAAATATAGCAGTCAGTCTTTAAGATGCCACAGTGTTTTGGTGTTCGTTATTTTTAAATTTTTCTTTGGTTTTTGCCTGATATACTGAATAGAAGGGTTTCCTGCATATATGTATACAAGGACAACTGCAGGGCGTCATCTGAACAAGAAACATGTCTTTGTGGCAGGTATGCTATGCAACACAGCACTAGTTGGCCACATTCCTACCTGTACATTTTAAAATGTGTTAAATATGTGCCTCTAAAAATTCTAAATTGACCTAGACTCTGAGGGATTAATATATACGTTTTTATCTTGTGTCCACCTAATATGATTAACCTGTACCTCTGTTTAAGTTTGCTTTGATTCTTTGCTAATCCTACCTTTTGCCTACCAAGGACATTTCCTATAAATGCCTTTAGATCATTTTTTCCCTTTGCCCTTATGGAATTTGTTGTTGCCATACAGTTGCTATTATGCACTGTGTTTTTAATGTTCAAGAGAGAGACACAGACAGAGGGTTTTGCTCTGGCTCTTTAGAGTAGATTTTTTTTACACAAATGTCAGAAAAGCATATAATTGTACTCATTTTTTATTATATGCATGAAGGAAATCTGTTGAAATAGTTCAAAGGTGTTCCCCAGCCCATATTTAGGCTGCTGCTGCATAGGGATCAATTGTTTTTTATTCGCTCAACATTCCTTTAAAACCAAATTATCTTATGTACAATATCTGAACTGTCTTCCAGAATTGTGCCTGGAACTATTGTAAATCAATTCAAGCGTAACAATAATGTGTACAAATTGTCTCACTCAGGTTTCATCAATTGTTGATGTCACTTCTTCTGTTGCTTCTAAATGACTGCAGTTGTACAGCCAATTCACAGATTCAGCAGAATCATGTGGCTTAGTATTCCACCCTGCAAGCATGTACCAACTTGAGTGACAGGCAAGACACAACTTTCCCATAGAATGATTCTGCCACCACCTTCCCTGCATATTCAGAATTACTGCATCAGACGTAAATACTTTTGGATACATGAGGAAGATTTAGAGCAAAAAGATTCAAACATGTACTCACTTGCTGGCCATGCATAATGTTTGGCAAGTGTTCTGTGTCAGGATTCTGTGGTTTATATAGTTACATAGATATCTACATCCAAGAACCATGCAAACATGGTGAAGATGCTTGAGCATCCTTTACAGATAATGGGTTGCCTTTTCTATCCCAGTCCTGGCAAAGCAGATACATGTCTCCTTCTCATCCTGTGCTCCATTATGACAAGTTTGACCTGAGAGAACATTTTTCCCGCTGTAGAATATACTAAGTGAACCTGAGAAATTTAAAGGTGCGGTGATTGGTTTACACTTTCTTGTCCAATGTTTGATGACAGCATCAAAAAGTAGCGACTTGCATGTAAGAATGAGGTCATCACAGGCACAGCACTATAGAGTATAGCTTGTGGATTGCCTTACGTAAGCTCAGACTTTGTTTTTCTATGACTGAGTTTGTTCAGTTGGTCCACACCTGGTTGCAAAACATGTGCGTAACAGAATGCAGAAAAACCAACTGACATACACGTGTGTTTCAACCAGGCCTTGCAGAGACATGAGTGCTGAATTTCTCTTTAAGCAGCTGTTGATGGCAACTGCTTATGGTGACTGGGTGTTATAAATTCTTAAATATGAAGTAGATCATATTGTTTGTTGAAGATATTGACTTAATATCTTAAGATATAGGTAAGCTTAATTGTTCCCTGTTAATTTGAATAAATTTTGTGCTTAAGAGAAGCTAGCAGACAAGTAGCAGAGTTGCCATCTTCCCCCCCCTCCCTTAAGCTAAAATAACTCACCTAAAAAGCACAGCTGACAACACTGTCGTTAAAGCAACAGCCTCCTACAAAGACAACATAAGATAGAGAACTTTTCCCCCCTAAATTTTGAATGGGAGTTATTTTACTTAGAGAGAGCTCAGGTTAAAATTCTGTGCAATTCTGTGCAACTATGGAAGAAACTACTTACTGATAATGGGGTTGAAATGGCATGAAACAATGTGGAAGAATCATACACTGAAATACATTTGTTCAATTTTTTTGGTACTTGTCTGGAGAGTACTACATATGTTTACGGTGTGAGTGTAACTACAACTTCATCTCCCATTTTTAAATGTTAACTTAAACATGACTATAAAAGTATGAAAAAGTTTGGAAAGGTCCAGTTGTGTACAGGTCTGCTTTAAATCAATGAAAGAGTCACTATTTAATATAGGTGTGAGGTAACAGAAGCCTAAGACTACATAGTAGGAATCCTTGCAACCCCTGTTGTCCTCCCAGAAACTGGGATTATTTCCTCCCATCTCTCCAAAACTACCTGTAAACCACTTGGGCCTTGTCAGGATGTGGTTTTTCTTACA